TTTGTTTCAGGTACATGCGACCCTCGGACAGATATATTATATTGTCCTCGGGATAATCGAAATGTACTGAACCTCATGTAGGATAATCTCTATATCTCCAGGGAAGATATAGTAGCAGATCAATTCATTAATCTGCTCCAGCAATATAAGAGTATGAACATTTCACAAACTTAAACTCTACTTTTTAAGACTAAGAAAATGCGTACCCAAAGTACGTTTTTTAATTTTGGAACTTCATGAAAAAGTAGCATAAGTTTGAAGTATAGTTTTTGTTTCGTAAATCGAGTAAAACGTAAATTGAGTTCGCCTTTTAGGAGCTGGACCAGAATGGATAAAGCCTGTGTCCATCCCGGTCCGGACCTTGGCAATAGCTCCCTAGATACACTATATATTCCCGCTCTTTATGTACCTAGAACCGCAGTACGTATGGAATACAACAGATACAAATCATGGAATAAAAAAGTTACCTTCTCAATGTCGTCCTTGGGATGTTAAAGGTTTCCGATGCTACACGACTTGCCATTCCTTGTCTCATTGCCCGTACTGCTCTTGCAAGGTTATCCCCATGGTCTCCTATAGTTGTTTTTCTTTTGTACTCACGTACCATCTCTAGCCCTATAAGCAATTGCAAATGTGTTATAAATGTTTATGATTTACTCCTAAAACACTTTTCTGATCTGATATATCAGTATATGGAATTTAGTTACATGGTCCAATGATAAGGGACGGCTGTAGACAATCCAGTTGATAACGTCTGAATAAAAGTGAATATCGACTATGGTGTGATCAACAAGGCAAACATGAATTCTTGTCAATAATTGCTTCGGAGTTCAAAAACATCCATATACCCCATGTTTAAACAAAGAATTTCAAATACCTCTTTCATATCAAAACGTCCATGTGGGGCAAAGCGGCCCTCAGGGCCGTTTTGCCCCACTGTCACGTGATTTTTAAAATGGACGCCATTTTAACTACTCTAAGATTTGGATATTGAGATTTTGACAAATAATGAATAAATATACATACTCTCTGTTAAATCTTGATTTAAAACGATTTTCCATTGTTGCACGATTTTTCAGAGATTTTTGTGGGAGGGGTAATTTGTAAAAAAGAGTGTTAAAAATATAATTACCTCTTACGTAAGACGAGACGCTCCTATGTTTAAAAATGGCGGACGAAAAGGAGGCGCAAATTTCCAAGGTCAATCACGTGACTTTTGAAGAGCCATCTTTTAATCGTTCAAATAATATTTCGATGGGCCTTTTTGCCCCACAGGGCCGCTTTGCCCCATGTTCCCTTATATGATATATTCACAAGTGAGCGTAGCGAACGAGTGAATATATAATATTCTCACGAGAGTATAAAATGCAAGATATGCAGAATGAACCATTATATAATCTTATTATGCCACTCTAAGTTCAATTACAGTTGATTCGAACACAATCATAACAATTAAAAACCATATAAAAAATCCATAGCAAACTCAATAATGCTGATGTTGATCTCGAACCATTTATGACGTGGCTTGATTCTAGCAAATCATGCCGGAACCATTTATGACGTCACTTGATTCTAGGAAATCATGAAAATTTTCATGATTTTTTTATTCATTAGTTCCCAGAATGCACTTCTACAGTGGTATACGCTGGAGTGTATACGGAGGAGTTGTATACGATGACGATATACCACTCTCCACTGTATATCGTTGTTATAGACCCATGTTATACAACTGTAATTGGACTTAGAGTGGTATAACATTATATATGTTAGTCTCAGCCTAGACAGTATATATATCAATTTTATTGGATAATGCCATGGGCTTTCCCACGATAATGCGTAAATTCGAATGAACTTGAAATGAAATTCAACATCCAAAATGTGTTAATTTGATCATCCACCGTGTAACTAAAAGCATATTCATGGCCTATTTGCCTTAAAATACGATTGTGATTATGATTTCGAATTCTGTTCTCCATATGTAAAATCTAGAAACATAACAGAGTTAAGTTACACGAAATTCAGCCAACTTGAACATGAAGTCTTGTCAATTTACTCAATCGTTGATTGATTTCTAGGTTTATTAGAATTAAAAGAACGAACGTTTCATCAAACGAGTCCTATATTCAATATCTATTCGTTGGGCCCATTCTTTAAATGTAACTATATTATTTTAACTTTAAAAGTATCTGTTTAGTGCTACTTTAACATATATTCATTATTTTTATCCGCACAACAGTATCAAACGTTAATGCACAACTAGCCATGCCAAGACATGGCCACTACCCTCGTCCAAAGTAAAATACAAGGTCCTCATTCTTTAATGATTATGTTTCAATTGATTTAGTTTAGTGATTTAAATGTAGGAAAATGAGTCGCTGTGATGTCATATCTGGCGCAGCAATTTCAGAGTCACTGCAAAAAATTGAAACATCAGTCGGATCATAAGACTAAATAAAAAAGCTATTTAGGGATGAATAACATTCGGTGAAATCCGTGATATCGTTATATCATTCGTTAATTGTCAAAGCTGCGCCCATTTCTCGGTGCAGGCAGATATAAGGCGGCCAGACTGGGCATACACAAAATGTATTGTATGTGCTCCTTAGGTTGCACTCGGGTGCTATCAACATCGAACACACACACGTTTAAGATACACAGAGATAATTAAGGGATGGGTGACAAAGGGATGTTAAAAACAGGTGGCTATTGCAATTGATATTTTAATGTAACTTTAGTATGTAAGAATCTTTTCATCAATAAAAATAACATCTTAGATATTGCAGCTACATGTACAATGTGAGTGTATTTAAAAATGTAGTACATAGCTAGTTCCATCTATAAAGATGTCTGATGACAAAAAGCTCAATTTTCCTTGATGTCGTGGTCAATGGGACTTTAACACGTGAACTAATGTTTTTTATTTTTTTGTTTTAAAGTCACTTATAGCAAACCTAATCTAACAATTATCTCACTATATGCTTATGACATATTCATGTATACGTTGTTTGTCTTTTTTTCAAATCAACCCACGGAAATATGCAATACACCAAGTTAAAAAAGTGGTACGAATCATAAAAGCGACGTTGGGTGTTTCACTAGTAATTTTTATATGAAAAATCTAGAAATATTACCCAAATTAAACTATGACTATTCAAAAGAAGACATTCAAATCTATATTATGTAAAAAAATCAAATTTGTCCGAAGCAGGGATAACGCTCAATTAGAGTGACGAACTTTGTTCTCCAAACCGAGAATGGTCTTTTATGAAAAAAGTTATGAAAACACATCACCAGATCATGTAAAGCTGTTTTACCTAAAAGATCGTTTTATCTTCACCCTTCGATTGGATTTCATGAAAAAATATTTTTATGAAAAAATAGGATTTGTAGGATATCGACGCTCTAACATGTAGTTTTAATCACACGCAGGTATCTGGTTTTATTGCGTGTAGAATGTATCGATATCAGGACCGCTACATGCCAGTGACCTTGCTCCTTTCTGTCGTATTAAAAAAGCAAAAATAACATATCACGGTGGGGTGCGAACCACTCGCCTGGGACTTGGTTATTCACTAGTACCATAGGCGTTCATCTATTCTGGATACAACTGACGAGTTGTATTTACGTGCAGTCAAAAGTGAAGATCGTTTTGAATTGACGCTCGGTATAAATATATGATACTTTTATCCTTTCGTATCGGTTGCACGTTAGCCTCATGGCTAACGTGCCTAGCTTCCATGCTCTAGGTTAGTCGATCGAGACCCGTTCATGGCGAATTTTTTGATTTGCTTGTTGTAAAGATATAATAAGTAGGGCAAAATCCAGAAAAAGTAGATCAAAAATACTCCAATGGAGTATAAAATTGTCACCAGGATTCCGAAATGAGACGAATGTAAACTCGTTAAATCTCGGTAGATGAAGTAGGTCAGAAAATCCGGATTAATCCGAACAAGGTTCGGAAATCTTCGTCATAAGAAGTAGATCAAAAATACTCCAATGGAGTATAAAATTGTCACCAGGATTCCGAAATGAGCCGAATGTAAACTCGTTAAATCTCGGTAGATGAAGTAGGTCAGAAAATCCGGATTAATCCGAACAAGGTTCGGGAATCTTCGTAATAAGAAGTAGATTAAAAATACTCCCAATGGAGTATAAAATTGTCCCCAATATTCCGAAATACGACGAATCGAATCGGCAAACTTCGGTAAAATAATGAAGTGCATAAAAACCGAAATGATCCGATGAACGTTCGGATAAAATCGTGAACAGGTGTCAGGGGTTTCCCCTCATCTTTCCCCACATTGTTCTAAAAGCCTTATATGGATTTATCACGTAACATTCAAAATGACGTTCCTATATGGTTCTATGGGTTCGAACACGTGACCAAATATACCAAATAAAAATTTTACCTTGACCACTGGATGGGATTTCATAGAAAATATCCAAGAAAACCTATCCTCGTGATCCTTAAATCACTTAAATTCGATCATTTTATTTTTACCCCTTGATGGAATTTTATGAAAGAAGTCATGAAAACACATCATCATGTAAGGGTTTTCACCTAAATTAGCTCGTTTTATCTTGAGCCTTCAATTGAATTTCTTGAAGAAATATTTTATGAAAAAATATCATCATGTTATGATTTGTATTTAAATAAGACCGTTTCATCTAAATACTTGGATAATATTTCATAAAAAATGCACTTTAAAATTTTTCAGAATTTGCCTTAATTTATCAATGTAATAAAAGTATAAGATTAACTCTCAAATAGCGTTCTATTTTAACCTTTTTATTGAAATCAATACAGGACTCGCTCTCTAAATATCCAATAAAAATTCAACCCTTGGATGTGATTTCGTTGGAAAAAAAATATGTCAAGTCCAGAATCAAATGGTTTGTCCAGAACCTCTTAAGATCCTGTTAAGCCTACATTTTTTTGTATAACTAAAGTTTGTTATCTTTATTTCATGATATTAATTTTGTACTTACTGTTTTTCAAGGTGGTACACTGGAGGCATAATGGTTACTAGAGGAGGTTTAGTAATAGCTGGCAATACAGAGGATAGATACCTTCGGGCGTTTAACATTGATACTGGGGAACAACTCTACAGATCTCCAGATCCAATGATTGCTATGGCAGCGGGGAATCCAATATCCTACAGGACTGGTGGGAGGCAATATATTGTTCTTGCTGCAGGGGGTAACTCGTTTTTCGGACGGTTCCCCAACCACTCTAAAAGTGATCACGTATATGCGTTCTCGTTACCATGATACAACATAATGAGTAAACCAAATGCGTTTGACTCAAAGCACAACGTCAGTAATAAGCTATACCATATTTCTAAATAAAACACCTTATTACAAAATCAAATCTGTTTAGTATTAACATAATTTTAACGGCGTATATTTTATATGTAAAACTAAAAATAATTCTCCAAGTATATATATACTTGGATGGCACTTCAGAAAAATTATACTTTGAAATAAACATCATATGTATTGACTAATTGCGTGTAAGTAAACATAAAATATAGTTACACGTCGCACGAAACTGGGGACAATTTAGCGTAACATTATGGCGTCAAAAAAACAAAACAAAACAATGAGCAGTATAGGGCGCAAACACCCTTACAACGTCAAAAACGACAAGCGTCACATTTTTTCAAGTTTACTCAACCTAGAAATAAAATACTTTATACTTATCTAATCATTACAAAATTCACAGGGTAGCAAGATCTCGAGGACAGTATTTCTAAAATGATTTTGAATTTTGAAAAAACGGTCAAGAAATCCATTTGGGGCGTTAGTAAAAATTGATATGTATGGAATTTGTGGTACAAAATCGATGCGTCACATTTTTCAAGTCTCGAAAACCAGCTCTTATTTTAATATTATTTGCAAAATAAACAAAGTTAAACTATAAACAGTTTATTTTTCTTTCAAATCAGACCTAAATTAGAAGGTTAAATGAAGGTAAACTTATTGCTCGTCCCATTCGCCTTCAAAACCTTACACAATTTTGAAATTTTTAAAAGCGTTCGTTTTAAGATAATTTGAACTGTAGCCGTCAAGCAATTGTGACGTCATAAATGCACATGTTCGATTGAATAAAATGTGAAATTTTAGTGGGATTTTGATCATTATTTCAAAAGTTATCACAATTTCAATGAGCCCCGTAAGCGCAAAGTGTTACGTCTTACAGCGTATTTGACGATGTCGGGGTATATTTAACCTTAAAAATATGTAGGATCCCATCAAATTTTGAAGGAAAAATAATTTCACTGAAATGCAAATAAAAAATACTTCAAAAAGATATATAAAACACATAGTTAGCTTTTTAAATGAGGCAGAGATTAACGCTCAAAGCTGAGATCAGCCCTCATTTCCCGAATTGTCCCCAGGTCCTTGCACGTCATAAGTACATATTGAATTATTAAAAAGATATATGGGTAGTATGACTTCCCAAGGGTGGTTAATGATCCATGGCCTTTCTTGGATAATGAAGAATTATAAAATGTAACTGAAAATTCGTATATAGTAGTTATTGACGATCTTAATATTTAGTTCACCTATTGACTATATTTTTACCAGTGTATAGATAAATTTATAGACTGATGAAGATAGTATACAGTTTCTCATACGATGTTTCCTTGGCTGTTTCCAAGAAGGAAAATACGTGACATGCAAATGACGCGAAATAAAATTTCATTTGCCCATGTAGTGTAACATTTAGTTCATTCTGTTATCTGTAATTTCATAACATCCAAATTGATTGTGCAACTTGTTTTAATAAATGTCACATTGTTTGCCATAAATATACCCAAATGCATTTTAGATACGTGGTGCTACGTTTTGTGAAACCTCAGTCTCTAATGCCAGACGATATCCAAATATAGTTTAGAAGGGCAGTGTTTCAAATGATCTAATCTTACAATGATAAGGATAGTTATATGATTTTGCAGGTTATGTAATTTACACGTTAATTGTACACACGTTGTCTTATGTAAAGCTTGCCGCTAGCCTATATATACAGACGAAGGATAGAACAGCATATTTTATTTCAGATAAGGTTATAAAGTTAAGAAAAGAGATGTCATTGTTAAATGCATGTACATGTATTTTGTCATTAGTGTTTCTTTTAGTAGCACACATTGGAGAATGCAAGAGTGCATTAAGCACGGTAAGTATTGATGTGTAATATAGATGACATATTTCAATTCAAGTGGCAGGAGGGAATAGTGTGTAACATTTTGAGGCAAGCAAAAATCATTACCAACATACTGTAATTTTCAAGGTGCCCTTATTTTCACTATTTTCGCTGACGAGGCTACACCGTGAAATTAAAGGTACAGTATGTATTTGATTTAACATTACATTCATTTGGACATTTCTTCAAAGCAGTTAAATATAATGCCAATGAAACATGATTCAAGATTGGTAAAATAGTTATTTTTGTCAGCAAATCTTTGAGCTTTTTCAAAAATTATTTTACATGTATATCTAAAATAAGAATTGAAATATCAGATCAATGTTGATGTCCTTGAATAATTTAAAAGATACAGAGGTGTAAAATTGAAAAGGAAGACGGATATTTATTTCACTTTTGAAAAGCTATGATAAGCGCTAGTTGTTTTGATTAATTGACCTTTAGGTAAGTTTGACATTGCTCATCAACAAGTTTGAACGGCCTATTTGCAAAATATTCGAATTGTATGTCCTTTTTGATTCTTGTGATATTTCAGAGATGTAGATGGTGAACTCAAGGGGTTTGATTTAGATCTTTCCAATGCAGGTAAACCTTTACATTTTATGCTTTGTACAACAATTCAAAAATATGGTTGCACATTATAAAACAGTTTGTTCCAAAGTTACAAGGTCAAAAAAGAAAATATGCCATTGCCAGTGAGGTTTGTTTTTGTAATCATACAGAATATATTCAAGATATAACACTAATAACTTCAACACCTGAAATTCTAACCCGGCCATGTGCTTTTATTTTGTTTAATTTGACACATCGTGTTATTTGTTACGTTGTGGATTTGGAAGTGAAGGGATCACACAAATGTTCTTTAGAAATACTCTTAAGGGTTGGTTTAGAAAGTTTAATTTTATGTTTTTCATTTAGTATGCAGAGTAGCTGGAAAGAAATGCACGTATATCTATCGCATATGCAACTCAAATTCTGCAGATGGGAAATTCCTACCTGGAAAAGGTAAAAGATATTCTGTTCTTGACACACACATAGTACCCCACACAAGTTTTTGGAAATAACTTTGACCCGTGATTTGAACACTCTGCGTGGGGGTACTACGTAACATTTATCAATATGTACCTAAAATGGCCCTTAACATTAGGCCTCCTAAGATCGGACATACTTTTGAGTAGAACCCTTCAAAAATGGCACAACGTTATTTCATTATGAACATTTAGCATGTAATTGGTTCAAACTTCATTTTGCCAAGGACTCCCTGCACAAAGACGTTATTATCATTCTGTTAAATCAGATGGTTTTCTCTTGAACAATAAATAAATAACAATATAACAGCAACCTAAATAATTAAATCAGAAGACTTATAACAATGGCATATACGTCTCACTTCAGCTCTGGAAACAGGAGAGGTCGACGGATGTCTTGGTAACGTAATCACTCCAGAGAGGGAAGAGGTATTTGACTTCAGTCGTGCGTATTTCAAGACTTCATCCAATTTCTTTGTACCGCCTGGAAACCCAAGAGGATTTTCACCTGAGAATATCGAAGGCAAACGAATTGGTGAGTTCCTGGTTCTACCATTCAATTTACCAATTTCTGTATTATGGCTAAATAGATGGCAGTACTTGTGCAGGTTGAGATTTATACCAGTATTCATTATAGATAAAGTTTAAAAAGTCACTTGATGATTTAAGTAACTAGATGATTTTGTTGACGTTCATATTGCGAAATCTAAGCGAATGTGCCAAAGGATGAGGACCAAAAACTATGGAAAATATAGCCTATATATGGAGAATATCCAAATTCATGAAGCTTGCAAAATCGACTGAGTTTATTTTCAGTATTTTTCAATGCCACATACACAAATATGGACTGTCTAAAGAGGCTTGGCCTAAATGGAGCAGTCCCATTGGTCGAATCTGGCTCATTGAGTGACGTCAAAACTAAGGTTCTAGAAGGAAATGTGAGCAAAGAGTTGTTTAGATTGAAATTCAATTCGCATAATTACTAACTAATATTGGAAAGAACATATCGAAGATATTGGAGAAGATTATATTAGAATTGACGAGGATTTCATAAGAAATCATCATAGCTTTTCGGAGGTGCAACATTAACCCATATATCACATTTAAAAGTACCCCAACCCCTCCCATGACTTTCTCTCTCTTATGAACCACACTTTATTTATTCTCATAAGGGGGTTTGGAAATATATAAAATGTGTAAAAAGTATGAACATAGATTTAAATTCGTTGACAAATAATACATGGCTCATCGTCATTGTTCTTATCTTCAACTGAATTAACATTAAGAATCATAATATTTAAGTTTCCGCTTCATTTTGCATAATTTACCAACAGGCCGATGCCCTATTTGCGCCAAGGACCACCATACCAGGAGTGGAGAGGGTGCCGGGACAGTATAACTGCGCAAGCGGAGCAGGTGTGATGGTTCTAAAGGGGAACGCAGACATACCGACATGGTGGAACAGAGCCTTCCAAATAGTTGTTGAAAGCGGAGAGTACAAGAGAATATGTGATTCTGTTGCTATTAAATATGGAGGTAAGGCTTACACTTAGAGGATATAAAGGCGCTCAAGTGTATGAAAAACCAGAAAGAGTGCACACAGTGTCGAATGTATTAAACTAGACTTTAGACTTTTAATATAAGCAAATTGCAACGGTCTGCCACTGCAATTTGCTGGTATTAAAAGTCTAAAGTCTAGTTTAATAGCGTGTCGTAAAACTTTATACCAAGAAGGCTACGATGGGAGAGGAAATCTAGTCCAGAGGGATCGTAATTTGATAATGATTTGAAAGTCACGTTCGCATTCTCCAAAATAGTGGCTAAATGCTATTTGAACCCGCTGAATATTACTCCTCTATAGCAAAGGGTCATGATTTCCCGGAAAACTATATTACAGATTTTATCAAAATGTTAAGGCATAATTTCAATATTGCAGGTTATCCAGTGAGATGTTTTGACTTCCAAACTAATGTGATAGGATAAACAATACTAAGACCAAACTTCAAAGTGGTTCTCAATGAATGAGTGCTCACTTTCATTATTTAATTAGGGTAAGGGAATTCCACTTCCCTCGCTTCCCTCTTGCCCCCTATGAGTGCTCCCTCCCATTACTGATCGAATTTGAGTAGATGAACTTCTCATCCTCTCCATTCCTGCTGCCAGAGCATCTTTTAAGTGTAACAGAAAGAATAATTCTCCCATCATTTTGATATTTAATACAAACTTATTCAAACAAGTCCATAAGAGCCCCCCCCCTGTTCTTTTTTGTTTTTCCAACGTTACTCCTTATGCTTTTCAGTGGTATAATTTTAGAGCAAAGTATTAATTTATCGATTGACAATCTGGGATATCACACTATCGTCGGTTACGGTTCACTGGTTCAAACAATTTAACAGAGATACACAATGTTATATTAGTAGCCGAGACAACACAAGTCCCAAGTCTGTATTTTTACTCTCATTTCTTCACTTTTAAGAGTTAAGTCATCATAATTTGCATGCATATTCCTTGAAGAAATCCTAACATAGAATTTTATTGGTTTCGATTATAATTTATTTGTTAGAAATAGAGAAACATTTGATTTGTATTGGTCCATAGTCAGAATTATCCATTTTGTGTAACAAATGCAACATTTTGACGTTATTAATAAAAATTGAAGTTATAAATGATAGATACAATATGGTGTCTCTAATCTTATTGACAATAACTATCACCCTAGATATTTTTTGCCAGTCATCAGATCATGCATTGGAAGAGTACCCCAATGAGAAATGCATTCATTGATTGTGGCAAGCAGTGAATTGGCAAAACAGTGGTGGAGTCACACCATTATTTTGCCGCATTTTGGTGCTTAATTTCCCCTTTAAGATCGTTTGTCACTACTGTGACGTCACAATATAGCATATGACGTCATAATACGGGTACCAAATTAACGCACACATTACAAGCTTTAAGATGATACCAAATATGTCATCATTCATTTGATTAAAATGGTTACTGGAATAAGCCCAAAGGGTATGCCACTCCCCTACCCCATCCATTTTTCAGGAAATTAAAACACACAAAAAATCTCAAATAATGCAGGCATCTTCAGGGGTCCTTTTTGGCCCCGTTCTATTTCAAATATCATGTTTCTGCATACCATTTTTCTCGGATATGTCTCAATTACCCCAAAATAGTTACACTTCTGCTGAAAAAGGAAACATGTGGTCAATTTGAAATTATTACACCAAAAGTAGTGATTTTTTATATAAAGTTAAAATAATGCATTTGTCGCTGAAAATGGCAAATTTTGATTATAGACCAATCAGAATCAAATGTTTCTCTATTTTCAACAAATAAGTTATAATCAAAATCAATAAAATTCTATGTTAGGATTTCTGCAAGGAATATGCATGCAAAATGTGGTGACTTAACTCTTAAAAGTGAAGAAATGAGAGTAAAAATACTGACTTGGGACTTGTGTTGTCTCGGCTACTATATTGACATAAGTTTTATTTTTGCATCGGGTTATGATCGTCACTGCAAAAAACTATGAAAATCATAGGAAATATTACCGTAGATACGGCAATATAGATGGTGAGGTAATCTAATATATCCTATAATTACCAGCTGTCTTATATTGGTTTAAATTTTTTTTCCGAATACCTCGGTGTAATATAACATCTTATTACAAGTATAGAAGAAAATAATTAAATATAAACGTTTTTCTTGCATCTTATTCTTCTTCTAAACGCGTATAATAATTTCTCAACTAAGATTGCATTGTATTATATTCTACAAGAAAAAATATTATTCCTACATTATTCTAGGACTTCAACCTATTATTCGGCGAATAACCGGTTCTGAGAGTGTGTAACCTATTATTCGGCAAATAACCTGTTCTGATATTTTAATTGTTTACTTAGCGGGCGCCAAGCGTCTGGAACCTAAACATGAACGGTAAATAGTTTGATTGTGACTGATTACTAAACGCAAAAATGCGAGAAGTTCAAGTTTTCTCTTTTTTATCAGAATTCATCGCCATTCAAAACAATTTCAATATAAAACTCATTATGTAAAATGTTAATTGGAATAAACTATTTGTGACTATTAACCACCGCCTGATCCTTTCAAAAGAGATACAAGGATATTTTGTCTCAATCTACTTACCTCATTTTATGTAACTAAAATAGATTTTATGATTTGCAAGGGGGGGTCACTTTTTGAAAAATTCCAGGCAGGGTTCACTTGTGACAATTTTGGTCCAAAAAAAGCAGGAATCACGATGGGTGCGAGCAAACCTCACCCCCCTATGGCTACGGGCCTAAGTATATGTTTTATACAGAGAGGTATATTCCAAATATTGAGTTTGGTTTAAAGAGAAGTATCAATGACAAGGGATTATTCTTTAAGAGTTTTAATTATATAATCCACATAATCTACCCTTTGCATTCGTTTGACTTCACTTCTTAAAAGAGAGCTTCGTCTTCACTCTTTCAAACTGAAATAAACCTGTGAACTCACCGCGCCAATCAGTGTTCGTCGGCCAAATTTGACCTACGTTCTATATATGGTCATTCCTTCTGACGTCATCGTTGAGCCCGGAATTGACCAATGACATGCGCATATTTAATTAGAACGCATATGGCGTATGTTTCTTGCAGCTCGCTGATTGCTGGAAGAAAGGTCAGCGCGTAGGTCAAATTTGATTTATTACACAAACTGTCACCGGTACCCGTCGTGTTGGCGGGGCTTCTACTGTAATATGGTCTCTACTAGGCAGAGTGTAGTTTAACTAGACTCTGCACGCAGGGTACACATAATCTGATCTTGTGATAAACCTAATGATCAAAGGATGGCTTTTTGCATCATTGTTAAATCGGAGATAAGTTTGACAATACCCATGTTTGGAAATACCCATGTTTAACTTGGATTTAATTTAAAACATTTGATTCCGGTTTTCTAATGAATTTGAGTTTGATTTGTTCATGAATTGTTAGACTTTGTCAATGTCAATTGATATTGTTTTTCTAGATATTTAATTGATTAAATATGTCAAATCATGGGAACCAAAAAGTATAATCTTAAGGCCGTTTAAAACGCTTTTATAAGATTCAAATGCTCAAGGTTAATGATTTTCCTTGTTTTAAATGTTTTAAACAATTCATTTGTGCCCTTGTGCCAAGATTTTACTTTGTTGCCATTTGAAATGAGATCATTTGTATATTCTATATTCCAAATTTCCGTTCTTTCAAATAAAAAGTCAGACGATACCCTATAGGGAAATAACTATAGGGAAACTACTATTTGTTTGAATATATTCTAAGATGAGTTCATAATGCGTAAATTTCGTTTGTTACAGGCAAGGTCGCATACAGGACCACAGATATCTCTTTTTTCAACATTTTGATTGCGAAAAACCTCTGTCCACTTACTACCCTTGGATCGCCCCAGAGGTTGCAAAAGCTAAACTTCCATTTTCTGTTCAGAGTGATAATTTTTCAACTGGCGCATTTATCGGAAGGGTAGCAAGAAAAGCAGCGCTTAAGTTTGACCAACTTGGAGAACTGGCTGTTATTTGCAAAAGCAGCAACCCAAGTGCGCGTCCCTGTATCACGTATGTTGCTTCTCAACTTTAAAAAATCATTTAAATTACTTTGTCACTTGATGGATTGACCGAGCCTAAGGGCATTTTAGTTGTCCATCAGACAATGATAGTCATTTTAAATCAATTTTCCATTCATAAAAACTTAAAAATTTCAGTCATTTCTTTTGCTTAAAAATCAGTCAAAGCGTATTGACGTGTCGCAAAAAGGCGGCGCATTCGTTTTTTAAGGGTATCGCGTGAATGTAACTTTGATTCCCCGGATTATAAGATAATATTCTAATTAAAGTTATATATCATTTTAAAGCTGTTTCGATGAAGTTTTTAGATCAACTATACTCCGTTAACGATTCTTGCGCATTCTCTTTTAAAAAAGAGTTTTTTTACCAAAACATCTGGCAAATATCCCCTGTTGACACGTTACATTTTGAATTATTTTTCGTCTTTAAACGCTCATAACTCAAACAATATATGCCTATTATACTTATTTTTCGTCTTGATAAAGGTAGATGGAAGTTTTATTTCAAAGGATGAATTTTAGTAAGCGTCCCATATTGTGACGTCATAGAGTTCGAAAAATAGAATCTGTTGACAGCGACCTTTTTTGCTCATTTTTTGTTACCTTCAACTTTTCAGGTGTACATTAAACAAAAAATTCGAGATCAATTTTTAATAAATCATACATGATTATTTTGCTCTTAAACTCAAGTTTATTAATAAATAGTTGATTTTGTTCGCAAAAGTATGTGTTTTCAGTTGTATGTGGAAAAGTGGAGGACGAAAGGTTTTCAAAATTCATTAAAATAGGGCTTATTTACGCCATTCGCCTATTTTCAAGCACAGCAACACGTATATTTATTTCACCTAAAATATCAATTGATTCGTGTTTTATGATGCTCCTATCCCATTGCTAATACATATACGATATCAGAGTTATTCGCCTTAAATATTTTGAGATATAGAGGCAAATGTGGAGGACGAAAGGATTTCAATATATGTACATTTTTCTCAAAAACGTCACATTTTGTGGTGTTAAAAAGCGAAAATGTGTAACAATGCGTGCGCGACCTTTTTGCGACACGTCATTGTCATTTGATGGATTAACCGCGCCTTAGGGCATTTTAGTTGTCCATCAGACAATAACAACTCTATTTTGCATTCCTGTAAATTTATAATATATTTTCGGCAATTTCTTTTGCTTTCATTAAACACATAATCTTATACTTTGGGTAACGAATCGTCCACAGCCCTTTTCAGGGCTAAACCAGTCCTTTTCAGGACTTTAAAACAAGTCCCCCAAGTAGTCACCAAGTGGATCCTATTTCTCCGAGCAGCTAAGAACGCAAGCAACACGCCTGTCAAACGGCCCTTTTCAGGGCCACCCTTTCTTTAAAAAGAGAATTTAAATTATGAATATCTACATGTAGTTAAAATGTGTTAAAATGGATTGATTGATTGAATGGTTGAATGGGATATGTAGATAGATATTTTTATCTTGTGATTGCTAATTGTTAGGCCATTTCTTTTGAACGCGGCAATTTGATGCAAGTGCATGGTTTATCGTGCTTTTAAATGAAATAGATGCTGGTTCACTCATTGTTAACGAAAAAGACATTCGTTTTATTTCATTCACATTTGTTTTATTTTTTCTATTTAATGAATAATAGGATGAACAACCAGCATAACTGATTTTGCCAAGACCGTGATTCCCGAATATTGAAAGTAATAAAATAAAAATCGCAATCTTACCATTATATACACATTCATTTTCCTTACGTTGTAAAATCGAGTGTTTGCAAAAGGATATTCGATCGTTTTATTTTAATTATGCGATGAGCAATTTTACATTTATGTTTTGCAAATCGTCGCATCTTTCATTCATCCCCATTAACCCTCTACAGTTGTGCTATAATTTCAGCAAAACAAACATTCCTTTTAAAAAAATCGAAAATGAATTTTATAGATATATGAATTAAAAATAATGCGAATGTACTAGGCAGAGACATGTCATGTTATATACACACAGAGGCAATTATATCGTCGCGCCAATCATAAACACAGGGCAGATTTAGACTTTGTTTATCTGTTTACATAAGACTTTGGTCCAAGAATATCCGCGTATATCCGCTTTTGATTGAACATTTCTTGAAGAATAATTTATTTTAGGTTTATTATTTGGCGTATAATATTATTATTTGCCGAAGATAACAGGATATAGTAGAATATTTTTTTTTCCGAATAAGATACCCGTATCTACTCCTGTTATTCGGCTAATATTATATTAGGTTACACCCGTTTAAAACCCCTTATAGGGGCAAATAAGAGGCGTGTAGAAACCTACAATATTACAGATTTTGCCCAGTGCGTAATATTATAAATGCAAAGAGTAATGAGGATGTTCGTGAGTCGCAAAGGGGTCTTATCACACCAAATAAGAGTATGAAAAATGCGTTGTAATTTAAAATCTTAATGCATTATAATTTAAAATCTTGATAAAATTGTTTGTAACACTTTCGTGTATATTGGGGTTTCCATTCGAACAAGGTGTGTTGAGAATGGTCAGTCTGCTTTATAGCGCAGAGTATAACTCATCCGATATGACCCCCTTCTCTTGACAACGCGATAATATAATTGTAATATTTATCATACCATATACTATCTATAGGTGATTAATTGTAATGTCATCCTCTCTCTAAACTAAACATACTAACAAATAAAATACGAACTACATTTTTTTTAAATAAGCAACTCCCCGGCCATAAACCCAAGTAAGAGATTCTTTAGAACTACAGGTAAGTGACAACTGACAACTCATTGTCTTCAATGGAAGATTGAGCAGCAGATTTTAACAATTCATATTTTTGCAAGTATTTTCTGGCTGTAAAAAATAAATGCATGCGAAACGCTCAATATATAATCTTCAAGAAAAGTTCAAAGAATGATATCAACATCAATTGGATATATCTCATAATAGTCGTGATTAATCCATCCATTAACAAGCTTTTACAAAATACTTTCATCATTTTCACCATCCTCCGCCAATTTCTTTACAATTTTTTATGCAAAGTTGTCAAAAATCTGAACTGCACAATCTTCCTTGGCTATTTGCAAGCAACATGTACAATTGACCTCCCATACTATTCAATACGATATCAAATACATCTCCCAAATGATCAGCGATGTTATGTGAAGTTATTAAGGTATTAAGGCAAAAATGGGGGCAATGTTTAAATTCTCCCAAATAATAAAAATAGTAGCCATATTTATGGATCTTTAGTTTTCCTGAAATAAACTATTACTTTGGGGGATTTTCAGAAATAAAATCATATGAGCAAAACATATTCTAAAAGATGCAATAAATTTTTCTTTAGCTTGCCCGCAAGATCTGATTATATATTTAAAGTCAATCTAATTAGAGTAAATTTTTGAGAATTGTTGCATATGCTCATGCTATTTTCGGGTACAAAATAAAGTAGAATAAACTTCATGTATGAACCACCAATAAAAATAAGATAGAGCCTCTATTATAATCATTATAATAGTGTCGTTTTTTCTCAGTTTAAGAGATTTGAACGCAACGATGCCTGCTTTTGTCTTTCTTATGAGCTACTTATATATCGCAACTTGTAATGCTGGTGATGGTGTCTCCTTCAAAAACTATATGAACAAGATATGTGGGTCTGAGTATTATAGAATGGAAGACTTCAGCGACGTAATGAACATGTGCAAGTCTGTAAGTAAACTGTATTTCCAATCAAACGTCATGTTCCATATCGTATGCCTCGATCACACAAGCTCAGATTCATCGGCCGGCGCCCGCTCGATTGAGTATTTTGTTCAGAATTGCATTTCATTTTTGAACAAAATACTCAATCGTGCGGGCGCCGCCGGTGAATCGCACTTTATATGAGCCTTATTTTACAAGTAGTCACGTCCCTTCATATCAAATTCATAAGACATTATAAAGTATTTTTAACATCAAAATAATTCGAATGATAATTTTACAGAATTCAACCAGAAACATTGTTATCACGGAATCTGTCTTTGTTGATTTTATATGGGACATTTGAGGGATTTTCAGGAAGAATCAATGTTAAAATATTCATATAGAAGAACATGTAAATAAAGTTATAAACTGACGTATCACGTGGCTGTATTCTAGGTTAAAAACAAGTATCGTGATAGATATGACAATGTTAGTAAATGGAAGTGTAAATATTTTGTCAAAAGTGGCGAGGATTATGTCATGAAGGTAAATATGTTTATTTCATAATACTAGCAGACTAATAATGCATTGTACTAACTCAATCATTGCCTTGTATGGTATAATACAATAATGCAATAATACAATGATTGTGTGTTTCCAATTGTGTAGCAGATTGCAAATGTAAGAAAAAATTATGTAATTGCACTAATGAGCAATTTATGATCGCGCCATTCAATTAGGTTACAGGGAACATGAACATTCAAGAACATGCAGTGGAACATTCAATCAAATTGAAGAAATTACGATAACAAGCTTCAAAGATATTTCGGGAACTGATAATTGATGATAATTTGACTATTTGGAAATCTATTTCAGGTGAAGGTTGAATCTAAACCTGCCAATTTCATCCACATTTTGGTAGACCAAAAGGGCAACTTAGTAAATCTACAGAATGGTTCCTTCACAAGGAATGACTGCGTTCAATTGAGTGGTATGTATATAATGTATTTATCCCCTTCAAATAGGAAGTCTACCTTATCATGACACTGTATACGTAATTAAATAGTCCAAATTTGCTATGTTAATGGAATATGTATAAACTCCTTAAAGATGAAGTCTATCAGATCTGATGTCCTATTCTCAATAGTAATTCATATGATTTTTTAACATACGTGTAAATACATTTATTAGAGCCAATAAAAAGTTCTTAAAGAGCAAGCCCAATTTTCTTTTTAAGAACCCATATTCTTACTATTGAAAATGGATTCTAGCAATACTATCAAACGTGAATCTACTTGTTGAGACTCGATTAACTTGAGTTCTTCTGAGATAATCAGGATTGATCAGCAAGGGAGCATTGACTCAACATGGGGATACAATTGACTTAAAAGCTGCATATCATCACGCATGCTTATATTACCCTATTATAGGACTATATACAAAATCCTCATTATCTCAGAAGAACTCAAGTTTATTGAGTCTCAACAAATGGATTCGTTTGGGAGTGTGTTGCAAGAATCCATTTACCATAGATGATGCAACGAGGTTGGAAAGATTTGGAGATGCATAAAATACATCAGACATTATCAGTCTTTTGACGTTTTAAATTGTGAATATCATAACATGTCTGACATCCCTCCAAATGTGTGCTAATCCTATCTCCCTCGGAAATAGTTATGGTTTATTTCAACTGTAAATAAACTAAAATAGTGGCCGAAACTACATCTAACATATTGTCCGATGGTGAAGTTGTTGTACAAGTTTGTACGCTGGTGATTTCTTTTGTTAGAGCATTGGGAGCATTACGGTAACACTGTGGGTGGAACACGTTACTCTCCATTAGATGAAATAAATGTCAACAATGTCAGAAATCTAACATTAGCTTGGACATTCCGATATGGACCCAGCCCCTGGCGGTATGAAGTCGATAACAAGCACAAAGATCAAGAGGCTCCGATTATGGTGGAAGACGGCTCTGAAGAAAGTAATGTAAAATATTTCCATATGGTCGTAAAACTTCTTGAAAAACTGCTTGACTGAGGCTACACCTATAACTATAACAATTATATATAGGCCATATTCGTATTTGCCGTAACTGATTTCACTAGGACCTTCAAGTTGAATCATTATGAATAGATCAGAACTTTTATAGCATTAAGAACATGTAAGGTGTAAACATGCTGCATATCTACAAATGTTGATGTCTTCTCACCAATGATCGGAATATTATTTAAAGAATAAAGTTTAAACTCGTTCATCATACAATTATATAATTTAGGGAATGATCTACTTATATTATGTACTCCTTGGCGATCAATCGTTGCACTTAATCCGACAACTGGCGTCGAAGTTTGGAGAAATAATGATGGGGTATCAATTCTTAGGTGTGTGGAATACATCACTTTAATGGCTTTAAACGTTGAATTTTAATGACACCTGATCGTTTTAATAAATAAAAATTGCCATTGATTTCCAATTTACCATTTAACGTTGGCAATTCTATGTCCTGTATTTACTTGATTGGTTGAAATAATATTGAACATTCAAAAAAATCATTTTCAATTTACCATTGATTTCAATTTACCATTTGTTTCTGATTTACCACTGATTTCAATTAACCATTGATTTCCAATTTACCATTGATTTTTCACATTTTGATAGTCTGGTCAGGAAAAATTAATCTTTTTTTATAATTCACAACACTTTTCATTTCCGAGTTATCAGTCCGTTAGCATCCATTAAGATTTTGGGGATCCTCGGAAATATTCTGCTAAACGAGCGTCTTCTTTAGGCTCACCAAAATCCTAGCGCTCCTAGGATAGACTTCTTCTTGACTGATCTTTCATACCAATCATGGCATTTCTATTAACATATTTATCTTAAGTAACGTCTCTGGAACCACATGTCGGGGTGTTTCATCTTGGGTGGACCCGTTAAAGCCACGTGGCACATTGTGTAAACGCAGCATATATCTCACCTCAGTAGATGTAAGACTCTTCGCAGTTGATGCAGCCACTGGAAAAATCTGCTCGGACTTTGGGAACAAGGTAAGTTGACATCTGACATACATTCAATCATGTAGTCTGGGTTAAAATTGAAAGACTAGAGCATATATCTTTTGCAATTCATTTGAATCAGTTTAGAATTCGTAAATATGAAATTGGTTTATCTATATGAAGAATAAATTATAAAATGGTATACAAAGTAGCTTACGTGCAAAATATTGACATCGAAATGTCAATACTTAGGTGCGAATTGTACGACATTTAAGGATATGTTATGACAATATGTATGAACATGTATGCTAATACTTCGAGGAACATTTTGCTTTAGGGTTTTGTCAGTCTTGCAGTAGCAACCCCAGATGCACGTTTTGAATGTATTGAATATCTTCAACCGCCTGCTGTTGTGAGAGACGTATTAATTCTTGGACAAGGTATGACTGAACCATCCTTCAAGATCGAGTATTCACTTTTCCAGCTCATATTGACATGGAATAGATTGGAATACTCTTGGTACAATGATGTGAGTGGCCCCAATTGGCCCAAATATACTATAAATTAACTAGAAAAACAGCAACTCCACGGAGTAGCAAATCCCACCGAACGGCAGTTGAGTTACTAAAGATTACGAAAATGAAAATGAAAAATAGCAGCCATTCTAAAGATCAGCCGCTATCTTAAAAAAATTTTCTCGAACAGAGCTACTGTGCTTCTAGGCATCAGCATATAAAATTTGAACCAAATCTGTTCACTGATATTTGAGTTATCAAAGATTACGTTTTTTACGAAAAATGGCGTCCATTTTGAAATTCAGCCGCCATCTTGAAAATTCTTTCTCGAACAGATCTCCTTTGTCCCTAGGCATCATCATATAAAATTTGAGCCAAATCCGTTCACTGGTATTTGAGTTATCAAAGATTACATTTTTTTACGAAAAATGGCTGCCATTTTGAATATCAAGCCGCCATTTTGACAATCAGTGGCCATCTTGAAAATCTCATCTTGAGCAAAGCTCCTTTGTCCCTAGGCATAAGCATATAAAATTTGAACTAAATCTGTCAACTAGTATTTGAGTTATTAAAGATTACATTTTTACGAAAAATGGCGGCCATTTTGAATTAAGCGGCCATATTGAAAATTCCTTCTCGAGCAGAGGTCCTACACCCATAAGGCATAATCCTATAAAATTTGAATCAAATCCGTGAAACGGTATTTGAGTTATCACCCGGACAAACAGACGGACGGACGGACGGATCGACGGACGAACGGACGGACGGACGGACGGATGGCTTTCCTATATCCCTCTCGAACTTCGTTCGGTGGGATAACCAGAACATTATTTAACTTGTAGGATAGTGTTAATTTCCAGACAACGTACGACTGGCCCCATTGACCATGATAAGATATAGATTAACCAGAACCGTGTTTAAGTTAGAGGATAGTGTAAATTTTCGGACAAAGGTACGACTGGCCCCATTGATAAAGATAAACTGTACATTAGTCCAAACCTTATTTAACTTATAGTGAGTGAAAGATGGTTATTCATCGTGTATCGATTTGATTGACCCGACCCGGTTGATCCAAAATGAGCCAAAGATTGACAAAAACGTATGCAATTGTTAAGATAGAATTTTAATTTTCAAGGTGTGGTTTTCCCCAACTGTTCCAGTTCCATCGCTAGTCCATCGCTTTTGTTGCATTGACGCAAGTTTACGAAAAAGTAACATTAGTAGATAACAAAGGTTCCTCCCCTTTGTTACTTTAATATTGCATCAACGTTATTAGTTGGGGCTCAATGAAACATACATCTCAAGGTTATGTACATGTATTGTGTGTATTATTGAAGCTATTTGGGACGGTTGTGGGACTAATACACCTAAAGGGGTTGTACCGGCATTCGATGCAAGGACTGGAGAATTTATGTGGAAATTTATGATTGTTCCCGAGGACCCATATGATCCAGCTATGAAAACGTACAGAAATGGCACAGAAGCGGTTGGAGCAGGCAACGCATGGGCTACCATGAGTGGGGACGACGACCTAGGTATGATAAAGTGCCACACATTTACATAGTTTTCTCTCCCCCCCCCCCTTTTTTCTTATATTCATGCTATTTTTGCAATTATTAGGTTTGGTTTACGTCCCTACAAGTTCAGCTAGTCTGGATTTGTTAGGAATATATAGAATTGGTGACGGCCACTATTGCGATTCAGTGGTTGCTTTAAATGTCAGTGATGGGAAAGTCGTCTGGTTCAGGCAATTAATACACCATGATGTTTTTGACTATGTAAGCTATATGTTCGCACGATTTTAGAATTATTTATCGATATAACACCTATAGCTTATAATTATAATAATTTAGTCACACAACCGGAAGCAATATCGCGTAGTCAAAAGGCTACGATGTGTGGCCTTTCTGGTTTACTTCAAATTGAATTTTAACATAATTTATCGCGTCCTAGTGGAAACATCATACAGCTATTTTATAAAACTGTGCATATGAATCTGATCACCTCTGAGACCAGCCAAACGTATTCCGGTTAGCAGATATTCACATTTCAAGGTTTATTACAAATGTGAGTCACAAAGAAAAGAAAATGTGTTCACAATGAGAGGTGTTCGGATATAAGAACTGTATTAAAGACATGGCCCGTTTGGAAATATAGTTTAATCATTCAGATATTACTAGTACTTTTCATTATATTGTTTGTTTTTCACAAGGATATAAACGCTCAACCTGTTGTTGGTGAAATAACACGTGATGGCAAGAAAAGGAAAGTCGTCCTGCAGGTAACATAAGAGGAGGGAAACCCACAGAGCTTAAAAATGACATAATATATATAATTACGTCTCTTACTTACCAACTTCGTTTGTCCGAATTTTGTTTGTCCTAGTTTCCGAATGCCACATGCCGTTGTAATGTTTTAAGCGATATTAGCATATTCCGTACATCTTTCTTGATTTTTATGTAAAATTACAAGCTATGATATTTGTTAACACGCAGAAACATAATATTATTCGAAGTGTTTTGAAAAAATTTTGAAACCGGACATATATGGACATATATGTATTCTCTGAATCCCGGGGTCTCCTCCCGTCTCAGGTAACATGGAATATGTACTGGTATAGATCATTCCTAGCACTGCACTGTTTGTTTACGTGTGGAATATGATATGGCATTCGTTAAAAACGATGACCTTATCCTACGAAAATGGAGACTGTGCTTCACAGCAAGTTCGAAGGGTGATACTGTATTGCGCATACTTAATAGGGGAATTTATTAGCTCTTCCTATATACACAACAAATACTTTATTAATCGATCAGAAGTAAAAAGCCTTTTTGCGATTAAACCTCCTTTGTTTCATTTAGTAAAACGTGAACAATGTTTGAAAAGTTGTTGTAACTTTTTGAAATCATGATGGTCGGAGTCGGTGCTGTAGTATACCCATGACGAACACGGTTTTAGCAGTTTGATCCAACACTTTCAATGATACGTAAGCCATGCATATAAAACAAAAAATATAAACAGCTTCAGCTTTTTTGATAAGTACTTGTTGAACTCTATGTACTTTAGGGCACTAAAATGGGATTCCTGTATGTATTAGACGCCAAAACTGGCGAACCTGTATTCGACATCGAAGAACAACCAGTCCCAACTTTTTCTGAAGTATGTATTAAATGTTATCATTGGGCAAATTACAAGTGCATGTGTATTTGTTAAAATTAAAATTGTTGTAAATTAAATGTATATAAAATTACTTATTTATTCCAGTAAACTTGGAATAATGTTTTGAATAACTTGAAACTGTGATTATATCCAGCTGCCTGGTGAGATATTGAGCCCAACGCAACCTTTCCCTATGGATGATTTCCTGAAGTTGACAAAGACCTCAATTGACTTACGATCTGGTAAGGATCTGTGGGGAAGAACGAGTGACCAAGAACAAGCTTGTGTTGACTTTATAAATAGTAGTGGAATCGATCCCATTGGAAAGGTATACGGTATATCTTTATTTTTATTAGCGAAAAATTGCCATAATGACAGATCGATGTCTAAAACTCGGATATAAAAAGTGTTTATAGTAATATTATATTGATAATATTTTAGAATTAAAATTAACATTTGCGATGTATGAAATTGCTTAAAAATCACATTTTATGTTTTCACAGAGTAAAAAATAAGCTGGTTTTATTTATTTCTTTTGAATATAGACCATAGTATAGTGAATACACTTTCAAACAAGCCTTATTAAAAGGTAATCGAAATTTATTGACTGAGATACAATGTTACCAATGCCATATTGTGGTGCACGACTGCCGGCGATTCACGTTTCGATCCATAATTTGAGTAAAGAAAGTGATTTTTCAAAAACTAGTGGTCATATATCCATGAAATCTTTTTTAGGAGATCCTGAACTTGTCCATCAGATGTCTGCAAAACAATATATAGGGGTTATGCACTGGGAGGTTTTGGATACAGGGAATATCCCGTGGGATATACAATATATCTTCCCGAGGGACCGAAGGGACCGAGGGAAGATGTATTGTATATCCCAAGGGATATTCCATGTATCCAAACCGACCGTGCATAACTGGTGTATCTCATACTTGAGTGCGTTTAGGGTAGACATAACCTTTTCCACCTTTTTCAGATGACAAGATATTTATATTGAACATTTTCGTAATATTCTTTTTGTTCAATACAATGAAATTGTAACATTTAAACTTAAAAAATTTTAATTTTAAAATTAAAAAATTAAAACTTTTGATATTTAAACTTTTTTAAACTTTTGAAAAATTCCCGGGAGCGGGATGGATATATTATATCTGCCCGCATTTGGCCTGGAGCGGGACATATACAATATATCCTGCCCGCTCCTCAGATACGATATATATTCCCGGGTGATATCTACCCCAAACCCACTCAAGTATGAGATACAACATTTTATCCTACACTTAGTGTACTAAATGTATAATAACATTAACATAAAAAAATTATTTTGAGATTTATTGGCAAAATGAATAACCGGAGGATATCGTGATGATGTACTCCAGGCGGAGGATATCGTGACGATATACTCCGGAAAACCCAATATGCGGAGGATATTGTGACGATATACTCCGCTTGTTGATTTCACGCCAAATTGACTCTATTTGGCAACGAATTCATTTTGCAATGATATTATACATTTAGTACACTCCTTGAAAGTGTATGATAATAACAACATCCTATGATTTTTTCAGAATATCATTTTAAACTACTCAGTGATATTGATGTATGCACTCGTTCGCTTTGCTCTCGTGCATCATAGGATCATAGGATATCCCATTATTATCCCATGGTTACAAGGATATATGTGGATCAAGATATCGTATTTTAGCAAACCATTCCCAAACCATCGAATATCTTACTGAAATCATATTTTGTCGATGGGGGAAAATGTAATCCCTTGCTCATTTGGGCTGTTTTTGTCACACCCTGTATTTGTAAAAAGGTGCTATCGTTTCTAAGAGAGTCTGCACAAAGACAATCATATACCTGTCCAACTATTTCGCCCTCAGGAACAACCTAGATACTTTTACTGGGTACTTTGATACTTTATAGCTGCCGAGCATGACATATCGAAGGTGACTTATCGCAATTTATATTTTTCCGTTATTAAAGCTTTTTAAAGGTATGCTTACCATGTACAATCACTTTAATATTTTTTAAATCGTTTTCATTTTGCGGAGGAGTCAATCCGCCCCGCCCCCCCCCCCCCCTTATCCGTTCTTTTTATGAAAAAAAAATCATTGCAAGAGTATTTCACATTCGCTAATTAATTGCAGATATTCACAGCGACCCTAATTAGTCGACCCACAATAATGATCCCTGGGGTATTAGGAGGTATGAATATGGGAGGTAGCGTGGCTTTGGACCCTACAAGAAGTATCGCCGTAGCAGCAACGCAAAATTTTATTATGAGTAAGTACATAATAATTATATAGTTTTGTTTTAACGTCACTTAGGGAGGGCTAATATTTCTACAGCTGTATATGATGTCAAATGAAAAAGCTACTCCCCCCCCTAGCAAATTTCGCATTCCATCTGGTTTTCCTATTGTCCTTTGCGTTCAATAAGTACTATTGAATGAATGATAGTGGAGTCAGATCTTTTTTAGGAAAGCAACAAACTTAGCACAGGTTTAGAAACATATGATCTGAGTGAGAAATGATTTCGTCATGGATTTATTTTAGCCTCTGACCCCTAACCCTATGAGGATTTAGTCCTCATATTCATGAAATACACAGTACTTGACGTTCCATATTTGGCCCTTTAAACAATGATCTTGCTAGATAATTGGTTTGAAATGTATTTTCCTCATAAATACTGCTTCTAAAATGAGTTTTACACAATATCAAGGTTCAGAGCAGTCACAAAATGAAGTCATCTAAAGACAAATACTTTAAAACCATTTTTATATTTTTATAATTTAGCCCCACTAAGAGGCTAAAAATCCACGAAGACCACCCTGAATCACTTGCCCCGAAATCATTTTTCACCCAGATCAAGTGTTTCTACAACTGTGGCAAGTTTGTTGCTTTCCTGAAAAAGATAAACTATCAAGGGGTTATTTCTGGATTTCTGACTCCGCTATAATGTGATAATATACGGTAAGATTGTCAGAAGTCTGGAACCACGGAAAACATGACCAGGTCAAAAGTTGCAATGATGCACAACCGAAAAGTGTGATATACAGGCTGTGTTTAATGGGGCTGTTCCCCCTCAACAGCATAAACTACGGGCCCGTAGCTAGGCTATGTCAAGGGGGTCACTGTTTTAAAGACTTCCAAAGACTTGAAAAGTGTCCAGAATGGTGAAAAACTGCATGAGAAATAGATGATTACCCTAGATGACCAAGGTCAGGTGTTTGTAAATATTTGTGTACGTCATTTGACACCACAAAAATGTTACTGACCATCATATCCACTCCGTGCAACCGGGTTTGTGTAAAAAAACGGGTGACCGGGTACCCTACCTTCCTACCAGGGTTAGGAATTTGATTTTTTTTCATTTTATGCCTCAAAACGCCCAACTGACATCCCAATCAACGTACCAGTGACACAACCAATCAAGCAAACAATCAAACAAGCAACAAAATTTATTTACCAGTAAATCAACCGGCAAAACGACAAACAAAATTAATATAATGCCAATCAGTGAGGCAATAAATCAAGCAACTAACTAACTATCTAACGTTGTATTGTACATCGTACACTAATTAACAGATAAAAAAGGCAAATAACGTTTCAATTTACGCGTACGTAAATCTTCCAGATTTGTTTAATATCTAGTAGAAATCGCCATCATAGAAAACAATCATCGATATCCTGTCAATCACTCAGACAATAAATCAAGCAACTAACGTCATCTTACAGGTTCTTGGAAAAATGATAACGTAAAAATATTGAAGGGAACTCTACAAATGTGCAACTTTGAAAGTTGGTAACCCTGCAAGGAACGTTAAGTACCCGGTTACCCGGTCACCCTGTTTTTTACACAATCCCCCGTGCAACCCACTTAATAGCCTTTATGAAGGAAAGAGACACGGCAACCGCAAAGCTTTATCTTGACAAAGAGTACATACCAGCAATACCCGAAATTCTTTACAAGGCAATAGATTGGAAGATAACAGTGGACGTGCCTTGGTGTTCAATAAATTTGATCTAATATTTGACCGATGAATATATTTTTCCTTTTTATCGTACCCAACAAAAGGTACGATATTGTAGTCAGCTTGACGGGTGGGCGGCGGGCGGGCGGGCGGCGGGCGGCGTCTCACTTTTCAGCTTGTCTACAGGTTTCCAGCCAAACCATTTGAGGGATTCATCTGAAATTTTCAGGGATGTTTCTACATATCAACGTCAAGAACTGATTAGTTTTGGGCATTCTGGGTAAATCTAACGGTGGCCATTTTGGATTTTCCGTCCTAAAATCTTCACTTTCAAGACTTGTCTACAGGTTTCCGGCCAAACCATTTGAGGGATTCATCTGAAATTTTCAGGGATGTTTCTACATATCAACGTCAACAACTGATTAGTTTTTGGGCATTCTGGGTAAATCTTAAGGTGGCCATTTTGGATTTTCCGTCCTAAAATCTTCACTTTCAAGACTTGTCTACAGGTTTCCAGCCAAACCGTTCAAATTTTTACATATGTTACACAGTGATAAGTTCTAGAGCTGATTAACTTTTCTGCGGCCATCTTGCTTTCTTGGTCAACAAGACCACAATGCTGTGTTTTAGGTACGATATTGTTCACGTCTGTGCCTTGTTCTTTTTAAGTGCGCCAGTTGTTTCCCAACACTCAACACTCCCAGCATGGTGTCATTTGATCGATTTCAAAGATGATATTGGTGTACCATATACTATGTGCATTGGTGCCTTTACAACGAAAGAACATTGTTATGAACCACCGTGGTCTATGTTACACGCTGTGGACTTAGCAAACGGGCGGAAGCTTTGGAGTATTCCTCATGGATCTACTTCAAACGTTCCAGAATCAACTGAAAAGGAAGGAGCAAAGTGAGTGTATATTCGCTAGAAAATATTCCACCTATCGGTGAAACAATATCATACAAACTATGAACTTACATAGAACTATCATACAAACTGTTTTAAGAGGTTTCCAGCGAACATGCTGTCATTTGGTGTTAATTTGAGATGGTTATCATATGCAATAAAGCTATTAAAGCAACAGGGTCCAGGATAGCCTATTGATATTACGATTGAAAACCCTTGTTATTGAAAGGTTATGTAAACATAGTGAGTCAAAAGTCAGCCTTCACTCGGTAGTTGGTGCAGAAACTTTGGAGTATTCCCCATGGATCTATTTCAAACGTTCCAGAATCAATATACAAAATCAGTCTCCCCTAAATCTTTCCAAACTTGTGTTACATTCCATCCTACTCCCAATGGTATGAAATATCAGCAATTAACCTTGTCCGATGTTGAAAAATGTCGTAGAGTTACAGACAGTACAATGTTTTTGTTAGTTTCAACATCATCTGAATCGATTGTATTTTATTTTATTTTCAAGGTGGTATACTGGAGGCATATTAATTACAGCGGGGGGCTTAGTAATAGCAGGCAATACAGAGGATAGATACCTTCGGGGTTTAACATTGATACTGGGGAACAACTCTACAAATCTTCAGACCCGATGGTTGCTATGGCAGTAGGGAATCCGATAACCTACCGAACTGGTGGAAAACAATATGTTGTACTTACAGCAAGTGGTCACAGTGTTTTTGAATTAATGTCTCACCAACCGAAGAGTGACCATGTGTATGCCTTCGCTCTACCATAAAGTGGAAACGTGGCTAAATGCTGTGTATATATAGTTTCGATTACAGATACGCGAAGTACAACGTTGGACTATCAACAATTTTTCTCATTTTGTACTATTACATTTTTTGATAGTTACACAATAAAATAGTAGCCCGGACAGAATTGTTCAAGGGTCACCTTTTCTGTGATAACTTTTTTAATTTTCAGTATTATCAACAAACGATTATGTAATTGAAAACTAGAGTAAGATTCTGACATACAAAGTATTGACTTTTCAACATTGTATTTATCTATTTTGATATTTAGTTTGTAAACATGTGAGTAAAACAAATATACACTCTGGTCCAAAAACAATCGGTAAAAATAAATTGGTCATAACTTTTGATAATGGAAACCATACAATTTCATACTTTCAGGGTTTGATGTCTCATATGTACCAAAGATATGTGTAAAATTTGGAAAAATACATGGAACATTGAAAAAACTAGAAATCAGTAACCATAGCGACTTTTTTTTAGCTTTTCCTCATTTTGCTAATTCAGTGGATTATTTTCTCATCTCACTTGCTAATCCAAATTATTGTTACAAGTATAATGTATCATCTGATGCCAAAATTCACAAGTAGTAGTCTTTTTGCCCTTATTGTTTCAATCAGAGTCTTTTCAAGCTGAGAACCATTAACCACTAAGTATCAACTTAGGACATCCACATCCCTTACGTCTTAGCAATCCATATTACCAGATGTAGTTTTGTCATTAAGAATTGCTGGCATACTAGTATCAATATTAAGTCCATACACCTTAGCTAGATCAGAGACGGAACGCTTGGGCACATCTCCATATTTCAATACCACTTCAAGTTTTTTTGTCACTTAAAATGCTATTAGACATTTCTGCTTCACATTATCTGTATAAGGTCACTCGACCTATTTCTAGCTGTAAACTATCAGTTTTGGCCTATATATTGGACTATTGGCATTGCACAACTTCATGTCTACAGAATAAGCAATGAAGTAAAAAGAGGTTAAAATGTTGCAAGTTGTGGTTAATGGGAGTTGCCACAGTTACAGTTAAATCGTACAGCTAATGTTATGGAAGCTCTGATTGTACATTTTGGGATATATTAGAAGAGTGACTTTTAATAACTTAGTCCATTGAATTGGCAAAAATGAGAAAAAGTTCCAAAAATGTCGCGGCAGTGATTTGTTGTTTCAATATTCCATATATATGTGTATTTTATCCACATTTCACAAACATCTTTGGTACATACAGGGCATCAAACCCTATAAGTATGACATTGTATGGTTTCCATTATCAAAAGTTATGAGCATTTCATGACGACGCATAGATTTTTTTGGACCAGAGGGTATATAAAAAAGATCGGATGTGTTTTATACATTAAGATTATAAATGGCACGTGTACGTGTATTCACATTTAACTTTTATAAAAAAAGATATCAAATCATCGATGTTTAAACATGAATAGTGTGTTGAGGTTGACAGTAGTGGAACTAGAAATCGAGTAATGAGTAGCAAATCTAAAAGTACACCATATTCATGAACTCTGTATATGTCACGGCGCATCCTGAAGGTTGGGCCAAGAAAATTATTTTAGGGCCCCAAAAGTTTTGGGCCCAAAAGTTTTGTTGGGCCTCAAATAATAGCCCTTTCCGGCATAACTTCGCCTTTTTAGGCCAAATTTTCAAAAATGGGCCTTAAATTTTCTAAAGGTCCAGTTTCAAAGGCACTTATAAAGACAATTCAATATCTGAGTTCCAATATAGTTTAATGTAACCACTTTGAAGACATCTCTAGGTAATAGAGAATTTCTCCTCTTTGCAGCCATTTTAATTTTTCCGAGGCACAAATTTAAAAATAATACCATAATTGTGATTTACTCTTAAACTCCTTCAATTCAGTTTGAGCTTGATATAGCCATACCTTGAAGAGATTATTGCGAAATCCTACATTAGACGGCCATAATGAATTTCAAGAGGCTAGAAGCAGAAAAGCGATACAATATTTGCAATCTACTCTAAATTGCCTTTCATTTAAGCATAATAAAGCTATATTTCAGAAAGACCATGCGGTCCCTCGGAGATCGGGATGAAAAATCCGGAATATATGTCAAAAAGTTATTTATATTTTATGGATAAACTAACAAGATTTTAAACAGTAATACTCAATTACTTTTGTTATAAATGAAAAACCTCAAAAATTAAATATGTACAGGGTGGGCAATAAAAATGGGACACTTTGTTTCATTCTAAGAAGTATTTAGAATCACACAGATATCTAAGTGTTATATACCAAAATATGGAGAAATCATTTCGCTTTAATAACATGCAATATTTTGTGACTTTTCCTCAACGTTGAAGAAATCGTGACAGTTTTTGATTGTAATGTCAAAATTCACACAAAACAGACCTTAAAATCTAAAAATGAAGAAAGTCTTGAAAATGATGTCTTATGTGTCTACCTATACTGTGACAATAGCTCTCAATCTCAGAGTCATCACTGTGATCCATGCCTTCCTGAAACTTTTGCTACCAGTCATGAGTCATTCTAACCTCAATTTGTTTCGATATCCAATGCATGATAAACTTATCACCATAACATAGTTCCATTTTTGCATAGAATTCTTGATTTCCAGGGGGTTTGTAACAATTCATACAGGACACCCATGAAGCGTTAGTTTCTATAATAAAAATTCACAATGTTGTCATAATTGTATTCTTAACATAAAGGAGATTGTCTAGGCTACATATAGAACAATGGTATTTTGGCAAAATATGCGTTAAACGGTTGAGAAATAAAGAGTTGTACCTACACTGTAAAAGGGAAAGTGAGGCAACAGATTTCGGACAGTCATATATTAGTTTTGACTTTTTCTGAGGATTTAAACAGGTGTATATGTAAGGCTAATGCATTACATCCAGGAAAGCATAATAATAATTTCGACTTTAAGACAGGGGCTGAAATGTTGTTCTGATTTTCATACCCATACGCAATATGTTGCGTTTGAAGAAACAGTTAACCCCTTTAAAGGAATAAGTGATTATTTTAATGCATCAAAAATTGAAAAAGCAGGTGTGATATGAAATTCAATACACATGAGCAAAAGTGTTCAAACTTTATTCCTCCTAATTTTCATGACATTTGGGTAATATATTCTCTTGTAAATTAAATAGGATATATGCGAGTGTCCCATTCTTATTTGCCCCCCCCCCCCCCCCCCCCCCTGTATACAATACTCGCCGATTGTCAAATTTGATAAGCACGACCAGTGAACATTTAATTGTTGACAGGCATATAATACTGTTTAACCTTGACACAGAGATATAATTTTACTGAGCAAAAAAGCATCAACCACGATTTTATTCATCTTTTTATGAGGACACTTAAAAGTACATGCCACGTGACTCATATGAACTACATCACCGCTCATTATAAGAGAGTTTTGTTGTTTTAAGGAATTATCTCAACAAACGAAGTTCGTTGGGATATAGAGAATGGCTCCATCTATCCGTCCGTCTGTCCGTTCGTCTGGGCAATAACTCAAATACCGTTGGACGAATATCATTTATATTGCATCTCTCGTATATGAAATTCAATGAAATTGAACAGACCTCTGAGAGAACCAATTGAGGAATTCACAAAATAAGTGCTACAACTAGTTCATAGTAGGTATTTACCATCATTACGGAGTGCTGGTCCCAATGGAAACCCCGAAGAGCAATTGTAAAGATACCAGAAACATATAGACAAACAGAATATTATAATCATTGTCTCGGAAGATACATAAAATTCGCATCAGCAATAAGGAAACTAGACTGGCTTCTTGAATAAGTAAAAATTCCGGCATCCCTCTTAAAATGAAAAATTGAATGTTTTTATTTAATTCGATTAATTGACTTAAAACACATTGAAGTACAAAGTAATCACTAAATAACATTTTGAATTTGCAAACTTAGGGGCTACCACTTGCACACAAAAAGAGAAGTTTGAAAAATATTTTGAAATCTTTTGGAAGTTGTTTTGTTAATTTAAACACTTTAAAGGAGCCCAGATATATCAAATGACATGCACTCCCCTCCATAAGTTTGGCAACCTTAGCTCCCCGATTGAACTACGTGTTAAAGCCTCTTTACGTTTAAATTTTTATTTATTTAACTCGCGATGAAATTACTTATAATATTGATGAAAACGTAACTTGACTTTATTCCCAATACCTCCAAATTTTCTCAATTTTTTTCCTTTTTTCCTCCCCATATTATGTTTGTCATGCAAAACATAAAACCAATTTAAGTACTACAAAATAGGTTGAGTGGGCCTACTTTAGGAGGTAACCAACTCTCCCCCCCCCCCCCAAACGCAAACCGACCCACATTCGCCATTGATTTACGTGACAAAATTTGACCAATTCATTGTTTTTAGTAAAAACGGCACCCTCCCCCTTAAAGAAAAGAGTCTGACGGTCCTCGAACATGTTGTATTTACTGTAGTTAATTCGGCGCCAAGGGCTGTTGTGAAAAAGTTGTGTGTCACTTAAACCTGAGTAACACCGCATTCAATTTGAAAGAAATGACCTTGTCATGGGCTTTCAACCATTTCAAGTATTCCATGATCTCATCTGCACATATTATATTATACACTGTATTAACGCCATTAACTTGACTGGAGAGCAAAAGATTAAAACAGTTTGATCAGCTGCGCGTGATGATTTAGAAAATGCAGGCTATTAATAAGTAAAACATACACTCAATTGGTAGTTAATTTTATGTTAACCTTGCTGGTGCTGTTTATGAACTCGATGCAGCTGCTATTCGTTTCATTACCAAAACAATAAGACATAGAACACTTATTATTGAAATACGGCTGTAGGTCATCTTGATAATGTTTTTGTCGGGCGTTAAACAACTAGGATTTCGGATGCAAATTGCTCGACTCGGGACTCTCACTGGTAAAGTTGAAACACACCAGGATGTAATAAAAACAGGGCATCGCGAGACCGATGTTGGACAGTACGAAAAAGCAAGGTCATTTGATACGATTCCCGGGCCTAAAGGAGTCCCCGTGTTCGGTACACTGTTTCAGTATACAAGGGGTCCATACAGTGTCGATTTTTACCCCGACGCCCTGGTTGACAGATACTACAAATATGGCCCAATATTCAAAGAGACAATCGCTGGCAAAACGATAGTTCATATCTTTGATCCCGATGAGATCAAAAAATTATATGCTACAGAAGGGAAGAACCCACATATTCCACCACTTTTGGAGACAGTCAAGATGTACCGGAAATACCGAGACATGTCCCCAGGGCTGGGTAATGTGAATGGCGAGGAATGGTACCGCTTGAGGAGTTCCGTGCAGAAGCTTATTATGCAGCCCGTGTCGACGGCAAAGTTTCTCCCGATGGTAAACGAAGTCGTAGATGACTTTATAACAAGAATATACAAAATTCGGGCTTCGATGGGAGAGATCAACAACTTCAACTTTGAATTGTCAAAGTTCGTATACGAATCCTCAACCTACACGTGTTTTGAAAAACGCCAGCGCATCCTGAATGATGAAAAGGGGAGTCACACAGACAAATTAATATCGTGTAATAGAGCAATGTTAGATCTGTCAACAAAACTGAAATTCCAACTGCCATTCTACAAATATATCAACACACCAACATGGAAGAAGCTTGTGGCATCCGAAGATTTCTTTTACAGGTAATTTATTATTTGCAGGAACAAGTCGTACACTCCCCTCCATAAGTATGACAATCGAAAGTTCACTCTACTATACCTAACACTTAGAAATGCATAAGATACTTTGTTTGTCTAAATGTATTGTTAAGTATATTTTTGAAAGTGCCTTAGTAACATCTAACATTCAACCGATAAACCATTAATAAGGAACAGACAAATAAAAACAAATATATAATCATTACTAATAAAATACAAAACTTCCCACAAACACTTGGGATTCATTTTTGACAATCGCTTAAAATTTTCATACACATAAATGAACTTGCCAGCAAGGTGCAAAAACAGCTCAGCCCACTGAAATCACTATCCTACAAATTAAAGTCAAAGCACCTTGAACTTATATATAATTCCTTTATTTTACCACACTTAGATTACTGCAGTTCAATGTATGGCTCTAGCACAGCTCAAAACTTGATAAAACTTGACAGACTGCATTACAAAGCAGCACTCAGCTGCTCAGGGGCTCTTCATGGATCAAATACTATAAAAACTCTTAATTGTTTAAAGTGGAAGCCACTTGAATCCAGAAGAAGAGATAAAGATTGCATTATCATGTTTAAGATTTGTAAAAACATGGCACCCGATTATATAATTGAACTTTTTGACCGTTATAAATCTGAGCCAAGAAGGGTTCTTAGAACTCATAGACCTTTCCAAATACCGGCAAAATCAAGCACTCGATCGACTTAATAAAGCACCAGTATTTCGATTAATTTCTGAATGGAACAGGTTATCTCCAGAAGATAGGTCTATTCCCACCATATCAATGTTCAAAAGTAAAATCAAAAACAAAACTTTAAAATTCACTGACTTCAATACAACATCAAAACTAAATCTATCTCGAAAACAAGAAATCATCCTAAACAGAATTGGATGTGGACTTTATTTTGAATCACAAAAGTTTGCCCATAATTTTCCTAACACATCTAACCTATGTGTCTGTGGTAAGAGTGCAACCCAAAAACATTTAATTCTGCATTGCAAGCGCCATTCTACTCAAAGAAAACGCCTTGAAGAATCCCTCGAACAGTACAACCTATGGACCCCACTCAATGGACAAGAAAAAATTGAATCTCTAATTTTTCAAAATTCCCTTTCACTTGGAAAGGATTCTGATTTAAAAGAAAAGTTTGTTGAATTCGTTTCTACTATAACTTAATTCATTTCTTCCTGATTTACTGTTGGCATTTAAGCTCACTGGCACTTACTCACTCGCCTTCCTTAAATGTTGTTTTATTATGTCCCCACCACATAGTGTGGGGCCATATTGTCGGCCTAGGCGCGTCCGTCTGTCTGTCCGTCTGTCTGTCCGTCTGTCTGTCCGTACGTCCGGCAGTTTTCTCCAAAACCGCTACAGATATCACCTTCAAATTTTCAGGGATAACTTATGAGTGCATACAGATGTGGATGAAAAAAAATTAACTCGATACCTACTTCCTGTCGGCCATTTTGAAGTCAAATGCTAAAATCCTTGTCTGCAAACTTTAAGAAAAACTGCTTCACAGTTGCTTTTAAAACTTTAACATTTTGTTCAGCTCACTTCATTCTAGATCTGATTAGGTTTTGGATCTGCTAGCTCAGTCATGTCAGCCATTTTGAATGTCTTAAGAAAAGTTAGCGCGCGATAATACTTTGTATCATATTGAATGGTGTTTTTGAGTTTTCATACTTTAACTATTTAGTAGCTTTATAAATAATTTCAGATGTACTTTGCTGTAAAAGCCTACTTTATTGTTAACAGTAGTTATATGTGATAATTTTGTAAAAAGAAATCAGCAAAAACTCATAAGGACTTTTTTATTGTCGGCCATTTTGAATTTTTCGGTCCTAAAATCTTGTCTGTGAAGTCTTGTCTGCGCGTTTTCAGGTGAACCGTTTGGTGGATCAATTTCAAATTTTCAGGGATGATTCTTAGTATAAAAATCTAGATCTCATTAGTTTTTTGGCATTCTGGGTAAATGTCAAGGCAGCCATTTCGGATTTTCCGTCCTAAAATCTTGTCTGTAAAGTCTTGTCTACTCGTTTTCAGGTGAACCGTTTCGTAGATCAATTTCAAATTTTCAGGAATGATTCTTAGTATGAAAATCTAGAACTGATTAGTTTTTTTGCATTCTGGGTAAATGTCAAGGCAGCCATTTTGGATTTTCCGTCTTAAAATCTTGCCTGTAAAGTCTTGTCTACGCGTTTTTAGGAGAACGGTTTGATAGATCAATTTCAAATTTTCAGGGATGATTCTTTGTATGAAAATCTACATCTGATTACTTTTTTTGCATTCTGCGTAAATGTTAAGGCAGCCATTTTGGATTTTCTGTCCTAAAATCTTGTCTGTAAAGTCTTGTCTACCCGTTTTCAGATGAACCGTTTGGTAGATCAATTTCATATTTTCAGGGATGATTCTTAGTATGAAAATCTACAAACAGATTAGTTTTTTGACATTCTGGGTAAATGTCAAGGCAGCCATTTTGGATTTTCCATCCTGAAATCTTGTCTGTAAAGTCTTGTTTACATGTTTTCTGGTTAACTGTGTGACGGATCAATTTCAAATTTTCAGGGGTGGTTCTTAGTATGAAAATCTAGAACTGACTAAATTTTTGGCATTCTGGGTAAATTTTAAGGTGGCCACTTTGGATTTTCCGTCCTCAAATTGTGTTGGTAAAGTCTTGTCTACTCATTTTCAGGATAACCATTTCACGGGATCACCACTTGGTGGGGACATTTTGTACACATTTGTGTTCTTGTGTATAACTTGAAATGCTAGCCTATAATGCAAAGTGCGCTAGGCAGCAACTACTGTAATTACTGTATACCTTTGAATTGAATAAATATATAATGAATTGAAAATTACTAATAACCCAAATGGGTCGCTCATGAACACCAAATGCAAGGTAGTAGAGTGAAGTTTTCGTTGAATAGCATATCAATGCCTTTCAATGTTTGAATCTTAATTTTGTTCATATATTAAAATGAGAAAAAAATGTTGGGAGCCCACGAGTCTCGAACTCACGACCTCATGGTTACGCAATCAGCGCCAAGCCCAGCGTGCTCAAAGTTTGACAACGTTGATCCAAACACCAGCCTCTGATGAATGACCCAAAGGGGGACTTCTGGTTGCTAAACTTATAGAAGGGAGTGTACCTCTCAAATATTGTAACTTGAAAATTGAACAGGTCTACAATTAAATATTTGGAAACGAAATGTTCTCATAATTCGTTTTCACATTATTTATAAATTCTTTTTCTCCTTTTCTTTTGGGAAACAAGAAAATCATTGTTTATGAGCATGTCACATTCTTTATCCTCTTTTAGTATTACATGGACAAATATATTTTGCCGAATGACTTTTTATCTTTTGTAAAAGTACTCTTAAATTTTTCAGTACATCTATATAGGCCTACTGATTAGGGATCAGCTCAAACACATTTACGTTTCGTAAAGACGAAAAATTTTACTTTCTAAAAATTCATACGCCACTCGTTCTCTTCCCTTCAAGAATTTTGTAACAATTTATGGCAGTTATGGTCATATTTTATATGCAGTAAAACTATTTACTAGCTTTACAATAGTTAATTTGCAGTTTAGAACAATTTAGATACATCTCACCGGCCTTTATACACTAATAAAAGGTTTCTTAATATTTCAGGTTTGGACAGACACTGGTAGATGAAACCGTTGTTAAAATGAACGAGCTATCCGAAAGTGGTGATTTGAAAAACGGTCAGTATGTGTTTTTGAGTTACCTACTGGGAAAGAGAGAGTTACGTTACAAAGACTTGAGCATAGTCACCCTATCGATGTTCAATGATGGTTTGAGCACAACTGCCCCAAGTCTAGTGTGGCAACTTTATTGCATATCAAAACATCCGGAGAAACAAGAAAAACTGTACGAAGAAGTTAAGGATTTATCCGAGAAATCTGAACCAATCTCTGCCAAAACACTGACGAGGCTTCCCTATCTAAAGGCTTGCATTAAAGAGGGATTTCGACTCTTCCCCATTGCCCCCGATGTTACGCGGGAACCAACGAAGGACATCGTCATAAGTGGTTACCAAATACCTAAAGGAACTTACTTGAGTCTAAACAACAACCTTTTGTTGAGGCTACCGGAATTTTTCTCAGAGCCAAATGCATACAAACCGGAGAGATGGATACGTGGTGACTCGACCGATCCCATCCACCCCTACGTTGTCTTACCTTTCGGTCATGGCACAAGGATGTGTGTTGGACGGAGAGTTGCCGAGCAGGAAATGTACGTGATGCTGATCAAGCTGTTACAGCATTTTAAAATAGAATGGAATTCTTGTGAAGAAATGGGAAGAAAGTATAGGACGCTATTTACACCTAGCACAGAGGCAAAGTTCAAATTCATTCCGAGGGAGTAGATGATGCATTACCTAAAGAACAGATCTTTATTATTCGATTAGGGATTGAATCACGTTAGAAAAATGAATCTGTGTATATTTTATTCGAAGCGTTAATTCGTCTGTAAATGAGGGCGAATACCAATATTGAAATTTGATAAATCAGGGGCAAATAATTAACCTACATGTATTTTTACTACATTATATACATTTACGTTTTGCATATATAATTATATATTTTGACCTTGACATTTAAACTTTCAAAAGGAGGTTATATTCTACCGTTTCGTCCAGCATTAAACTCAAAATAAAGATTTTGAAAATTCAAGAACTTTCTTTTAAAGAACAGTGTAAGAGGATCAATAAATGGTAGACATATAATTCATTTTTGTTGCAGATTGAAATCGCGAGAAAAGTTTTGTCGGGTGTCATGCTGGGTCATGGTTGAAATTGTTTCATCCTGCATTACCCCCAAAAAATGCTTTCGATGTAACTTAGGTACCATTCGCGAATTAAGCTGACGCCTGATGGTTTATTAACCTACTATTTTATGGCCAACTGACTTAACTATGAATAGTGCTTGCCACTCACACCGGAATACCCTGAGAACGGTAAAGTCAGATACCGTGGTCACAAATGGCGGCCACAGGTTCGTATTCGATTCGATTTTCATTAACTGCATTTTCAATAGAGCACTTAGATTAAATTCCTTCTGTAGAACAATCAGTGTAGTGTCTCTCTACTCTACCGATCAAAATATGACATGAGACAACGGATACTGTATTTTAGATCTATCCTTTCTCTGTTAATTATTTGGAATTCAGATCCCGTTGTCATTGACGATACGAAATACGGTATATTGTGGCAACCGCATTTGATCAAAATTTGAATTTCTTTTCTAACTTAAAAGTTATCATCTCCGGTGAAATCAACCAACTCTCTATAGATGAATACTGATGAAAACAATTTTTTCAAATCTGTGCTTCTCCGTTTTGTTTCATTTTAAACAAAAAATTCTTGTCCGGGGCTGATAAGTCCCCAAGAGCAAATAATAAATGATAGAAACATTTTGAAAGGAGTTATTATATAAAGCATACTGTACAACACAGGCATTTGATCAAATGTATGTAGTATTTATCATCCATCACTTCGATTTCTTATATTTAGAATTTGATGGAATTAAAATTCGAAATTATATTAAAACATATTATACGATTACAGTTTAGACAAACGCGAGCTCCAGCGTCTCCAATCAGCCATTAAAAATACATTCCGATGTGACTGCTATACTAAGGCCATAGGAAAGATTTCTCAAATGGGTTCTACTTTGCTAAATTTCTACTATTCACTATTACGAACTGTAAGTTCATAAGGTTATAACACTCCTGTATTATAAAAAATATCATATAAAAATCTTTTAATTTGGAATCTTTTCATAAAATCACCATATCTCAGTATTAAAGTGTGGGAATCGCATGTTTCAGAATTTGACATATCTTTGTATGAACTCTTAAGTCTATCTCAATGAATTAGGAATGAGGATTTCTCCCTAACATAACTCGTTTTAAAAAACACATGTACGTTCCTTGAGGATATGTTAAGATTTGCCCTAAAAGTTAGCTTAATGTATGATTCTTGATATGCATTTCATTACACAAATGTTATATTAAAATGTATGGTTTTTGCCTTCAATTTTCATGATATCTATTCAGTAGAAGATTCACCAAAAACTGTAATATAGAAAATCAAATTGTCTAACTTTTTCAAATTCAATTGTATTCTGAGAAAACAAAATGGAGGTATCGGGAATGTCAATTTATTTTTTCCAGCCCAAAAAACAGGTTTTTCTTTATACTGTACATATTCAGTCAAATCCAGTAACTTAGTCAACATTCGAAATTCGTATGTCCATCAATATTTATTAAGAATGGTGCCACAATTGAAGTAAACCTCTGGTTAATTATTTTCAATTTACGTATCAGCAAACGTGCAAATGATAATTTTGATGTTCTGTTACATATTGGTGAAGCAAACTTGGGGATATGGCCTAAATTCCTGAATTTCCACTATGTCCCCGTATACCCCTTCTTCAAAGGATGTACGTTGTTTGTCATTTTTCATGATGAACCTACTATAAATGTATTTTTTCTTGTTTACATATAGAATGAACTTTCTGTTTTCGAATATTGACAGATGGTACTGCATATATTTTTTCATGATATGGAGCAAACAAATGCGTGTCAATTTACACTGTAATATCCTACATACTAACATTTCAAGGGTAGTTTTGAAGAATCATCAAGAAAATCCATGTTTTAAAATGGATTCATCCTTGTCAAAGTACGTAAATGAGGATATGCGGTTTGAAAAACTAATAACATGTTTCAAGTTCTTACAATTCTTGGTTGAAACAAATATTTTGAAAGTTGTGATTTCGAATGTAATCTCCTACTCAATGAGATTTGTTGATATTTGTGATTTTTTTCTTTCGGAATAGACATTGCAGAATCACAGAACCTTCCCTTGTTCGAGATGCACGAAAAATCGTGGCAAATGTGACCCAAGCATAACATAAATAATACAAAACCCCTGGTCACCAAATTCTGGCTACGCCATTGAAGGTGCAAGTATAAGATTTAATTAGATGCTGTAACGTTACAATACTATGACGATGTTTTCAAGCGTCGGGACATTAAGAAAACGTTATCAAAGTGTATTGATAATTTAAAAACATTTGTGTTTAATAAGAATCGGGGTTATAGACACTGTCCTTTTAATTTGACTTTTTATTCAAACCCTTTTCTTTTTTTCGTGCTTACTTAACTTGATAGAACACACAAGGTCGCTCCTCTTTATGTTCATTTGTACATCTAGGACTCGCCCATCGAGCTGTCCGTGAATGCGGCTTACGGGGCACTTTTTGTGCTTATGATTGTAAACGTTTACTTTCTAAGAATAACGTTTAATGTTAATATTAAAAAACTAATTTACCTTGACTGACCAGAGGTCTAAGTTGCAACACGAACCGATGCACACTTTGTCTATAAATTGGTGTAACTGGGTTTTTTTACTTAAGTTAAGTCTCGGCTCCTAAAACTGAGCGACTCGACGTCATTTTGAAATTGATTTCAACAAAATGCATATAAGAGTCTTAGTTACCTTATTATTGATCTTTGAGAAAAACGTATTTGTATATTTCATTTAGAATTTTAATTAATTTTTGTTGCACTATGCAAACATACAAATAAACTTTTCAAAGATGAACAATAACGTTGATCGAGTCTTAGTAAGTAGAATCATGTGGGAGAGTATTGGTAGAATGATCATTTTCAAAAGTAAGAATAGGGGTTTTTAAACAGGACATTAAAAGCTTAACTGCCTTTTTAATTTTTTTTTGGTTAGCTCTATTTGCGTTTTAGCTCTTTTAAGTTTGAATTTAGCTTTAAATTATATGTTTTTGTGTTTTATAAAAAATACATTGTGATTCGCTCTTCGATATCGTTTATTTTGTGAAAACGGTTTGAAAATAAGTAAAATATCATTCTGTAAAAATGTATACTTGCATGCAACATGACGTCCAATTGTTAATTAATTATTTTCTAAATTTAAGAAGTACAAAAGAGAAGAATACTATTTCACAGGCTGGTATTGAAAGATCTGTCCGTTGTGTCGAAGCATGCTATTTTTCATAAAAACACTAAGAATACTTCACAATTTATTTTTGAACTCATATGTTTCGTTATATCAAAGAAAATTACTTACCCCATGCAATGAATATATAATTTGCGGGTAACCTTCACCTCTCTTTGAAGTACAATAACGCTAGGAAGAAAAGCTATTGAAAACGGCGCCTGAGCATCATACTCTAAAATGTACCATTTCTTTTTTAACTTTTTAATGATATGATATAGTGACACGATAATATTAACGCATGTTTCAGAATAAATCTGAATGTATTAATGAGATATTGATGTATACATTGGGTCGTTTTAATTTTTTATAAAGAATTGTGTTTGCATTCTTCACAGTTCACATTTGCAACTGCTCCGTCACAGCGGACAACAAATTTAAACATTATTTTTTATAAAAGAATTAAAGAGACCCAATACATCAACATCTCATTAATACCTTAGTTCATAGTGTGAATTCATATTTACACTCAGCAGGACAAGATCAACTTATTCCTTTTTGGCGATTAGAACTTGACATCATTTCAATCAGAACCTTTATTTCAACTCCCTTCAATATTTTTCATAAACAACGTTTGACTTGCAAATATACCTCAGACCCTTCTTTTACTCACCCCTACCCTATGATAAGCAGCAGAAACCCCACCATTTTTCTTTAACATAATTATTTTATTCAACAGATCTTTATTTTATAGTTGTCCAAATTCTAGCTATTTCAATTTTGCATACATGCTATCTATGTATTGTAAATTTTTATATGGGGACATGAAACGCTGGGAGGCGAATTGCCCCAACCCTGTCTATTAAACCTATTGATTACAAAATTCTTAAACACTAACGTGTAGCCAATACTGTATTGTAAAATGTACGTTTTCCATGTAACGGTATTGTAATTTGTATTTTGCAATTGCTTTATCGTGTTTTTCTTCTCTGAAATAAAAAATTAAACAAAGCTAAAAACGTCCAATCGTTCAAAAACATCCTCCTTAGCAGGCTTCCAGAATCCGTACCTCCTTCTTACGTAGAAAGGAAGAAGATATTCTGGATTTTGAAACCCTGCGTACGGAGGATGTTCAAAAAGCATTCGGGCTAATCCGAACGCCATTGACGACTACGCGAAAATATTTGGAAAATTATTGAGTTGACAACTTGGATTTACTCACTTGTTCTTTCATTCGTCTTACAGTGTATATCATGCCTGGCTTTGTATGAATTGTAATTTTAGAAAGATAAAAGATGGCGTTTGGGGATTCGGAACATTTATGTGAAAAAGAAAAATAGTCAGTCGACTGTTCTAGGTCTTTGCGCTCTCTGGTTATCTGTTAAAAATAACTTGATGTGTAATTTGCAACATAGAAAGATAGCTGTATGTTAGTATGTAGTTTAATGTAGCATACAATGCATAACAATAAGTTTGCATACTTTTTGATACTGCGAGAGTATCCCGTACATAATGAAATACGATGTCGGCTTTTCATCATATCGTTTGATTTTGTAATAAAGAATAACAAATAAAATATGATTATTTAGAAAATTTGCATTTGGTCACTTAATTAATTCAAAATATCATAAATATAAGTTTCAATGTCACTCTATTTTATTTTGAGTCCATATCTATTTGAAAAATCAATGACAGGTTGGTTCAGATTTGTAGGACGAACTGACGATGGCTTTTGGTCTCATCCAGTTGACTATGATCATGTTACACCGGAATAGCCTGACAACGGTAAAGTCAGATACCGTTGTCACAAATGGCGGACATAACCGTCGCTTCGACTGTTTAATCACTTGGTCCTCATTTCATGGGATTTTATCGTAGCTAATTCTGTATATGTATTAGCATTTTTGAACACCCTGTAGATCCCACGTCCCACGCCCAACGTCTTTTTACCGAAACCCAATGGTAGATTTGAAGCAAGTTGAAAAAAATACCTTTTTGACCTTTTTTGACCCTGAGAAGGTCATTGAAGGTCAAGTCTTAAATCCAAAAAATAAGATTTGAATTTCTGAGATCTTGTAGATGATTTTGAAAAAACTGGGTTTTGAAGCAAGTTGAACAAGCCTTTTGAACCTTTTTTGACCTTGAGTAGCTCATTTAAGGTCAAATCTTAAATTCTAAGTAGGATTTGAAATTTTGAGAACTTGTAGATGATTTTGAAAAAATTGATCATTTTAAAGCAAGTTGAAAAAAACCTTTTTGACATTCTTTTGACCTTAAGAGGGTAACTGAAGGTCAAATCTAAAAGCTTAAGTCAGATTTGAACTTCTGGGAGCTTGTAGATGATTTGAAAAACTTGGTCAATTTGATGCAAGTTGAAAAAATACTTTTTTGACCTCGGGTTGACATTTGACTTGAACCAAATACGCCTCCCCTCCCCCCCCCCCCTCTCTCTCTCTCTCTCTCTCTCTCTTCAAACCCTCTATTACTCTTACTGAGGTGACATTCGTGACTAAGGTGACATTCGTTAATGCAACTGGCGACTGACGGATTAATCTACTCTTTATGGCCAATTCATTTTAATATGAATGGAATATTTGCAAGGTACTTTTACTGTTCAATTCAAATGAGTTATAATCACTAAATAGCATGTTAATCCGTCAGCCCATAGCCGGCTTTGTGTTGGATGTTCAAGGTACGGTGCGACCATTTACAAAATTGCACTCCGAAAGGATATGTATCATACCATCGGGTCTGCATCGTTATGCTACTTTCCATGCAAAATGTACATGTAGTCAGTTCAGTTTGTTCTCTGCATTATTGATTGCAATGGGATGAACCAGACCTGATTATGAATCACGTGACCAATACTATCCAATCACAGACTGTGCATTGATTAGTTCTCCGGGAGTATGCATTACTAATAAGGTGCACCTAACTGGAGAGGTAGACGGGTATGTTTAGTGAATGATTCGCAGGAACTCTTGTAATTTTATGATTGTACACAAATAATGGAAATCGTGTTTAAAAGTAAAATAATCTGGATTAAAATAATAAATGGCAATTATTAGGACCATTTTAAATTAAGGATTAAATAAGTACATCTAAGATACGGACCGTTCAAATAGGTAGGTGTTTATTTTATTCTGATATAATTGTAATAAATAAAAGTGTACTTATTAATCTACCGTTGTGATTTGATCTTATTGAGAATCTACCAAAATGTATTTGTATATTTAGTTTAAAAATACACTTTGAATCCGACGTTGCATCTGTTCTTTGATGAGCTGGAATTCGATTCAAAATGTCGGCGGTGCTGTTTATGTTCACATTTTTCTTCGAGGTCTGCTGTTTTTCCACTATTCAGAATTCAGGAATGAATGCACAATTTCAATCTGTGGAATATTTAAACAAATTTCAAGCAAATAAATATAATATTTAGACGCACGAGTAAGTATAGCAGTATAGAATTTACTCGCGAATGTTACGTCATTCAATACTTTTATTATGCGGAAGAATCCTGCATGAATTATTCAAGTACATGTACGAAGGTAGTTCCAGAAGTTTTAGGGAATATTCTCTCATTTTCCTGCGTCCTCTACAAATTATTATCAAGCGTGACATATACATAAAAGTATATGAAAAGTTTAAACTTTCGATTAATATACGAGATTGTGGCAGCTTTCTTTTTAACTCGTATGATTTACCAGAGTTACAGTATGTAACGACTCGTCCTCATAACGTTATATGAACAAAAAGTTCATTCCCGCCACTTTTGTCGGATCGAAAAAATCACCTTTGGCGCCATAACCATACAAGTGATTATCGTTAGGATTTGCATTAAAATATCCAAATATGTGACAATACACTCGATATGAATAGGTGACATGCATGTGAAAAAGGAGACCTGATTGAAATAAGAAATTCTATCATATCTAGCAAATTCCCAACTTGATTTGAATAATCCAAGATTCTGAGAAAGTCTACTTTGGATTTCGAGATAATATAATTCGGATTTATGGCTTAAAGGGACATTCCTTATAAGTTCAGTCGAGATAATATAATTCGGATTTATGGCTTAAAGGGACATTCCCTACAAGTTCAGTCGAGATAATATAATTCGTATTTATGGCTTAAAGGGACATTCCCTACAAGTTCAGTCGAGATAATATAATTCGTATTTATGGCTTAAAGGGACATTCCCTACAAGTTCAGTCGAGATAATATAATTCGTATTTATGGCTTAAAGAGACATTCCCTACAAGTCCATTTCTCATTTGGAATGGTAGCTATAACCATTTATATGTTGTCCATATTTAGCCAAACATGGAAAACTGTTTTGTCGTGGTCAAAATTTTGTTCATTTCCAGTTGGCTGCCTTATTTTAAGAGTTCATACATGAAATTATGTCATCAACTTTTAGATTTTATAATCTTGTCTACAACTTAATTAAGTATTAGATAGCTCACTAACATATCTGAACAATTGATCTTTACTTTTTAAGTCAAATTATTTTTAGGGCTTGTCAACTTAAAGAGAAGAATAGATTATCTGTAGAATTTTAAATCATATAGACATAATTGAAAAAGAATATTCAGCTGGTTTTGTGCTACGTGTATACCTTCTAGCCTTATGCTATGCGCAAACGTTAGAGTTGTTGACCTCACTTCCTGTGTGAAATCTTAAAAATGGCAGTCCATATAAAATGAGCACCGTATTTCTAATTGTTTTATTTTGACCATATCAAAACATTTCCTCATGTTTTGCTGAATATAGTATAAATAGTATGTAAATGGTAATTATAGCTATAGCTGCTATATCAAGTAAAAAATGGGCTCGCAAGGAATATCCCTTTAACTGAGTATATTACGATATTTTCAAAGTATTGCTTGATGAAGTACAGGGCATGTGTTCGAAGGATGGGTCAAGGGCCAATGTAAAACTTTATGATTAGATAGTACGGGTCTATTTCCGATGTTACTAGGGAAACGTTTGTCAGAAACTTTCTGAATCACGACCCTTTTCAATAGTTTTATTTCACTTTCTTAAAAGAGAGCCTTACATAGTAATTACAACTAGACGTTGGTCCTATGGGTAAAGTAACAGATACGATAAGAAATACACTAATTCAGTATATCATGTCGCTTTCGTCATTTGTAGTTGTGTAAGTCGGAGATTACATTTACCCGCTCATTTATTTTCTTGACAAAAAGCAGAGCATTTTCGACACTTCGTATCCACTTATCTGTGGCCTTTGTGCCAGTGTCTTGATATACCAACTTGTATTGAGAATCATAACACAACAAATTGTTACTTTTATGCCAATGAAATATGATACGAAGAACAGAGCACGCACAAATGCAGTCAATATGCGACCACAAGTAACATCGAGCGAAATATCGATAGCTTAATCCCATATGCTTGGTGTCAATTTATTGATTATCTTAGCATGTACAATTGACAGATAATACCAGGGTATAATCTAATTCATTACACTCTCCCCCGCTTAATGCATTATCCGTCCCCGAACACAAACTTTATCGCCTGATACACTGGGGATGAACTGGAAACGAGGGAGGTTTTGCCTCGTATCAAAATGGCGGCGCGTGAAAAAATTTCATTCGGTAAGATTTTTGTTTTTTACAATTTTCGTGCATTTATCCTTCAAATTAAAACTTAATATTTGGCAAGTAAATATTTCATAAGTTCCGGTTTTATAATATGATTACAAATTAGAAATCAATACTGGCATTGCTGAGATATTTACATATCAATTCTCTCACTTAGGAAACGAGGCATGTTTCTCAAGGAAACGAGGCAGCTATATAGCATTCTTAAGAATGAAACGAGGCAACCACATTTAATTAAAAATGATTTGTTTTTATTACAGAACAGGGCCTACAAAAAGAAGCATCCCTGTTCAAATGCTATTTCTGTAACAGGAAACGACAACGTTGCTGATATTGTTATGTTGAACAAGCAAAAATCTTATGTTGAATAGGGAAGCAGATATAGACAGTTGTGAACAAAGCTTGCTTATATTCTACCTTGAAACATCATTTATTTTAATTCACGATAGCGACATCATAATATTTATGCCATCGACATTAACATTTTTCATATGGCTAATAATCTAGAAAATTTATGAATATTTCATTTACAAATGCATTACCATTTCTAGCATTTAAGAAAATACAAGGCATTAACATATGACACGTGTTGTAACTTAGTAATAACAAATAAGTCCATTTATCTGCTACCATGGTAACATATGTTCTAAGAAATACTTGAAAGTCATAATAAGTTTATATTGTTCACAGTAAAATATGATGTCAGTCTAAGCGGTACGCATTTGTTCAGTTTTTGAAAGTTGCTAAAATTGCTAAAGAATTTGCTATTGACGCAAAACGCCAGACGCCGAACTCCAGACGTCAGACGCCGAACATTTCCACATTTCGTTGGACTATATGCAGAATAACATAATTGATAGTGACATAATAAGGAACATACAGACATTGGAGAGGTTAAGCTAACGATGTTTTTCACAACGTAACCGTGAACGCAAAGTACAAAAATTAACAAAGGAATGTATCGAGCGCTCATAGTTTTATGCGCGCTTAGTCTACTTCAGATACTCTTTCAGCTTCAGAGTTTCGGGTTTAGAACGGGAGATTTGAATATTTGACGTTGGGTCAACGGGAACCATTTTACTCGTGTCTGTTGAACACTATGCTGTCAATTTTGATTTCGATGTACAGTTGAATTCTTGCTGAACACGATGATGTATGTCATGCATGATTTAGCGCCAAAAATCTTACGAAACGAGCTCGTTTAAAATATGTATTAGAAAACCAGCTATAAAACCGCATCAATGACATACTATAGAATCATTACACGCTATGGTGTAGTCTAAACAAACACTGGATTTGAACGGCTATTTATATGAGAAGGCTACATGAATTTGTATATGGTCGAGTGATACGTACAGGTTCAGTTTCGATTATATATGCAAAGCTTAACCTCTCCATTAAAGAATACAAACAGTAAAATCCAATGTACACCAATGAGACAATGCCAGTGTGCTATTTTTGTAATATAGGCGAGTCATTTAATTATTACCATGGTCATTCTTTTTTTATCGTATCTGGAATTATATTCTATCAAATATAGCCATCTCGAGCAATAACAATGCCCCATTTGCGTACGATTAGTAGGGAGGTTTAACGACACATGTTTTAAAGAGAAGTGTACGTAAACGTGTAAAATTGCAATCTTCAGAGAACTAGTTCTTGTCGTCAACGTCTTTATTTGCGTGAATGATTACAAAGGTATCAGTTAGACTGTTTTAATTGGGTCTTTGTATAAGTCAATCCAGAACGGAACTATAGTTCCCAGGGGTCATTTCATGTTTACGTTCGCCATTTCTAAAATACGTGTAGCTTAAGCTCCCTATTAAAATAGCAAGTGCTATTTTAATAGGGAGCTTAAGTTATGACAAAGAAGTTTCTTTGAACGAGATTTTTCTTATTTGAGAGAACATTTTGACGATATATGCGCTACCATTGATAGCTCGGATAGCTGGCTCGTTTATTGGAATTGACACTCAAAACAATGCTATTTAACGTTTTCGAAATATTTAGGTACGAAAAATTTCGAACGGAATGCGTGACATATACGTAATTCGCGTGAAAAGTCCGAACGAAATGCGTACGTTTTTTTTCGGCGTTTCGGACAGTATACATCACAAAGGAACTTATCGTGTCACTTGTCTATTGTGATGTCATAGAGACAATTAGAAAAATTGAAGAATTTGAAGAAAATAGCCACCCAAAGACACTTACACCTGCTAATTGCCATTTTACAAAGAGTTTATTCAAGCAAGAAAATTGTTTGGAAAAACGTAATTTCGGGTTGAACATGGTACCCACCACTCTGGTTACCATAGCAACCATATCTCAAGAACCAATCAAAATTGAGGTCCCAAATTTTACCATATAATGTATAAATATATAACACATATGTGTACCAAGTTTCATTGCAATAATACTATTTTCCTTGAAGTTATGACATCAAATGCAAAACTTTTTGAACCACCTAAGTATATCGTGTAAAACGTAATGATACGACGTCAGATACTGTACATCACGGCATTTTACTGCATTTTTACATGCGTACTTATTTTTAAAACCGCGATATCTCGACAGTGAAATCATATTTTTCTACAATCTTTCGTCATTAGTTAAACATATATGTCATGCAATATTTTGTCCATTGGAATTCAAAATAATTAATTTGGAAGTTTTTAAATGAGAATCACGCAAGCCGTATTATGCGACTTTCTATGCTAAAGCCGGGTGTGGACTGTAACATTTTGAAGAAAAATGATTTTAATTTTAAAATAAAAATGAAGATAACTTTCTCATTTTTCAACGGATCTTTCTCAAATTTTCACAATATTTAAATCCTTAGTATTTTTCCGTCTGTGTATATCAGTTGAATATGATAAGGGGCTCTGTGAAAGAGTCTGGAAAGACGGTGCGACAACGAGAGCCCAGGGCCGAAAAGCACGACAAAGAAGAAAACAGGTAGTGTTTGAAATGTCTACTTTCTGGTGATTCTAATGCTGTATATCGTGACACAACCTTTTTGAATATAGAATTGTATTGAAGCGCACATTAATCTGAACAAAAGTTGAATTTTTTAAGAAGATTCCATGAATATTAAAACTTTTGCAATAAATTGGAGGAGCATTGCGCGTATTTATCGCGTGAATCTTCGCATTTTTGTCGGTAAAATGAACAATTACAATGTTACGCCGTGATGTACAGTATCTGACGTCGTATCAATCGGTCGTATGTGACCAGAACGGTGGAAATAAGATCATTAAATGTAGACACTATCACAGAAAGAATAGTTGCCTCGTTGCAAGTCAAACATTGCCTCGTTTCATTGTTACAAAATGTAGACAGGTGCCTCGTTTCCTAAGTGAGAGAATTGATATGTAAATATCTCAGCAATGCCAGTATTGATTTCTAATTTGTAATCATATTATAAAACCGGAACTTATGAACTATTTACTTGCCAAATATTAAGTTTTAATTTGAAGGATAAAAGCACGAAAATTGTAAAAAACAAAAATCTTACCGAATGAAATTTTTTCACGCGCCGCCATTTTGATACGAGGCAAAACCTCCCTCGTTTCCAGTTCATCCCCAGTGTGATAGTAATTTAATTCATTAAGAACTGTGCAGTTGATCCGACTCATTCTGTAATGGGATCTACTGGGTTCAATATCTCATAGGCATGCAGAACATGATAATAACACTGTTCCGTGGATCTATTTCAACGTATTATCCTTGTACGTTAAACAATAGAGTGTCGACCATATGCATGTCTGTGAATCGTAAACATGATAAAACAAGGTATTGATATAACAAAATGTCACCACCAGTTATTGGAAGTTGTGAGAATTTGTTGCAGACACCCAACCCCGAACGCCGACCGCTGAAAACCGCCCGCAAAATAGTTGGAGACTATAACAATATATCAACACTTCAGGTGACATAATAAAAGAATTTAAAAAACAACTATATTTTATTTAAATGATATGAACGATTGCTTAGAAATTTCAAAAGTCAGTAAGCACAAGCGCCAAAATATAAAAATACAAAAATTCAGTTAGAATAGAATAATTGAATAATGTATAGTTGTGAGAGATCAATATATGCGTTCACATGTTCCACATCCTGACATATTAAACGTTAAAATTAATAATTTCGTATTAACACTGTATACTGGCTTTGTCACGATACGAAATTATATAAGACTGCAATAACACTATAGACCCTGTAAATTAAACTAAATAGAAATGATAGTCTAAAAGTAAAATTAACACTGCCTTGAAATACAGGTACACTCAATATATTATAGATTCAGCATTATTGGCTTAAAGGGGACATATAAAATTGTTTAGTGGTTTGATAGGGGTCGTAATAAATAAGATTTGAATTTAAATGTAGAGATTGCTAAGTGGGTTAGATGAATAATCGGAGTTTATCGCATTGATGAATAATGCAAAGGTTCGTGCGTTACCTTAACTTGTAGTCTCCGTTTGGACATTGGACTTCTCCTGAATTTGATAGTGCATAGAGGTATATAATACATGTAAAAGTATGTATCCCAGTGCATTTAATGATAGATACTGGCACGTATGTATTGTGAAGAACTGGAAATAAAGGATAATTACTAAATGCAAAATCTAAGTGAAACAGAAAGTTTTAAACCAACACTCTGGTAAACTATGATTGTACTTGTCAATAAGGGAGGAACTATTTGTTGCATATTTATTCATCTAAATTCTAATTATACGTGACAACATTTTATTTTCAATTAAAATAGTACGTTTGGAATAAATTCCGGTTTCAAAATTAATTTATGAAAAAAATCGAAAGGGAAAGACCCATTGCAATAATAATTTATATCTGAACATAAGTAGTAAGGTAATTTAAAAAACATAACGTTGCATACATTTTAATATGATTCTAAATAATATTTTCAGGAGAAAGCTTTATTCCACACAAAAACGCAGTTAAGAGTTTATCCTGTCACAAAAGTCCGTGAATTAATCTATGATGGCCTCCAATGCAACAGCGGGACACTCAAAGAAACGTGACGTCCTTGACCTTGATTCCTATATTGAGGAATTCTTTAGGACGCAGAGGTTCGACAAAACAAAAGACGAAGAATCCAAAGAAATCAGACGCTTGCGACCGGACCAAATCGAGGTTGACCTCGGATTTAAAAAAGTCATTCGAGAGGATGTTACCAAACCTGGACTAGAGGATAGTGACTTAACGGATGACGGTCCGCAAGAGGCTCCTGTGCTTCTTTATAAAACTGAATTCAGGAATTCTACAACAGGCGAACAGGAGTATAACATAAGTGCCCAAAGGACTACAACCTCTGAATGCCAGGTCGTTGTTGAGAAAGGCCACACAATCGGAGGAGAAGTAGGAATTACACTAAAACTCGGGGACATCGTTGAAGCAGGAGCTGGGATTAACAAAGAGATATCCGTCAATAAAGAGGTCGGGGAAACGATTCAGAATGAAATGCATTGGGGTATTGACACTAAAATCACGGTACCAAAGAATAAACGTGTCATAGCTGAGGTGAACGTACGCGAGAAACAACTGACAGCGACATATGATATTACTTCCACGTTAAAGGGACAAGTAGTGGCGAAATTTCTTAACACTAAGGACAACAATGCCATGATTGTGTGCTTCCGTGAAAGCATTCATAAGATAATTGAATGGGCAAAGAAAAAATACTCATCTGCTATGAAACACGTTACTGTTGACTCTACTAGCAAGACAGTGTCGCTAGCTTCCAGTGTTACATGCAAATTCAGGTACTCTGTTCAGCAGCACGTTGTCATAACAGAACACGGAATTGAGGAAGAATGAAAATCACAATTCATATGAAGTATTTTTCTAAGAGCACGACTAAGTACGAAGAATATGTTCCATTGTCATTTGCGTTTTACTGCCAGGAAACAGTGCACAGTCCAAAAAAACGTGTCCGGTTTTAATGTAGGCTAAGGATCTCACAAGTCAAGCAATTATCTGGGTTTGTGCATCGGACGACTCAGTATGTAATTTTCAAGTCATGCTTTAAAATGCTCACTAAAACACTCTGCAGTTCCAAATGTAGCACCAACTTGGGTGAGACAGTTGGTAGACTACTACTGTATTCTATCCTTTAACCTTTCGAGATTTGTAGTTGCAAATTCGACAATCAAGCTTTTATACGTTATGGTTGTTTCATAGGGTCCTGGATGAACTCTTGGACAGTGTCTTTACTTTTTGTATTGGTGTTTGGTATAGCTGTCACGTAGCAATATAATGTACACGTACATGTACACCCAAAAACATTGCATTATTCATTTTGCATTTTAAAACAAGGGGCTGCATGTTTTACATGCATTACACTTATAGTAAGCTTAGCATACACAAGTGGCAACATTTGAATAACAAAAACAAACAAATATTGTCATTGAAATATGAGCATTTAGAATTGTAGAAACATCATAGGACAAGTAGCATTTATTTGTTTTTACATAACAACTATTTTATCAAACATATAGGCATGGAAATAGCCATGAGAATATTGCGTTTATGTATAAATTGTTTCACTTGGAGTAAATAGAAAGCTTACAATATTATTAATGTTGAGTCAATGGAATGAAACAGAATGTTAAAGTTATTAGAAAACTGACAAGTGGACCTCATCTGTAGATTGATAATCGCGTGTAACCGCCGTCCACATTAGAGAGATCAAGCTACACGTTTTTCATGGTTCTTGTACGTGAACGTGAAGAATCAGGTCCTTTAGCGATCAGTTCTCCTCTTTGCAATTGTGTATACAGATATAAGGAAAACGGATGTAATTGTGCCCCTGGAAAACCAACTAAAAGAGGAGACACTAATATCTAAGGGTCAGAAAATTGGACATTCGCGTACAAGTTCTCTTAAAACGTGGAGCTTACCCTCCCTAGTATCTGAGTGAGTCAGCTAGAATTGTGTATGCATGGATGGTGATTGGGTATTTGTCTAAAATAAGCTTAATTAATATCGTGCAAGGGAGCTTATAAATTCCATAAAGTTATAGATCAAGTTAAGCATTCTCGACTTCTGTAAACGAGGATTCACAAAGTCTGCCAGTTCACATACGACGTATCCATGCTCATTTTCAGTTTGCATTTGGTATTCATAAGTAATCAATTTGGCTAATCGCTTCTGATTAGACTGATTGTTTTAACACATGTCTTTCCCTTATTTTAGGTTTATTTTATCATTGTTAAATAATTGAAAATTACTACTAAGTAGAAAATGGTAGATTGCTTATATATTTCTAAGCAAGTCTAGGAATTACAATTTTGAATACGACCCGTGTTTACATACGACGTATAAAGGTATCGGACGCATGCGACGTATAGAATATAATATTTTGTAAAACACATGTAGACATAGGACATGATACTATTGAGCACAGAACTCATTTGTAATAGGTTTGGTTAATGTATTAATAGATCGCAATTGTTTACATTTTTATAAAATAAACACACTAAAAATGTATTTTGTTTTCAGTTAATATTCTTTTTAGAAGTTACTGCAACTGCTTGTCTTACTATTTTGCTATTCATTAATCACGCCTAACCATCGACAAGGTACAGTGACAAAATATACCGTAGTACACTTTAGATGTACGATGTCACTTTGTAACCGATTTGAAGCAAAGACAAAAAAGCAAAATTAATCTTGGGAATACTTGAAAGATTTCATGTTTGATTTCGTGTGTATTCGTTTAGGAAGACATTTCACTAGGTATATTTTGTCACTGTACCTTGTCGATGGTTAGGCGTGTTAATGTTTCGGCATTGTTCTCATTTCAATGACAAAAGGTCAAAATGATAAGTTTGTTACATATTTTTGGTAATTTATTTTCCTACCGTCGTTGAATTAGAGGGTATATATCTATTCATCCCTAAATTTGAAAAAAGTAGTTTCCAGAACTTATTTGAGTTTGTATACCTTTGTATTGATAAACAGACCAAGCTCTTGGTTCTGGCAGAAACAGAAACTATCAGCTAGCTAAGAATAACCAATCCATGTTTTACCAAGGTATTATTTTACCTAATTATCAAAGAGCTATAGCCGCATATGGCTTAATATTTATTCTGGAAGCAAAAAAGATATGAAAGTAGTTCGTTCCATTTCTACTAACGTCTAATAAGATAATAGCCCTAAGGAATATTGTCAATTATTTTGAACTATTTTTGGGAGTGTTCTTACTTCTCTTAATATATAAAATGTAAGTTGCATATAATTATAGACAATCCCCCCTTACCGATAGTAAAGAAGGCTGAAGTTCAGAAATATGATGCAGTACACTAGATTACAACATACTCTAGGGATGCAAACGTGAAAATAAAGAGACTCGCTGCGCTCAAAAAACACTATTGGTGCATACACTGTGTATTGTCAATAGGAGGATAATAGCATGTTTTTACTATCATCATAGCACATACAATTTGAACAAAATTGTATACAAAAACAACCAAAACAAGTGATATCAATTTAAAACTTTTATTTGTTTATTCATGAGTATTATTTATTTTATTTCTAACGTCTATACGTTCAGATTACCCCACTTACATTGTACCTAAACCAAGTTGCTACTACACTAGTAATGTTTAGAATATAGCTTGATTGCTACTCAAGAGAATAAGCAGACAGAACGTCTATTTCTGTATGTTTATGAAACGTCAAATTCTACCCACATAAATAACTAAGAGGTAAACACCTGTCCAGTATTTTACCTTTAATGAGTTTCTGGCTGTTGATCTCAATATTGGATCGCATAGAAATTGTAACCTTCAAAGTGATAGTATGTTGTTTTATATTATATATTAGAATATAGTTTATTATACTTCATCACAGATCGACGCCATTTTCAAATGTTTTCCCAATAAAGTCATTCAGTATAGTCAGATCGAGAGAATTATTTCAAAGTATAATCATTTTGAAATACTCTCACTTTAACCCCTTGTGATATCTAATCAAGGTTATAAAATAATGAACAAGAGTATGTCAGAATGTTATCCGTGCTAACTCACAAATTTTTCAGTCAGTATGTTTACGTATTTGACGCTAAACAATGAAAGCGTGCGACTGACTGGTACTAGTATGCTCTCTAATTGATTACAAAGCAATCAACTTTTAAGATTGGTTCTATTAATGCAAAACTAGCTAATTAAATGTAAAGATGGGCGAGAGGATCTGCTGCACGAAGATAATCGATCCTACCATCATATAATTTAACATCTCAGCTACACTCCCCTCTATAAGTTTGGCAATCTGAAAATTAATTGGATAAAATATTATAGCTCGCTTGTCAGTGTATGAGTCATGGGCTAAAGGACAGTAGAAATGATTTTAAATAGGGAGGCGGCAGAGAAATCAATTTGTATATCAGGCCAACATATGGGTTGAATGTTAATAATTAGTAAATGTATGACAAATTCGATATTTTCAAAACCCAAAACATGACTGAACAGGCTTTGTAATCCAAAGAGGGACTTCCTGTTGCCAAGGTTATGGAGGGGAGTGTACCCATTGAATGATGAAATGATTTTCCGACTTCAAAAGTTCTTTGTTGGAATATCAATGTTACTCTGGTATATGCAAACACGTTATGTGAAATCAAAGTGTCGAATATTGTGTTCTGATACCAGAAAATCTGTATGATATAAAAAATGTACCTAAATCATATCTGGAATTATAAACATTCATAGCTGCATGATACATATTCATCTAAAAACTGAAGCCACGAAAATTCAATATTTTCCATACGCTAATGTCATATTGCATTCTACGTGTAGTTTCCATGTTTATATTAGTTCGCCTATTAGTGGAACATGATTATCAGAACAGGCGCACCTGGAACATTCTTGACTGATAGCTGCTGGGCCTATCAACCATAAAGCCATGAAATCGACTAATCAATGAATCTGGCTTGGTGTAATTAATGTAATGAGTGTTGCCTCATCGTCGTGGCTAATTGTTGAAATCATCAATTTAATTCAAACAAACAGTTACCCCCTCCCTAATACTAATTTGGTACCATCATTTTAGTGCTAACTTGGCATTACTTTATGAGTACCGATCGAATCGGTACTAGTACATTTAGCTTGTGTAACATAGTCGTTTTCATCGTTATCCGAAATATTATTTTGTCTACATGAGTAAATTAAAGCAGACTAAACTATCAATGTGTGTCAATTATAAATCTCTCAATGCTTCATTGCAACCCGTATGAGAGACTGTATGTTGCTTTGAGGGAAGTAGAAAAGAGGTTATGGTATGATAGCAAAATTAAAATGATACAGAGGCTGCTCATGAATATCACATAACCGCACACTATCGCCATCTTTCAAAATGAAAAGATTCTATTTACAATATTACACACCCGAAACTAGATGTATGATGTTGGAAGCAATGTTTCAGAAAAGCATGCCAAAGTTCTCCATAAAATTATAATTTTACTACCTGAATATAGAATTGGCAATGGATTTGATCAAATAAAGATGCTATTGAAGATCATTGAAGATGTATAATGCAGAAATCTCCAAATTAAGTCGATTTCATGAAAATGGGACGCCCATGGAACTATTTTCAAAATTATTTCAAATAACTTTTAAAAACGAAGAATTATCATGAAATTAAGTCTATTGGACATTTAAGGGAATAATCTTTTATTTGCAATTTGAGACCTTTATTTTTGATTTGTACATACTTCATTAATTAATAGCAACAAAAGTTGGTAAAAACTGCGCACTTGTTAGACATTTTATGATAACGTACCCTCAAACCAACGATATACCGGGCGATATTCAAAGCTAACCCTACTATCACACCAAACTAGTTCTCACTACGTTCTCGAAAACGGGCTTCAACTGTGTACGAACGGACTGGACCTACTAAGAACCGTTTGGGATCTATTTACAAACTTCATTGAACGTACTCGAACGGGTAGGTCCTCTAGAACTTAGACAATGCTCAAAATGTTCTCGTGGTAGTCACGTTCTACAATTAGAATGAGTGACAACGTACTAACGACGAGCTGGACGTACTACGAACGGAACAGTCGTACTTCAATCCTACTAGGGACGTTTTAACAACGAGTTGAACTGTCTGAGGACGTGTTGAGAACGAGGTAGAACTAATTGCAAACGGGTTTAAACTGATTAAGAACGTATTTAACACTGCTTTTGAACGAGTTAGCAAAAATATAGCTATCACACCAAACAAGTTGCCACTGCGTTCTTCAAAACTGGTTTTAAACTGTGTGCGAACGGAATGAACGTAGCTGCAACTTTCTAAGGTCTATTTACGAACTTTATGAACGTTCTCAGACGGGAATGTGATTTTAGAATTCTGAATCGATTCAAAATTCGATGGCGACCATACCGTTCTGTAATCAGGTCATGTTGACCTTCTATACTAAGGGACACGTTCTACGACGTTGCACACAGACGTGGTGTGACCTGAACGAACTGCGAACGAGATGGACGTATTGAAGACTGTTTAAGAAGGAAGAAGCTAATTATTTCAGACATATTTCCCGACCACAGCCAGATTGAGCCCGTTTTACGACGTTTTCGTAGGACTGGCAAGAACGGGTAAGAACTAGTTTGGTGTGATAGGGGGGTAAAATTTTGAAACCCTTATGTTTTACATGTACTTTACAATTCATTTTTATTTTCTGTTTAAGATATATATTAATTTATAACATCCTTAATCCTTTTATTGAAGATGGTTGCCAATGTTACCAGTCATTTGTAGTTTTATAAACGTTTCGGTACAAAGAATATGTTCGTTCAGTTCATTTTGAATTTTATATAAGTTTTATATAAGCTCATTCGATGTGTGTTTTTCAAACGTGACAATCAGTTGCAATGTGGTTAGATTCTTTGGTATATAAATGTATATATGGGAACTTAAATGTGTTGAAACGGAAAACGGAGCTGATATCAATAACTCTCATGTATGCTATTGAATATTGATTAAATAAACTGTCAGCAACCTTGAATGTCTCGATAAACTAGAAAAATACAATCACTTAAAGGTGATTTCTATTTATGCATATACGTACTTTAAGGGTATTTGCCAGTGAAATAGTTAAAAGTGCACTCGTGAATTGTGTATGAACGTTACAGAAAACGCGGATATGAAATGTTTATAGAATACTTATCATAAACTTTATGCAGGGTTTAGTAAGTAGTTTATATTTGGCTATCTGCTAACCAAACTGCGTCGAGGCTTACTTTTGAGACTAGAATGAACAACAGTGACATTGAGAAGTCTGGGTGCAAAATCAAAATGGCTGAATATTAGGAGAAAAACAATCGGACAACACATGTAACAGATTCTTTGGTCATTGGGAATAGCTTGTTGATTGAAAAGGAAATTGCACATTAACGCAATAAAACCAGATTGGACACTCTCGCCTGAAACTCATAAGATACCACACTCCTGGGACCAGACTCTTAGGATTGCCTAGTTATTTGCAATCAAGGATGACACCATGCGGAAGACATTTCGGTCGTTGACATCAAAACAACAACCGATCAGCATATTTACCAAATCAGAACCCAAACAAGTATATGATGAAACGTACACAGTGACATCCGACACAAAAGATATGCCAATAAGCTAGATCACAACATGAATTTTGATGTACAGCTGGCTTGGCAACCATAAATAAAATACATCGTCACAACTATTTTTGCCAAAACTTGACTTGAATTTGCGAAAACCGCATTATTCAACTTGCACGTAAACAGGTGATAGGCCTATGACCTACCATCGAACGTAACATAGACTTTATTCTGTTAAGGTTATTATTTTGAACAAAATGAAAGTGGACTTTTCATTCAAACTTTTAAAGTGAAAGTGTAACCAAGATATAGTAATCCAGACGCTGGATTAATAACAAACGTCTTCGAAAATTTACTTTTGGAGATAAGTCTATTAGACAATTGACTCTCTTTCACAATGGTACAATGAGTAGATCTGTTGATATGCGAGACAGTGAAGGCGAAGAACGTGTAAAAGGAAAGGAATGGAGGAACTCGATGGTGAGATCAGTCAGTGTAAATCCTGGTGCTTCTATTCAGGAAAAACTGGATGCACTCTTCTCTGCTGTGAAATGGCGTTGCCATGGTATCATTAAAGAAACTCTCAATAAATACCCAGAACTCATGAGCGAGTCTGACGAGTATGGTAATACTATCTTGCATCACCTAGTCAAATGTCAATATGAGGAACTATTCCGCATGAAAGGTATTAGCGCCTGGAAACCGACTATTAACACTAAAAATAGATATGGGGAAACGCCGGTTTTGATTTCTGCACGGACATCATCCAACGCCACCATATTAGGGCATCTTATTGTGTCAGGTTGCGATATCAACGCCAGTGACGTATTCGGATTTACTCCATTGCACTTTTATTGCAAAGTGGGCGACCTGGTGTGTTCTACATTGTCAGTGAACGCAGAGGGATGTTACATCGACATAATGTCCGTCAATGGCATAACTCCACTCATGATGGCCACTGAGAATACTCACATGGGCGTCATGCGGATGCTTCTAGAACACGGCGCCGATTGTCTCTATACTAGGAGCGGTAACATCCATTCGTCGTGTAATCTGAACAGTAAGCCGTACCCCTTAAGTGCAATAGAATACGCGGTGTTATGTGATGTACCTGATGTGTTAACGCTTATCCTATCGGGAATAATGTCTCAACTTCAATATCTCTGCTCCAGATCGGGGCAAAATATAGACATGACACTTCTTGATGAAATAGAAAACGATACTGAGACAATCAACTATGTTGTCAGAGCACCGATGCATACGTTCCTCAATATCAAAGAGGTGAACAAATCATACGTTATACGTCATTTTAACGTTGCCGTTTCATCGATTGAGCGTGCATTGACACTGGCGAGATCAGGTAGACGGCAAGTGTCAAGTGACCAACTGCACGCCATATTGTATACGATACAAAAATGCCTCCAGAATTACGAAACGTATGATGATAGTACAATAGGAAGCGATGTGCCTTTTGATATTGGACACATGGCTGGAGACTTTGACGTAGATAAGGTGCCGGGATACACTGTATTTGAACAGTTTATGTTGTATATGTTCCCTCATGTTCAAACTCAACCCCCGGGGGTCAATAACGGTGAGTTGACAGCTGAGGGAACCACTACTGAAACAAAACATGGTGAACCCCAGTCCAGTCCTCGAGTGACAGGTGCAGTATTTAGTTTCGATGATTTTGACCAGATTCTCTCATCCCCTTTAAAACTAGAGCATGTCCAAAGCGTTTCATGCTTGGTGAAAGACAACGAAACAATGTATAATGTTGACATATCAGATGTATTATTTGGATTGAGTCTTGAGGCGTTCATAGAGTCGCAAAAAGACCACCTCAACAAACTTGACGATAGTGGACATACACCAGTGCTAAACCTTATCAAAGCAGCGCATCTTTGGGCTTCGGATTGCGAGCCGGGAGATCGGGAAGATTCCATTAACCAAAAATGGATAAATAAGTGCATGTGTTTATTCCTAAAATATGGCGCATCACTTGACATAATGGCTCCCAAGGGAAAACATGCATTGACGTACTGCGTGGAATATGGTGAGCATAGCCTGTTGGAAATACTACTTAGTGGCGACGTTGATGTGAATGCTACGCAAGACGAGCAAGGTGTTACGACACTTCACGATGCAGTTAGAGCTGGTGATCTCTTCGCTGTAGAAATGCTGATAAACGCAGGAGCTGACGTCAATATTGCAACCAACCTCCAGATCGAATATTCCAAACGCTTCAACATTCCAGAATATCAATACCAATCCAAAGAAGTGGTGTCAAAATTTCATAATTATGGCGATGGCCCGTTGCACTCTGCTGTAAAACGTAATAACCTTGAACTTATAAGAACTCTGCTGAAAGACCATTCTATAAACATGAACATACGTAACAAAAGTGGCATCACACCTGCTATAATCGCCACTATCACTGACAATGTGACAATTTTGAATCTGTTGATAGAAGAACGCGCCGATGTGAACATCGCAGATAACACAGGGTGGACACCGCTCCACCACGCATCATGCTCGGAAAACAAACGGATAATAAGAGTTCTTCTGCTAGCAGGCGCCAACAGACACGCCACTGACAAGCATGGAAGAACGCCCGTTCAAGTGGGCAATGGATTCTCATCTGAGAAGATCCTGTGTGAGATAGGTGAGGGGCTAGAGAGTTTACAGGACTGGGCAAGGTGGACAATAAGGAATAGGCTTGGAGCGTCACATCCAAGAGGACACGTAACTGCAAATAGCGCTCATGCATTACCCATACCAAACAAACTGAAATATTTGATCACTGAACTCGGTTTGTGAAAAGATGGAGACAAAATACGTTATGTAGAATATTGAAAATTGCCAAATAAACTTATAACCAACTTAACTTTTAAAGGTTGTTAGTACGAAAAAATCATGACTGATCGAGGCATTAAATTACAAGAGGCCATAAGGTCACTGCACGTAAAACAGTACTATCGAAATATATAAAAGTATTGACTCTGAACATGAATTTATTTTTCCATATAATTTTTGTCTTATTTAACATTTATTTCACTCAACACTTACAAAAACACATACAATTCAAGTTCTACAAATGCGAAGAAGATAATGATATGAATTTCTGGATAAATAGATCTAAATATTGAATTACCTTTGCATTTTCACGCACACACACTTAATACACATCTTTCGATTAAATGCTAATTCTTATTCTTATATATGGCTTTTCAAAATGTGTTTCTTTTAAAAAAGAAAGAGCTCAGCACTTCTTTTAAATCACAAATACCATACTTAGTTCAACAACCCAAGGCATCGACCTCAAAGTCCAGGATTTTCAATGATGATTATAAGGGTCTTTATAGATATATAAAGGCAACTTATTACCAAAGGGAACTTATTACAACAAATTGAAAAGGTCTTCATTGTATTTTTATTCAAGACATATTTTGCTAGGAGAATAAACTTTAAACATTTCATATTTGTGCATATCTTCTGACAAGAATATCCATGTAGAATATAGTTAGGCTTACTATGATCTACAATAGTTAATAAGGCCATAATAAGTAGATTCTTTGTTTTGAATCCTGGCAAAATCCAAATCATGCAAGGGTACAAGGAAAACAAACAAAAACTCAAGAAAAAACACAAACTTGTTTGCTGAGAAATGTATACATTTTATGGGCATAAAAAGGGATGGCATACCAATTTGCAGTGATTACAAACGCATATTTATACATCCTTATCCTATACAATATATTTAAGCATAGCTATTATTCAAGTGTACAAAATAAGAAAATAAACAATGTATGCTTGAAGTAATCAATAACATTGTCAATTTTGACACACATCAAACATCACATGTAATCGTCTGATTCTGATTGAACGAAATGCTATGGTGACTATACTTTCAGACCCTTGTGCTTGGAATTTGGATATGTTTGTTTATTCTGATTTACTCAAAATCGTGCAAGCAAGGTGACGCAAAACAGAGAATCTACTTCTTTTGGACTAATATCACGTCCGATGATCGGAAAACAGAACGAAGGGGGAGAAGGCAATTTCTGCTAGGATGAAGATTAGATTTCTGATAGAAAATTCAACAATGTAGAAGATTTGTTTTTCAAGAGAAAGTTTACTATTGAATTGCTGAATGGATAGCTGCATGGTATGGTAAAATATGTTAGGTCTTCTATAATTTTTGAGCCTATACTCTTTTAAAATATGTGATCGATTAAAAAGGCACAAGGCCACCAATGCGCCCAAGTTAATGTTTTTGCTATAAACCAAGCAATAATGGTCTACATGACCTGTGATAAATATTTGTAAGTGACATTATCATCACAAAATTAATGCCATTGCTCTTTTAAAAAAAATTAGTTTCCATACGTTATATAAAAATAATCGAAAATAAGTTAGAATGGGACGGAGGGTGTGGAGAGGGGGGGGCAATATGTCTATAACACATGGAAAGAGGTGTTACTTGACTTTATGTCCTGAAACTCCAAATTTCCAACTTTCTCACTTACAGAGATGTAACATCCAGTTTCTTACTGAGTTACTGAGTTACTTTTTCAAATACAAGAATTCGTGCAAATTTGTTCCACCTTAAAGACATGCATATTACTCCCCCTTCCTCCGTCCCCTCCGTCCCACCCTACCATTTTAATTATTTTCGATGATTTTACATAACGTATGTAAACTTATTTTGTAAAGACACCAATGGCTTAAAGTGTAGACCATTGTTGTTTGATTTATAGCAGACATTGAATAACCCAGATGCGAGTAGAAATAATCTTGATTTACGTCATTAAAAACTCAAAATTCAGTCAAAGAAATATCATATTTGAAATCTACATGTAAAATTACTTCTAGAAATGTGGTTTTAAAAAGTGTTTATCAACTTTGAAAAATTAATTTTCTTTGAAAATGTGACTTCTAGCTCGGGGAGATTCTCCATAGACCCCATGCTATAAAATCACAAAAAATGAAATATCTTTTCGTTTAGTGGACAGATAATATTTTGCTTTACTGGACATATTTTCATTAGTATAAGTATCAGACACATAAGGGTTATATTAAAATTGAGCCACTTAAATTGATAATATTCAAGTTTAAGGGAACTTTCTTATATACCTGCCATGTTAATTGACCCGAATCAGCCACCTGGTGGTGAAACTGGTAACTACCTACTTGCATTTGGGTAATTGTGCACGTTAGTGGCCTTTTTGCGCCTTTTTAATAGATCTCATATATTGGAAGCATATCGGTTTTAAAAATATCCTCGAAGACCTAACATATTTTACCATACCGTGCACCTATTCACATTTATTCAATAGTTAACTTTCTCTTGAAAAATAAATGTTCTAGATTTGTTGAATTTTCTTGCAGAAATTGCCTTCTCCCGCCTGCTCTACTCTGCTCTCGCCTGCTCTAAAGTGTTAAATTCTGTTTATATCTCTTTCTTTTAAATGATCAAAAGTATTTTGGAAATTGGGAAATTTATTCAGCATGAGGTTTACCAAGCCCAAAATAACAGAATAATGGCATTTAGTATTGTGATTGCATAATACCACAGTTTAATATATAGTCATGAATTCAAATTCAGTCACAGTCAAAAAGTTGCAAAAAATGCTGCAATTTTAAGTTCATAATTCACTTGGACTCACAGCCACACAAACTTATGCTTCCATGGAGAAAGTATGTAAGGAGTATAGAGCAGATATAACTACAATTATGACTAGTAGCAGAAGAGATCTACAAATGGTGAATGGACCCCGAATGACAACCCCCAGGAGTTTGGCCTCCCACTCACTTTGTCACGGTGGAAGAAATTGCTAAGAGCTTCCCTTTTTGGTAATATTTCAAAAAGATTTAGATTAAAGTATATGTTTTAGCATTATCTTGAAAAAAATCAATTTTGAATATCTTAAACCGGCCATGAAACATGATTAAAGTTATATGTCTCTGCTTAGTCCAAACAACGTTTTATAAAGTGATGGCTCCGTATATGGGGACTTTCATTGTCTGTTAAATGATACATGCATTTAATAACATTGCATTTGGAACACATTTAATTACAGATTCGGGCATTTATCGCATGTTGTAATGCAACTCTATTAATTAAATTCAGCATACTTTTTGTGTTTCATGTTCAACCAAAGTCACCCCTTATTTACCCCCATAAATGTTAGGTTTAGTTATTTTTCTTTATATCTCACAAAATAACCTCACATTAAGGGTGCATCATAGATTATTTTGTTTTAGTTATTGATAGATGTCACCTTCGTCCAATACCTCTATTCCTGACCTTTTCCCGGACTTTCTTTTGTGTAATATTATTAAAATTGGATCAATAACTTTCACTATGCAACAGCAACTCTAATCTCAGACTAATATTGGAAGAAATGTAGGCTGCAGAAATTACATTGTAAAAGCAGTACATTTTTATCGCAGAAACATCTAGATTTTTACTGAGTATTTGGGATCCATTTCGTCCAGTGTTTTATCTAATGTGACATCGCATTTGACTAAGATAAGCAGCTGTACGCTAAGCGCGAGAAGGGGCGGATCAGTCGATGAAGGGCGAAAGGACAAGTGTACCGCTGCGATAAACGAAACGAAATCCAAGATTTGGCCACGAATTACAGCTTTTGTAGTACATCATTGGCGAAATATGTATGATGTTATACATGGGGATTAACACATTAATGGAGAGGATCTAATCGGTAAGAGTTTTCGTCTGAGGGAAACCATTGTTTTTACAATATTTAGTGACCTAGATTTTCCGACTCATTCACCATCTGCCATTGCAGAGTATTGATTGAATGATAATGAATCATAGGCCATCAAAATTTAGGTTTGCTTGCCTTCTAGACTAACACATGTGTTCTGGTATGGTTGGTTCATACCGATAGGATAATAGTATCCATTTTATACAGCCATTTATTTAAGACTGAGGTTAGGACTCCGGTCGATACTTTATTTGTTCATAAGGGATAGCAGGGCAAAATGGGCCCCTAGGCTAGGAGTAGGAGCATGCATAGAAAGGACATTTTAAATATATTTTGGACCTCAGAAGGATCCTGTCTGGTTAAGCCATATTTATTGAAACATGAGGCATTGGAAATACAAACACAAAAATACAATACAGTGGCGGATCCAGGAACCAACAGGGGGGGCCAAATTTAAGGTCAGAGAAAAAACTTCCGCGCAAAAATTTTGGGCCCCTAAAACCGAAAATGGGCCCAAAATTTGAAAATTTGAGGCCCATTTTCTTCAAAATTTGGCCTAAAATTAAAAAAATAAGGCCTTAGAAGGCCCATTAATGACCAAAAGGCCCACTTTTTTGGGCCTTGAGGCCTTATTTGGCCTAAAAATTTTTGAGCCCAACTTTTTTTTTCTGGGCCAACCTTAGGGGGGGGGGGCGGGCCCCATCCCCCCCCCCCAGATCCGCCATAGGTACATTGAAATAAATTTGAATTGTAGATTTTTACTCACAGACCTACAGAAGTGGGGCAAGAAGGGTCACTTTTGGAAATGTGCCGCCATTTGCATCTGGCATCTAAATTAGCCAGAATCAATGACCAGAGAGGTCTGTCACATGATGACTCCTGTCAGGAGATGACATCAGGGGATATATTTTAAAATGGTAAAATAAGCTTGGTGGCCAAAAGCCCATTTTGCACCATGGCCCTTCTCACCCCTCTCTTCCCTAGTTAGGTTCTAGAATGCCATAAGGAAGATATACATTGACCAATCTAACAATATTGGCAGTCTCTCTCCAGTCTCATGCCAATATTGATCTGCGAATAGTTAATACGTTATCATATGAATATAGTCTGGTGAAATGTGTATTCTGTACTGAATGTCTGATTTCTTGATATCACATGGGGTTATTGGGGGGGGGGCTTTCTGGGCCTCCCCCCTTGGGTGGGCTTAAAAAAATTGGGCCCAAAAATGTCTCGAGGCCCCATTAAATGGGCCTTTTTAGGAATTACTGGTTCTTTTAAGGGGTTATTTTTTAATTTAAGGCCAAATTATGAAGAAAATGAGCCTAAAATTGGGCCCACTTTTTGGCTTTAGGGGCCCAAAATTTTTTATCAGACTTGAAATTTGGGTTCATCCTTGTTGGTTTCCAGATCCCCCCCTGGAATTCATGGTGAATATCATCCAATATATTAAAACACCAAATCATACTGTAAAATATTTAAACAATTTTCTTATTGCAGAATTAGAAACGAAAGGTGAACAAAGTCACAAAGTCACAAGAAGCTCAAGGAAGGACATACCAAAAATATAAACCAATAAATCCAATAGAAACTAGACACTGAGAAAACAATATGTCTCAACAATATGCCCAGGATTACGGCCAGGCAGTGGGGGAGGGTGTGGCAAAAGGAGCCGCAGCAGGGGCACAGGAACAAGCTTCAGGAATGTGCTCTTGTAACGTCCTAGATAGAGAATTCGTCAAGAGTATTCCTGGCATCTTGAAAGTTGTACAAATGGTAAGTCATGACTGCTAAAGTTAATCTAAGTCTGTCCTCTGATTTATGAAGGTCCCAGGTCCCAGCACAGTTGATCACCTGTAAAAAACAGGATATTCCCTTTTTCCAAGTACAAATAAAACCTGTTTTAGTGAACACCTCTCTCTAGTGAACACCCGTCTCTAGTGAACACCTTCCTCAGCAGGTACTCTATTGACTTCTGTAAATTACCCTCTCTGTAGTGAATACCTACCAACACTAGGCGTTTTTTCTCAACAACAAAAAATGTTCAATACGAGGGTTGTCCCAGAAGTAATGCACTATATGCTCTGACTTTATCAATAATTGATATTTTTCCATGAAATTTTCATATACACAGGTTTTACTGTACACCCATTTCTCCAAAACTCAGTATTTTGCAAATTCAGTTTATGTATCCTGTATCTTGTTTGATTCTTTCATATTCACACACAAATGTCATTCATGCTAAATAACTTCATTCATATATTGGACCACATAAATGAACTTGAAAAGTGTTTTTCTATTTTATTGACAGTACAGTACATTATTTAATTTATACATTCTGTTATTGATGTTGTACAGTGATTACGTTGCCATAGTGGAGGGGCTGAACCATATGCAATAACTTTTGAGAATGTGCCGAATTGTCCAAATTTAGAAACCATCCACAGCATTTGTTATTTCTAATGATGTGATTTTTGTGTTTCTTTCAGGTCCTGTCTCTTATAGGCTTCATATGTGTCACAACAGGGAATAAGTTAATTTGTCCCTACGGGTCAGCATTTGGCTGGTACGAGTTTGTCTCAATGGGTGCATTCTGGTCAACATTCGCTCTGTATTTGCTTTATCTGTTGAAGTGTCAAGATAGATGCTGCGCTTGTCCTTGGCTCAACTGGAACTTTATAGTAAGTGTACAGTGATCTCCTCAGGATTTTTCTCAAATGGGTGCAAAAATTCTCATTTTCACAATTCAGACAAAAATTTGTCAAAATATGCCAGTTTTTCATAATTTTTCTCATTTTCAAATGGGTGCAAATGGATTTTCAAGTGGCTGCTGGCCTATTTCCAAAATCCCAGGTGGGTGCTGCGCCCACTTGCTTTAATGCTGGGGAGATCACTGGTGTATCTTAAAGTCTGTAAAGTGGAACATAACATTAATCCTGTAATGTGCTATACAGTGAAACCTGTAAAGTGGAACACCTCTAGAAGTGGAACACCTCTGTTAGTCCTAAGACCAACTGACTTAATGTTACATGAACCTCTGTAAGTGGCCCAAGTCACTTTTTAGGAACCGAAGGTGTTCCACCTACACAGGTTTTACTGTTAATGTTTTTACAATAATGATACATACACTCTGTGAATTGCTTATGAATATTTCATGAACAATCAGGAATTATTCAGGAATATTCAATAACAAAAATACATGAAGCTATTCCTCAAAGTCTACCAAAAAACTGCAAACCAAATTTTGTGACTTCTACAAAATCCAATGTAAAGACATCATTTTATGACTTGTATAATTCTGAAAATGTTGATTGATATTAATTTCAAATTCATCTATTTGTAGGAGCTGATTTACCTAGGAATAGTTATAATATGCTGGTTTATAGCTGCTATTGTGATGGCAGTACAGAACTGTGGACAAGGCGGCTTCCAGGCTGGGTCTGTAAGTACACTGGTACCAATTTGAGGGACACAGTATAATGCCACTGGTGACTCAGAGGATGGTTCTAGGGTTCTAGTCTTGCTTCAAGTCTCTGGATTATCCCCCCTTCCCTCTTTATATACTTCTCCACCAGTGGGGAGTTGGGAGGGGTGTAGTGGGGAAGGGGAAGTCACAAGGGCTTGTAGCTAAGACTTATATGGTCCATACTAATTAATGGCAACTAAATATGTTGATGAAAACATACTAATTAATGGCAACTAAATCTATTGATAAAAACATACTAATTAATGGCAACTAAATCTGTTGATAAAAACATACTAATTAATGGCAACTAAATCTGTTGATAAAAACATACTAATTAATGGCAACTAAATCTGTTAATAAAAACATACTAATTAATGGCAACTTAATCTGTTGATAAAAACATACTAATTAATGGCAACTAAATCTGTTGATAAAAACATACTAATTAATGGCAACTAAATCTGTTGATAAAAACATGTTCTAACCAGACCTCATCACTATTATATTGTGAATTAGAGGCTGCGTGTTTATGAGCAAACTCTTTAGCATGATCAGCTGAATACTGAGCCTGGTTTTGGTATGGCGGAGTCTGGTTATTATTTGTGAAGAATCTAAAGACAAGGCTCTCTGTCAAAGAACTCATTTTAATGTCACCACCACATGTCTCCAACTTTTTTGTCGACATAATTTTCAATGCTAAAAATTTTCACTCTGGGACTTCCACCCATGCTAATGGATGTTTAATTCTAGTTTCCATCCAAATGAGATCATCTCATTTTGCTAATGGCTTGAAATTGCAAATTTCCATCCAATTAAAATGTCTGATATTATCGATTTCAATCTGTTTGAGATTCATATGAAATGTCTAAATGTATATTGATATTTCAAAATATCAAAGTTTTTGATATTTACAGTACTGTTTCATGCATTGACCAATCAAGAAAGTTATTTGAAAATCAAAAGGTTGTACAAAAAAACTAAAACTTACAAAACAAACTAAACAAGTGTTTCTTTCCGTTATTCCAGGCCTTTGGATTCTTCGCATTAGCAGCTTATGGGGCCAATGAGTACTTCGTTGCTAGGACCTGGTGGGCAGCCCGCCAAGAGGCAAGAAATGGTACAACAGGGGGTACAGGAAATCTTGACCCAAGCCAACCACAGTTCTCTGACCCTGAGATGGGAGGTAACAAGTATTAAAGATACTAAGCCCTCATATCTGAATATATGCATTCAGGGTAGTTAAATGACATTTCCAACAGTTCATGGACATTTTCAACAGTCTAAGGACATTTTCAACAGTTAAAGGATATTTTCAACAGTTCAAGAACATTATTAATAGTCCAAGGACATTTTAAAAAGTTCAAGGACTTTTTCAACAGCCCAAGAACATTATTAACAGTTCAACAACATTTTCAACAGTTCAACAACATTTTCAACAGTTCAGTGAGATATCAGGATTTTTTGTCACTGAACTAGTCAGAATAGAACATATTCTAGGATATTAAACAGTTGTCTCACATGTATTGTACATAGATACTAGTATTCCGTAATTCCGCGGCGTGGACGGAATTTGACAAAACTTCAATTTTTTGCAGAATCCCTGATTTTCATGAAAATCCCGCGGAATTACCAGAATTTCCAGAAATTACATATTTTACGATCTCCTACTTTTGCGGGGTATTTGAAGAGTGTCTGTTTATGTCCAACAATCAATCATTATTGAGTACAAGTACGATTTCACCGTGAAATTCAACATTCTATCACGTTTAAATTCGCTAAAGCGAGTTCGCTAATGACGCGCAGTTCTTACCTAGAAAGTAGCTGACTTCCGTTTCCGTTTTTCATCGTTTTAAAAGATTGCAGAATTTGGACTTTTTTTGAAAATTTGTGCAGAATTTCGATTTTCTCCTTGCAGAATTTGCTTTTTTTCTTGCAGAATTTTTTGCAGAATTTTGATTTTTTTCATGCAGAAAACTAGTATCTGTGATTGTACCATCATCAAAATGTGAATCCGAATCAAGGGTATTTGAGGATCTTACGTCTCCTGTAGAAAAGACTATCAAAATACATATATCTCATATAGTCTCCATAAATATCCTATCATTGTTAATATATATAAAATTAGGACAGTTATGTTTGAAATAACATAAATGTGTACAAATGTGAATTTATTGTTCTGAATTAAGGCATTTTCCTTGTCTGCCTGAAACTGAAATTAGTATCATAATAGTTGAATTCAACACTTTTCAGAAAACAAAGAATTTTTGATCGTGCGTCTAATACATTATTGTGTGGTTCATACACCTTCAATGTTATTCATAGTCTTTGGATTGTATGAACTTCATGTACGGCATTTTGTCAGTAAAAATGAAGCATGAAAAGAGCGAAATTTGACTATGACAGTTTTAGTGTAGGCCTATGTAACCTGTGAATATTAGACTATATAGAATGTAGATTGGATATAGAAACATCCTCCTAAGCAGGTATCCAGAATCCGTACTTCCTTCTTCCCCCTGTAGAAAGGAAGAATAGATTCTGGATTTTGAAACCCTGCGTACGGAGGATAATATAGAAATTACATATGAAAAATCTGATGAAAATGTTTATCAGTTAATGTTAGTGTATATGATTGCATGTACAGAATTAGTATTTATGATGGCTGTATAGCGCTGCTGTAGGTAGCCTCTACTGCAGAATGTAGAATATGGTCGTTGTGATTGATGGACTCATTATGTTCACTACAGTAAAACTGTATTTTGCAAACACTATAATTAATATGTTACTATTACTATGTGCTCACATCTTGAAACCCAAGTGTGAGTTAATATGAGAGTAAATGAAGGAAAAGTCTGAGAAGTAAGGCAGGCCCATGGCCAGGGGGGCTCACCAAGGGGGGTTCACTTTTTCAAAAATCTGAGGGGGTTCACTCTCTGGTTCATTTCTGACACCTTTAGCCCAAAAATGGCCAAAAGTCACTTGAAAAGTGCTTAGAATGATGGAAAACTGTGATTTTGAAAGAATTTTTGACCAGGAGCTAGAACCCCCTCCCCCCCCCCCCGATTCTTGAACCTCCCCCTGGGTAAGGCCCTGAGTGAGTGTTGTTTGTTTCAGATTGTTCCCTCTGTGTTTGCATTCACAAGATACACTGTAGCTTTAGATATAGAAGTATTGTACATAGGTAGATCAAGTGTGAAATACAGATAGATACAGATACCGATAGATACTGATAGAATTCTTATACAGTAAAAAATGTCAAATGGAACTCTTCAAAGTGAAGATTCCAAAGTCACTCTACTACTAGTATACCTTACCCCTGTTAAGTATATTTTAGCAACTAACAGTCATCCGATAAACCATTAATAAGGAACAGACAAATAAAAACAAATAACATAATCATAATAATAAGCCAAATGGGTTGCTAATGAACACCAAATGCAAGGTATAGTAGAGTGAAAGTGGATCATGTTTTATGTTCCAACGGTGTTCCACTTACCAAGGTTTCACTGTACAAAGAATGAGATCATTCAGATCATCATGTGACTTTAAATCATGATGAAATTGTCATATACTATATGTAATGTACAGAAGTGTCACAAAAACATGTACTTGAGATATTATTTGTGAAAATGTTTATTGTGCATGTCTTGTATAAATAAACCTTTTATCCTGTTTTTGTAAATTGCCAAATATTTATACAGCATCTGTCTCATGGTAATGACATGTACATGTATTGTTATGTTGTCGACATACAGTTCAATTTTTCCAAAAATCATTCCATAAGGATGGGCAAAAATCTATAATTTGCAGATTTGATAGTCTTGCCTCAAGCACTGGTGTGTCCTCTCCCTATCGATGTACCATTCGAAAGTTTGTGTGAGACCCCTCCCTATGCAAGGAAGGTCAAAAATGTGGTGCACTGTATTGTCCAAGGGGGTCGTATTTTGGCATAGTAATTCTTCCTGGGAAAGAGACTTTTCAAAAGTGCATTCCAGTTAATGGAAATTGTGACTATATTTGACCATTCTTTTATACCCCCCAGAGTTGACAAATCGACTCTTTAGTTTGCTCTCAGTGCAGGAAATTAGACAGCTTGATTTTGTCAAAATCCATGACCCTTCCTGCTTGGGGGATCACACACAAATTGTTAAAACATGTTAGTAGGGGAATCAATGATGGGAGGGATGAGACTTTGATGCGAGACTAGATTTACTTCAATGGATTCCGAATAAATAGGTTAACACTAGATCTAGACATAAGTTTGTAAGATATGAAGTTGTCATTGTATAGATATAAATAAAATATGAATATAATCTGATGTTTGTAAATTCACATTAACCTCTTGATTATCCGGAATGAAGAGATTTCTCGTCACCTCAGAAATGACCTTGAAACCCAGAGGGACGAGAAAATCCCTCACATAATTGTTCACAAAAATTGCTCTTATTTGAACAATTTTCATCCAATTTACACAATTTTTTTTAAAACGTGTAGAAATGATCTCTGCCATCTAATTTTTCTAAGTTGAGCATCTAAAGTTGTGAAGGTATGTAGTAAAATGTCAAAAGGTGGCAAAAATGAAAAATTCTCTGGTTTCAACCAATTTTAGAGCCTGGGATTCAAGAGGTTAAGATGCTTCCTACCCCCTCCCCCACCCCCCGCCCTTCCTGAATATGATTCATCCCCTCCAAGCAAAATGAGCAGTAATCATTGTCCACATATACTGTTACATTATTGTAGAATATAATATATGGGCGCACTTCCCACTATCCGTGCCTCTAAACTATATTACAATCAACATCTTCATTGTCTATCTCAGATTGGTCTTAATTTTATTTTCATGTATACAAGCAGTCTACATTAAAATAAATGGAATTCATATAGCAATGAACTGATATGCTAGTCAAAATATGTACATTTATTTAGGACAAGTGCAATTTTTGACAGTATATAGAACTTCAAATCCACTTATCAGATACAAATGGTATGTACAAATTTGCAACTCGCAAACTTCAATCTAATACTTCATTTGGCTCAGGCAACTGATGTAAAAGAGGCCACTAAGGGACCACGTATTAATATCAATGTTTTTTCCAAATTAATTTATTGAAGGCTCGAAAATACCCATTTGTTCAAACTTCATACATTATGACAATCACCAACAGCTTGCAATGTATTTTCTTAACCCCAGGGGAGGCATCAAAAGTTCAATGTCTGATAGGAAACTAAATAAATCTAGTTTTGAGTTGGACCCCCTCCCTCCCCCTCAAAACTAAATACAATGAAAGTTGATTGCGGACTTTTCACATGTTTTTAGGAATTTTATGGGGCAGTACTATAACTATTTATGATTCTGAAAACATGTGCCAACAACAATAGGCATAATATTCCATGTTGCATGCATCTTGGTGAAGAAGGCATCTGGTGAAGTCTTTATTTTCAAACCATTCCAAGGTATTTTGAGTCGAAATTGCAAAAAATTTAAATGTTGAAATTTGTCGGATGGCAAACTGAAATAGCTTTGACCCCCTCCCCCCAAACTAGATTTATTTAGTTTTCTATCAGACATTGATCTTTTGATGCCTCCCCTCTCGTAATCTTCATGTTATTAGTTACATGAATAATTAGATTTAATTACAAACTGTAAAGCCATCTATCCTGTCAGAGTCAAATATAATATTCTAGCTAATGACAGTGAACTGGTCGGTTTTGCAATTTTATATCATATATGACGTTTTTACTTTTCAAAAACAATTATAAATTTCCAACTTGATATCAATATAGAGAAAGCAGGTTTTGTCATACAGTTTAAGTTAAAAAAATTATTATAGCCTACAGTTTGAAAGTTTCAAACTCCTTGATTTTCTAACATACTGTAGATACCGTTATTTTGACACTACTGTATTTAATTTGACAGATTTGCTCAATTTCAAATATTGGTGGCTATTTGATTTGGCCGATTCAGGACTGAAGTTTAATTTTTGTAGATGTTCATGTCATTAGGACAGGTGTTTACTGAGATATTACTGTATTTCTTTTGGAATAATGTAGAATTGATGACATGCTGACAGAAAAAGGGGTCCCTGTACTTTAATTTCTGAAGTGCATTGGACAAAAATTCCAAACTGAAATTTGACGGATTTTTATTTTGGCGGATTTTCTGAATCCGCCAATCCGTCAAATCCGAAAAGGGGAGCCAAATTAAGTGTATCTACAGTATATGTGATTCTTCGAATACACATCATAGTTCACTGTGTATGTTTATAACTGTTAAGTATTTATTTACAAAATGTTAAGTCATACAGATAACAGATAACATTATGTAAAGTATTAATAATATAATATTTATTTATATCCCGTTATTATACATCCAATGCGTTTCAGTGTGTTACTCATTTACTAAAAAGTTAATAATCAATCAATGTATTGTGTAATAGCAAACAGAAATGAACAAGTCTAAATGAACAGTAAAACCTGCCAAGTGGAACACCTCTGTAAGTGGAGCACTTTTCATTGTCCCACGAGCTATTGACTTTATGAGCCTCTATAAGTGGAACACCTCCTAAGTGGAACACTTTTAAGTCCTATGACCCATTGACTTCAATGTTATTGAACTTCCATACTTTAAGTAAGTGGGATATCTTTTAGTGGAGCCAAGGGTGTTCTACTAACACATGTTATACTGAAATATAATGTCCTTGGTGGCTTGTATAGATGGCAGAACATGTCACTTCCTGTTGTATTGGATTATCGTACATAAAGGTATAAAAGTTAAAATAAATTGCAATAATCACCGCTGGCAACTTTTACATTAAGTGTTTCCTTATAATAGAATATTCCATATCAAAACAATATTTTGTATTATGGATTCAATATATTTCAAAATTGAAGTTTTGAAGGATATCAACATATTATTGAAATGAAAGCAACTTCAGTCAATCCAGTGTCACCATCTATTGACAGCCATGCCCCATATAGATCATTTGGTTTAATACTTTTAAAATTCTATATCTGACTCAGCCAAAAAGGATTGGGGACTTAAATCTCTATAATTGGACAGTTATTACCTATTTATCATACATAATAATATAATATCAACATTTATATACATGTTATAGAGCATAACTAAGTATACCACTCTTATCATTTTATAGTTGTATAACACAGGTGTAAAAGATTTGTATAGATCATGAACCAAAGGGGGTACCCCATCGTCGTACACTATCTGACTATACCAATCATTCTAGAATTGGACATTAAGTAAATAAATATTTACTGATAAACATCATGTTCTTCATATGAAAACTGTATTTTTCCATGAATGGTAATAACACACTTAACATGTTATACAATCATAAATATACTAAGTTTGGCATTCTAAGTTCATATATAGGTCCATTCTGTTTATCATGTTTTTATACTTCCGTTAGTACATGTATGTGCATATTCAATCATTTCAGGAGACACCTTTGATTCTGTGAATATACCATATACTCACTCGATTGATATACATGTAAACTGTCCTAATTTCATAATATATGCATCTTCTCTCAACAGTTGTATTTATTACAGAATGTACAAATTATTATACAAACATTTTAAAGTTTCCTTTAGATGTTTATACAAAATATGCAATTTTTTATTTCATTTTTACATCATACCTGCAATTATTAAATAAACATGTAATATGCCATAATGCAGGTCTTGTTATCACAAGCCAGTTGAGGCTCGGAAATTACGAGCAATTATGGAACTCGTTACTTGGCCTGTACAAGGTTGTAAGTACAAAAATATAATAACCATCAAGCAATATATACATTATACATTTTTAATTGAATACATATTCTTCAGGTTTAAATTTTACTTCGGTTTTATTTAATTGAGCAATTAAACATGTACAAGTTATTAAATATCAATTAAAATATTATTATACAAACATTTTAAAGTTTCCTTTAGATGTTTATACAAAATATGCAATTTTTTATTTCATTTTATTTCATTTTTACATCATACCTGCAATTATTAAATATACATGTAATATGCCATAATGCGGGTCTTGTTATCACAAGCCAGTCGAGGCTTGGAAATTATGAGCAATTGTGGAACTTGTTACTTGGCCTGTACAAGGTTGTACATAGCCCATTGAGGGAACGGGACTCGTATAACCTAGTTCGGGCCCCGATGTAATTTGCCTTATAGTATTCACAAAATTCTGGAACAGTTTGTTCAAATCGATAAACAAATCTCAGTGGTGTATAAACGGTGATCTAGAAACCATCATTCATGTCCTAATATGGGCAACAACAGATCTTACATGTAGTTGACTCGAATCTAAACTTAATGATAAAATCCCCAGAAAAAGATGGCAACAACCATGAGTATAATAGCATTTGCATTCAGAACCCTCCTCCATGTTGGTTCCTCATATATAGAGTTTTGTTTCTCTTGAAGGGCTCTGATTTCTTCATCTGTAAGCTGGGGTTGATCAACCATTTTCTCAATTCCGCAAATCCAGTTACAGGCTGTTTTGTACCAAGGAAGTTCCTCCTCAAGTTCTGGTTGCTCTACAACTGGAGCTGTAAAATACAATACTTTTATAATAACTTAAGTTCATTTACTTCAGAGTAAAATGTTTTATTTTTGACGTTTCGCTAATCATCCAACTAGCTTTATCAAGATTCAAAATGGAAATACAGTTATATTATTTATGACGTAATAATTGAACAATACAATACCCAGGTAACAATAAAGCTTTTTATTATGCACCTCATTAAAATACTCAAATCTGATTGGTTAAGAGCTGCGGGGTCTATTGCCATACGTGGCAGCAAGATCTCGTTCTATCCAGTATTGAAGCAACGAGATCTCCAACCATCCCGTATACCAGAATACCTATCCTCGAAAAAATACTTTCGACGAGTCCAATTGTTGATGACGTCATTTTCTTAGAATCTCTTCCATGTTGAATTTGAGATGAATGCGAGGGAGAAGATTTGCGTGATATGAGAGGAGGGGATCTCTATTCAATTTCCTGTGATTAACTGACAAAAGGTAGGTGGCGCTAGATACGGGATCGGCCAAACTTATTATATATGGAGGGAATACGTAAGAATAAGGCCAAATGAGAGCGATAAATGGAATTTTGGATTGTCGAACACCAGGGTTTTTAGGCTCGGCTTCTGTTTTAGTAGACCCATTCTTTAAAATAAAGTATTTCTCAAGGGAGGTGCATAATAAAATAAATACTGGATGACCATGAGGTGGATATGCCAGAACACCTATCCTCGAAAAGAAATACTAGGCTCAGCTTCGCTTCGCCTAGTATTCTTTCCTCGGATAGGTATTCTGGCATATCCACCTCATGGTCATCCAGTATTTGTTTAATAATACTTTATAATACTTTTGTTCAGATAATACGAGATATATAGAGGATATCCTATGATTTATGAGTGATATGATTTTTATCCACGAATGGATATGGTATCTGCACGAGTGAGCGCAGTGTGGATTAAAATCATATCACGAGTAAATCATAGGATGTTCTTTTTATTCCATAGTTATAGTCATCATCAGAATCGTCGGAAATTAAGTGATTTAATTCGAATTTTCCAAACGATCCGGCGATGTTGACACTTAGCCTCGTTTTGAGTCTGAAGTAGCAAAAATCAATAAACCATTGCATACGGCGCCGTATGTCATGGCTAAAAAAACGTATGCTATGGTTAAGTGAAAATTTGTCAAAATTATCATATTTGACCACTGATTACAAAAATACTGTTTTTATTTTCACATGTTATCCTATGAATATCATGCTAACTATGGAATAAACATGTAAATCCGAGTTATGATATGTGCTTAACCAAAGTGCACATAGATACAATTTATAAATTAGTCATGCCATTCCTGTATTTAACCATGAGATGATACAGTTTATAAATCACAGTCATGTCATGTGACCTGTTTTTAACCAATGAGATAATACAAGATATGAGCTCACCCTGTTCTGAAGATTTGGCTTGTTTCTCCTCGATGTGTTTGTTTTGTTCTGCAAGTTCATCTTTGTCCATCAAGGAAACATTGTCAGCTGCTTCTTTGTTGAATCTGTCCCAGAATGTCAGTCTTCTAAGCTATGTACAAGAATATTAGCATAAAATGCAATAGACCAATATTAGCTGAGCGGGAAAATACAAAATAGATGGAATTTTGTTTGATTGACCCTATGGACAATTTGGTACCATTGGGAAGGTTCCAATATATAAGCATGGGAAATGATATCTATTTGAACTGAAATTGCATCTGTTGCCATAGAAATGCCCTTTAAACAATGGGCTGGCTTTCCTGATATATGTACAGTGTATATTATAGGATAACTTAATCTACTAACTTAATTAATGAATTAAACAATGTAAAGCATCACTAAATGAAGAAATATAAAAAGGCAATATTGTAATGGAATCACTTTTTAGCAAAAAATACAGCAATATAGTGTCATAAAACTAAATATACCTGTATATCAAGATTAACCCTACATCTGTTATATATATCACATTAAAGCACAATCTTTATTTACAAAAATGTGAGACAATCTTAATTACATTTATTGCACTTTATATGTTTATAATTATGAATTAGAATGATTATGAATGATTATGAATTAGAATGATTATGAATTAGAATGATTATGAATGATATTATGAATTAGAATGATTATGAATGATATTATGAATTAGAATGATTATGAATGATATTATGAATTAGAATGATTATGAATGATTATGAATTAGAATGATTATGAATTAGAATGATTATGAATGATATTATGAATTAGAATGATTATGAATGATTATGAATGATTATGAATTAGAATGATTATGAATGATATTATGAATTAGAATGATTATGAATGATTATGAATTAGAATGATTATGAATGATATTATGAATTAGAATGATTATGAATGATATTATGAATTAGAATGATTATGAATTAGAATGATTATGAATGATATTATGAATTAGAATGATTATGAATGATATTATGAATTAGAATGATTATGAATGATATTATGAATTAGAATGATTATGAATGATATTATGAATTAGAATGATTATGAATGATTATGAATTAGATTGATTATGAATTAGAATGATTATGAATGATTATGAATTAGAATGATTATAATGAATGTTTAAAACTTACGTATTTGTCAGGCATTGGTTTAGTAAGAAGGCTTACAGTAACTGTCACTATGACAGTGATACCAAACAGCAGGATACCAAAATGTAAGTAGTGGACATCTTTGATGATGGCTGGCCTAAAATAAAACAAAAGTAATATATAAGGAAAGTCAGGCCCGTAGCCAGGATTTGCCAAGGGGGGTTCAGTTTTCAAAAATTTCCAGGGGGTTCACATTTGACAATTTTGGCCCAAATATGGGAAGTGCTCAAAATGGTGAAAAATTGCATGATTTTGAAAGAATTTTTGGCTAGGGGGGGTCGCCCGAACCCTGCGAACCCCCCCCCCCCCCTGGCTACGGGCCTGAAAGTGAACCTTAAACTGTACACTGCTATGACAAAGGTTGTTGAAATACAGGGTGAACCAAACAAATGTTAACTTGATAAAAGCAACGCCAAGGCGTAGTAAATCCCATTGAACAGACATGGCTGCACAAAACCAATACACTTTTTGAGAGTTATTGGGCTTACATATTTCACTGAATACTCACCTCGTATCTTCTTGTCCACATGAAGGTTTGGGGTAACTGAATTCCCAGATAAATCGTGTCATACCAACCAATAAGCCAACCAACAGGCCGTAGAAGGCACCCTGTAATATGTAATATATGAGATACAGTTCTTGAAGAATAGGCTAGTTTCAACCTGGATTCATTTTATTCAGGATTTATTATAAAATAATTATATTTTTCCTATGTCCAAACAAAAGAATGTCAAAAAGCCCAAACAAATTAAGGCCAGACTTCTTGCACCTTTTAAGAACTCATTATCAAAGACTGGTACATTTTAGAACTTAAACTTCAAAATCGGACTCATTATTAACTTTTTTACAATGAAACTCGGTACATGTAGCTAACTGTAAACTGCTAGTACATACCGGTTCATTAGTTCTCTTCCAGAAAACTGCAAGGACGTATACAGCGCACACAGGAGGTGACAGGTAGCTGGTCACACTCTGGATGTAGTGAAACAGTTCAGAGAAATTCTGGACAATAGGGATCCACACAATCCCTATGGCAACAAGGAAAAGTACAAATACTCTGGAATACATCAATGTACAATGAATTTTGGTCCAATATGGCAAATGAAACAAGGGTCTATTGGTCCATTTAAAATATCATATTTTTAAAATAATCTGTGACCAAATCATATGTACCTTAAATTTGTATTAAACGTGGCTATTAATACTGTTAAGTACAGCCGCTATTTGTATTTGTATTTTGATATGATAATTTGTAATAAAATAAACTGAAAAAAAATATATATATTATGTGATTGATACAATTGATAGCAGTCTATATCATTGACTCCCTGGTACATGTACAACAAGCTAATTTTGATCTAATAAACGAATTAAAAAAATCAAAAAAGTTGAGAATGATCACAAATGTTTTTTCTGAGATCCAGCCATTATAGTAACTACCCCTCTTGTGTAATATTACTTCTAAAAACTTATACAGAAATTTCTACTACTTTTACACACCAAACGCACCTGCCTACAATCATAAGTTCTGTCTCCGACGCCTGTTTTCTAATCCTGGTCCAAACATCCATGGTGAAGATAGTACTGCTGCTGTTGAAAATTGAAGTCAGAGACGACATCAAAGCTGACATCATCACAGCCAACATGAGACCCCTAACAAAATTTGGCATGAGACGAATAACGAGTAATGGGTAGGCGATGTTCGTGCATCCACTCTCCTGATTGCATACTCTTTTGCAGATATCCGGGTTTGTACATGCTATCTCATCTGAAATGCAAGGGATGTGTATCTTTATTTAACAGTCATTCTTTCTTAAAATTTAGGTATTGTATAAAATGACTCTTTACAAACACGGCAAAAGTAAGAGGAACGCTAGGCATTAACATGCAAAATCACAACACCTGCCATTTGTTACAGACGCCGATCACTGAACATTAACTGCCAAACACCAACCACTTATTGCCAAACACTAACCATCGAACATTGTCCACAATTAAGTTGAACACCATGGCAATATGTCACCACTTTCATTAGATGGTGACATAAAAACTAAACTATGACAGGCTTGCTGTTAACTCTAAGCCCCCTCACATATGAACTAATCCACTAAACGCAGTCTTGCGAATTGGATAAATGCGAATCGAAGCGTATCTTTGCGCATGGTTCCGAAGAAGGGATACTTACACATAAGAACACCCAAACGATGCACAATGTACATATACTTATTGAAACAAATGTTTCCCAATTCCTATTCGCAAGAATGCGTTAAGTGGATTCGTTCATATGTGAGGGGGCCTTTATAATACAATATAATATAATGACATACTTATTTCATAAATTACATAATCCTATGTAAAAATACTCCATAGTTTGGAGTAGTGTAGCCTAGTTTTGCATTTTGTATGACTAATATGACATCAATTTGACAAAAAAGAGACAATAAAAACATATTCACTGTACAATAAAATGCAGATAAAATTAGGCTGAACCAGGAATCGAACCTGGGATCTTTAAAAAACCTACCTGGGTATAAGATTCTTGCAATCATGCCAGGGAAAACAATAATCCAAAGGGGCAGAAATTTTAGATACCCTGCAAGGATGGTGCCTGCTTTGGCATATGAAATGTTCTTGGCAGACAGCGCCCTCTGTACAATCACCTACAAGATACAACCTTGTGTTAAATTTTTGAACAATTTTTAAAGTAATCAATAATTGTCAATACATGTTTTTCATTTTTTATTAAGAAATTTAAGATATGAAATTATTGTATGAGCAATATAACGAAAAAATAATATAAAAGTAAAATCTCAAAACATTATTAAAGGAAACTATGAATACATAGTCAATTGAATTAACTAAATCTATTCTAGTTGATTAAGAAAATACAGAGCATAATCAATATAATGATGAAAAAAGAAAAAGAAATAGTGTGCATTAAAGACATTTAAGACAATCCCTCCACAAGATTATCATGCATGTTGAATCAAAATAAATATCATAAGTTTTGAATTGCTAAAATGCCTCTGCTGTCAGGTCATGTTTATATTTTTTCTGATTTAATCTTTTTAATATTTTTTCTATATAAAACTTAAAACGATTGCATTTCTATAGACTAAAGTTGTACTGTAGAGTACTTTATCCCCCAACCTCATTCATTTTTCTCATTTTAGAATTTAAAACATGACCCACCAGATATTCTACTTTGTTCAAAACATGACACACCAGATATCTAATTCATTGCTACCCCTAACCTGGTCAGAGCACCAATACCATATAGAAGAAATAGTTAATCCAAATATGACGCCAGTCCATGGATAACTACCATCTGTGATTGGTCGAAACATGTTCATGCTGATTCGTGGTGGGATACCACAAGTTTCATTATGGGAATAGATTGTTGTGTTGGGAAGTGCAGAGAAATACCTCCGAGTCATACTCTCGTAACCCCCGACTCTGTTGAAGGCTGCGGTGAGATAGAAGTGCAATGCAAGAGTTAGTATTATAGCACAAATAGTGGCAGACATCATGAAACACATGATCAATTTTGGTCACACATACATCATTTGTACATCATTTTAGATTTTACAAACATAGGCTAAATAGCAACAGAAACAATTTTAAAATAAAGATGGCAGCGCGATCAATAAATCTATGTTTTTATGTACCTGGGTACAACACTTTTGCCATCTTTATATTGACCTAAAAATAATTGTTTACAAAGGTGCATGAGGATTCAGGACAAATCCATGTCAGTTGATGGATCCCCAAGTCCATAATGTCTGCCAAGACTTGTACTGTTAAAGAAATAGTCTCACAACTGAGGTTCAGCATTATAACAAGCCTCAAACCATATTCATACTCCAAATGCAGGGGTTCAGACAAGACTTGAAGAAGAAGGAGGGAACAGAGTGGATTATGTCTCGACCCCTGCATTGGAGGTTGCACCATGTTCAACATAATCTATACCTCATGTGTAAGACTGGATAGAGTAGCTACAGTAGAAGAGCTAAAGTATTATTAGTATATTAAGTGCATAAGTAAATTTGAAGAAAAACATGCTACTGAAGTAATAGGTTTTATCATAAAGCCCATAGTTAACATAGGCTAAATAGCAACAGAAACAATTTTAAAATAAAGATGGCAGCGCGATCAATAAATCTATGTTTTTATGTACCTGGGTACAACACTTTTGCCATCTTTATATTGACCTAAAAATAATTGTTTACAAAGGTGCATGAGGATTCAGGACAAATCCATGTCAGTTGATGGATCCCCAAGTCCATAATGTCTGCCAAGACTTGTACTGTTAAAGAAATAGTCTCACAACTGAGGTTCAGCATTATAACAAGCCTCAAACCATATTCATACTCCAAATGCAGGGGTTCAGACAAGACTTGAAGAAGAAGGAGGGAACAGAGTGGATTATGTCTCGACCCCTGCATTGGAGGTTGCACCATGTTCAACATAATCTATACATCATGTGTAAGACTGGATAGAGTAGCTACAGTAGAAGAGCTAAAGTATTATTAGTATATTAAGTGCATAAGTAAATTTGAAGAAAAACATGCTACTGAAGTAATAGGTTTTATCATAAAGCCCATAGTTATTTTACCATTGGTGTCAAACCATGGGATTTAACACTAAGGGGCATTTTGTGCCAGGTACGCTTTAGTAGTTCACTTTTTGAGATAAAGTGGTTAGGCTTTTGAATTGTCAATAATAGTGTAATCAGCTTAAAGTACTTCACCCGTAACTTATAATATTCAGAATAAAGATTCAAGTGCAGAAAAATTACATGTACATGTATAAAGATTTTTATTGAAATATATAGAGTTTTCATTCGATTCTTTTCAAAGACTAAGGAACTGAGTAGACAGGAAGTTTGTGCAAAAATATTCTAATTGCTACAGTGGGTGGAAAGTAAAGTTTTTGTCATATAATCAAAATAGTCAGAAAAATTCATTGTCATAAAAGTGATAAATCATTTAGCATGGACGATTTCCACATATAAGACAATCCTTGTAAAATATGGCAATGCTGTCACGTCTGCAAAATACCATTAATAAAGGAAGTATATCAACAATACATGTACAGGGTGTCCAAAGAGTATCTATACACTTTGTATTAAATTGTAAAATGGCTTTAGGGACACCCTGTATTTCATAATTGTTTTATGATTGTTTTAATATTTTGCGGAAGATGTAACAACAATGGCATAATTTTCAAAGAAATCAGCATAATCGTCACAATATGTGGCAGCCATTTTGTCTGTCTGTGCGTCCCCTTAACTTGCCTGATCGGTGCACCAATACCACACTGACGATATAGTGAGTCCAAATATCACTCCCGTCCAAGGCAAACCATCTGTTATATCGCGGAAGAAATTCATTGAATTTTGTGGTGGTATACCACATTTCGCGTAAGGATTAGAATTATTTCCTGGGAGGTCACTACTACCGTACAATGTGGTATTTGGGACAGCTTCGAAAAACTTTTGCACCGTTTCTTCATAGCTGCCTGTCTTTGAGAAGCCTGCAATAGTTTAGGGGTTAGCTGTTAGCAGATACAACAAGAGAGTTAGACAAGAACACAAACACATATTAGTCATAGGGGTAGCTAGGCATGATGAGGCTACAGGCGAGGCAATTCACCTCAAAAAATTTTATGGAAAAGTTATTTCAAATGTTTTCTTCACTTGGAACTGTGAAAACAAATAGTGGTATATACGTAATTATGTCCCCATTCTTTTTGCCTCCCATTTCCTCGCCTATTTTTGATCCTAGCTACAACCCTCTTAGTGCAAGAATAAACAAAAATAGATGTAGCACAGAAAACGCATAACCTTGGTTCTGGTTGCCATGGTGTAATTTTAAAACTCTGAGAAGCATATTAGGCCCATAAAGTTAGTTCATGGTAGTCAATGTTTGTGTGCCAAATTGTGAACCATCAATGGTGATCGAATGGTGAATACATATAGGCTGTATCAACAGATACAGTATATGACTGGAAATAAAAAATTCGGTAGAAATATTTTTTATAAATAAAACCTTTTCATCAAAATTATTGTAAAACGATAGCAATCAGAATCAAAGATATTCTCCCTGGCTTTAATACACAAAATCATGCATGCATGCAAACAAACAAAACATAAAATAGAAAGAAAAATGGACATGTAGAAAACACACAAACATTAAGTGATGTTATTGGTTGTCCATAGCCAAACCCAGCAGTAAAACAGACCAAATGCATGGAGGGGCATATTCGCACGCTCAGTTTTCACTGCACTCAACAGGGGGCTTCCCAAGGGGTATGTGATAAGGCAACCTGGCCCCTAAAAATGGGACTTTGGGGTACTTAAAAATGAACAAATGTGACAAATAAATGCTTGCAAGTGACAATTTTTTACATTTATCGGACTGCCAAGTGTTTTGAGAGTGACATAAATAGACAATTCGTTCTGAATGTAAATTGATGCAAGTTAAGATGACTTATTCTAACCAGTAATCAAACAATGGAACATAACAGACTATTTAGTGCATTAAAAGCTTTGACTGACTAAAAAGGAATGAATCTGACAAAATATGACAAGTAAATTTTAAATGTGACAAAGTGAGAATTTTGAAATTTTAAAAGTGACAAAAGCGACCTCACTGCCCCCTCTTGGGGAGCCCTCAACATGAGCTGAGGGAACGAAGATGTCGAGGGGGATTTGTTGACTTCTCTTGCAAAAATTATATGATCCCTCCACACATTTTTAGTTTGTTATATCTCTGTAATGCATATTGTTAGAAGGCAAAAAATCATTAGGTCCTGTACTTTTTCTTCCAACTCAACTAGAATCCTCTACCATGGCCCAAGGATTAGGAAACACATGTTCATTCAGTGAAACAGAGCAACACATACAATAGCAGTTTACTGTGCCAATGTTGCGTGAAACACGTAACTGGCAAAGTTTAGAATATTAGGAAGCATATAGTATATAACTAGCTGCTATGTGCTTAAAGGCCCCATGTAAAGTTTAAACCACTTTGGCTTATATTGTAGTCTTACCCAATGTTATCAAAGTGTGATATGTGAAACTTTTTTTTTTAATTTCAAAAAGTGGTTTTTGATAGACTTTTTGTTCCAAAATTTGTGAATTTGTTTAAAACCAACTTTTAGAGGTCACTCGTATCTTCTAATTAGCCACAATTCATACCAATGCATAGCATACATCCTCCCATGTTTTTTGCCGAAAAAATTAAGAAAATCGGTTGATAAACAAGCGAGAAATGAACTTATCAGTGCATGAAAATGGTTCTGAGAAAAATGCATTTCAAAATTTTAGTTCTCATAGAAACCAATGGTACAATGATATCTAAAACATAATTTATTCTTCCTTTTAACCTGGTTAGACAATCAATATTGTTTTTTTTATGAAAGTCTAGCATATTTAGAAAAGATTGACATCGAAAAAAAAAATTCAATTTTTTTCAAAAAGTTTTTGTTACCTTAGTGACATCACTAATGTTTCAAAATATTTTTGATAAGCTAAAACATTGAAGTGGCCCATTAAATATGACATTTTATTATTGAAATAGTGTGTCTTTTGTTCAATCTTTGCATTGGTGTTAAAAATATAATATTTTTGAAATGCATTAAGAAATATTTGATGATTAAGAAATTTCAACTTTTTTTGAAAAATGGCGGGAAATTTGAATATTTGAGAAATGAAATGCTCATTTTTGTTCAAAAATCTCTAAAATCACTTTTTAAGTCCTGACAAATAGTAAATGAATGATAAAAAAATATTTTCAAACTTTAGACGGGGACTTTAAGTGACACACTTAACAGTTTCACCTGCTTTGACAAAGCGTGACACGTATATATGTACGTAAACAGCACCGTTTCGTTAAAAGATTAAAAAGCAAATACATCGCTGTCATTGTACCAGAGTCATAGACAAACAGCAGTTACACCAATGCTGTGACATTGCCAACTTGTCCCAAGATTAAAAGCAAACGCATTGCTGTGAGCGCTAGAGGACACACTTTGTGTCTAGCATGTCGGCTGCATTAACTTGCCTGGTCCGAACACCAATACCAAACTGACGATATTGTCAATCCAAACATGATCCCTGTCCAGGGTAGGCTTCCGTCTTCTACAGGACGGAATAAATTCATACTATTGCTTGGAGGTATACCACATTTTGCATATGGATACTGCGACGAGTTAAAGTCGGTACTTCCATATAGAGTGGTGCTTGGTATGGACTCAAAGTATTTTCTGATAACATCTTCGTAGTCTCCCACCTGCGCAAAACCTGTAAGGTTCATATTAGATGATACTCATTTTTTTGTTTGTTTATTTGTTTGCTTGATTGATTGTTTGATTGATTATTTGTTTTATTTCTTGCTACAGTCATTGCACTGTTTCAAGATGAGCCAAAAACCAAAACTATTTCTATATATGACTACATGTATTATGTCTAAATATATATAGATCATCATATTTGAGATGTCATATGCGATGTCAGAATTCTGCGTCACTACACGTATGTGTCCTATTGGATGTGTAAATGCATGGCTTTGGTTTATTTGGGACTTGCAAAATGTACAACAAGAATTTAAGAGAAAATATAATATTAGAAAAACATCCAAAACATTAAATTGTGAGTATTTCATATTTTAAACATGCACTCTCAGACAAGTGGATACAAGTTACAGTAAAGTTATTATAAGTCATCCTCCTAAGCAGGTGTCCAGAATCCGTACCTCCTTCTTCCCCCCTGCTATAAGCAGTTAGCATTTCCCCGATTAAGAACTCGCAATTTGATTGGCTGTCGCAACACTCCAACAGAAATCATGTATACGTCATCGGCGCATAATAAGATCACGTGATTCAGTTTAATCGGGCGTGTCCAACTTGGTTATAGCAGGGGGTAAAAAGAAAGAAGATTTTCTGGATTTTGAAGCCCTGTGATTGGAGGATGTTATAAGTTAGCACACATGCATCACTCATTTACATATTAATCTAGTGTTAATCCCATATAAATCAAATTCAAACAACTCAACATGCAAGAAAAGTATATTAATAATATAAATTGCACAAGATACTCAAGGTTGAGTAAGTACTCAAGCTACTCACTGATTCCAGTTAGTATGAAAGCTCCAATGATCATGATGATGGTCTGGATGAAGTCAGTCCATATGACAGCAGTTAGACCACCTAAAATACAAGGAAGAACATTAATCAACTAAATTGATAATTGACAGGTGAGGTGGTACTTATTTGATGAGTAACAGGTACTTATTTCGTGATTGAAAGGTGAGGTGGTACTCATTTCATGAGAAACAGGTACTTTTTTGATGATTGACATGTGAGGTGGTACTCATTTGATGATTAAAAGCTGAGGTGGTACTTATTTGATGATTTACAGGGGAGGTGGTACTTATTTGATGATTGACAGGCGAGGAGGTGTTTATTTGATGATTGAAAGGTGAGAAGGTACTCATTTGATGATTGAAAGGTGAGGTGGTACTTATTTGATGATTAACAAGACAGGGTAGTACTATTTTGATGTTTGACAGGTGAGGTGGTACTTATTTAATGAGTGACAGGAGAGGTAGTACTAATTTGATGATTGACAGGTGAGGTTGTACTTATGATGATTGACAGGTGAGGTGGTACTTACTTATGATTGATAGGTAGGGTTATACTTACCAGCAATGGTGAACAATGCAGCTATGGCAAGTAGTATGATGATTGACAGGTACAGATCCCACCCTAATGCCTGTTGAATAAACACTGCCCCAGCAAACAAATCAGCCTAAAATGTAATGAGGATTTTTTTGACATATAGTGTACAAAAATTGTACTTGAGTGGACTGAATTTTGGCATGTTTTGCAAATATTAATTTTAAGACAATCTGCATAAAAAATTGGCTTCCTGCTGATATGATAAATAGGCTAGAGGGAACTTGGACAAAAGGCCCTAAAATCAAAAGTTTATTGTACACTCTCCACAACGACATGTGTTTGGTACCAAATGAAAGCTAAGGTCCCATGTTTTCATGATTCACTTGTCCTAATATCAAATTGTGGTAAAGCTTTTGTCTAAAACGCCTGTTTCCATAGTAACCACAAAAATATTGTGTTAATAAGCAGAAAATGCTTTTTAAACATAACTCTAACCATATAACTCCGATTTTCACGAAATTGGTATCATATTGAAGCAAATAAAAAGCTCTATGTTTATAATTATATTTATGCAAATTAGATCATTTGCATATTGATTGTGACGTCATAACTGTATTATTTTGTGTATTTTTAGATAAATGAGTATATTTAGTTTCCGTACAGTAATATACGGTAAGGAAATATGAATTAATTTGTTATCGTTTGAATGCTTATGGTGTCTACTTTTGAGATCCACATGTTATTAATTAAGAAACTTAGGCAGAGTATGTCTAAAATATCCGTTCCCATCATAGCAACTGAAAAATATTGTGGTTAAATATGCACAATTGAACACACCGAGCTCATGTGTCACAGAAGATGTTTTTACGCATAACTCCACTTGTATTACTTCGATTTTGACAAAATTGGTATCGTATTGAAGATAATAAAAGTATCTATTTTGATAAATTACATTTATGCAAATTAGCTCATTTGCATATTGGTTGTGACGTCATAATTGTATTATTTTGTGTATTTTTAAACATATGAGTATATTTTGTTATCCAGAGTTGTATATCGTTCTCAAGATTTGTATACAAAGAGTGTTTGTGTGATATTGTAGTTATACAATTACTCGGGATGGACGGTGTGAGAATAGTTCAAAAATTGACTTGGTGAGCTGGATGGAGTTTCTCTCTATTTTTCATTCTATTAGGGTTTCCTGCATAAGGGATTTCGCCTGCGGATTCTTGCCAACATATCTAAATACTGGTTCGAAGAAGACATATACCTAGATTTTTTTTAGAAAAAATTGGCTAAAAATGGAAACTACAAAAAGTCAAAATGTTCAACTCAAACAAAACTCTAGCTATTTAATATTACACTATGTATTATTTAATATTTTTCAGAAGTTTCAGGATCTTCATTAGTGTACTTGTGGCTAGAAATAAGATATTTAAGGAAAAAATTTGGCATTTTTGATCATTTTCGCTTTCAGCAGTAACATATAGTTCCTTATATCTTGAGTTTTATGCTGACTGGTTGTTGCAATTTTGATCAAATCTGTTCTTGTACATGTCTTCTTCCATTTAAGATACAAAAATATATATTGGACCACCAATGGTCATATTAGAGCTTTCAGATCTCCCCTACCCCATTTATTATGAAAAATTATCGAAAAATATGAAAAAGTAAAATAACTTGAATTTAAAAACGTTAACAATGTTGTAGCTATTCTATATCAATATTATGTGTTATTTAATGTTTTTCCGATATTTCAGAACCTTCATCAGTATACTAGTGCCTAGAAATGAGACATTTAAGGACAAAACTTGGCATTTTTTTTATCAATTTAGGGCTTTGTATAATAAACCTCATACCTCATACCCACTTACCCACCTACGTGGGACATGATACAGTCATTGAAGGGTTCAATTTTAAATATCTTTAAATCTCAAAATAGCTCTAATTATTAACATTTCTACAATTTCGGCTTTATTTTATGACTATACGGATGACAGATCCATAAATAAAGGCATGTGGGTGCATTTGTGTAATGACCCGAGGGTGCCCCATGGGAATAACTAACTAACGACCGCGAGCATAGGTCCAACAGGCCAGATCAAGAAATTGAAAATAAAAATAACTTGAAATTATAAACTTTAACAAAGTTGTAGCTATTCTATATCACTATTATGTGTTATGTAATGTTTTTAAGATATTTCAGAATCTTTATTGGCAAACTAGTGCCTAAAAATGCGACATTTAAGGATAAAACGTGGCATTTTTTACCATTTTCGCTTTCAGCAATGATATATAGGTTCTTGTACATGTCTTCTTCCATTTATGATATAAAAATGTATATTGGACAACCAATATTCATATTAGAGCTTTCATATCTCCCCTGCCCCATTTATAATGTAAATGAAAAAGTAATTTCAAATCATAAACTTTAACAAAGTTGGAGCCATTCTCTATCAATACTATGTATTATTTAATGTAACCTTCATTTGATTACATGTGTTTAAAGTTTACGGACAAAATTTGGCATTTTTAGCATTCTGCTTTTAGCAGTATCATATAATTTTCCACAATTATAATTCTTTGATGATAGATTGATATATGTTTTTTTATTGAATCTGTTTTCTTTGATTTAAGTTATAGAGAATGTATGTAAGACAACGGATGTTTTTATTAGAGGTGTAAGACCTCCGCTCCACCATTTAATAAGAAAACCAACAAAAATAGAATTAAGAAATATCTAAGTTGTTATTATTATTTCATGTTAATATTCTTCAGCTTTTCAAAAGTTTAGCACATTTAGAAGCACACTAAAACCAAAAAATGACACATAAATGGGCAAAATGACCAATATTTCTCTTTCAGCAATAGTTGTTTATATTTTTAGTTGAATGGTGATTTAGTCTGGCAGAAACTTCAAAGCTAATCGTTTTCTTCGGATTACAATGTTTTTTTTTTAACTTATCAGCATAGTATAGTATAGTATAGTATTTATTTCATATATTTAAGGCCTTAGGCCCATATACATTTTAGTTAGTATACAATACATATATTATAGATGGCATCATGAATATTACTTACTTTTATGATTATTCAAGATCTGATAGAAATAATGATCTTAATTTGAAACTATGATAAAGAAAACATGCAAAACTACAAATTATTTCTTCATTGTTTGATGACATTAATTTATAAAATTCATTTATATTATAATGAACAAGAGTTGATAGGTAGTTATTCCTTAAAAACTCATACAATGGGCATTCTATGATAAAATGGAATTCATCTTCTACAATGTTTTTATCATTTGTTAAACAGTATTTACAAAGACGTAGCTCTCTTGGAATATTTTCCCATCGTCCTACCTCAATTTGCAGGTTATGACCTCCACATCTAAATTGTGTTAATGCTTTTCTATGCTTGAAATGTTTAATACAAGATAAATATTTTTCACATTCTAACTTAGTCTTAAAAATACAATAATGCTGGAGCTTTGCTGAGTTTTGTGTGCTGGTTAACCAATTTTGATATGCACAGTCTTTTAATCTTTGCTTAAAATGTAACAAAAATAAATTTTCATTTCCAACTCCTTGAGCTAACCACACATATCCAAAACCTAGATTGTTCAATACCTCTTTAATTTTTGTTGCCCAGGTTACTCTGCCTGCTCCATCTAGATTATATAGCATACTGTAAACACGCTTAGGATATCTTGTATCTTCCATCATTATAATTTTTAACCAAAATTTGATACATCTTGCTTTATAAAGTATTTCCATAGGGTATCTCCCTACTTCACCTAGTACTGTGGCATTTGGAGTATTATCCCTTAACTTCAATAAAAATTTACAAAAATTTATTTGGACCTTTTCAATTGAGTTTACATTATAATAGCCCCAAATTTCTGACCCATACAGCAAAATTGGTGTTACCATACTGTCAAAAAGTTTGAATGCAACACTTGGCTCAATAGTTGAACATTTTTTTAACATTACCTTAAGCATATTACATGATTTTCTAGCTTGAGCAGCAAGCAATTCCGTTGCACCAGACCACTTTAACTTTGGTGTAAACATGATACCTAAATATTTGTAACCATTGATTGTTTCTACTCTTTCATTGTTAAAATACCATTTTTCAGTTTCTTTAAGGTAACCTCCTCTTCTAAATACCATTATTTTTGTTTTCGCCATATTTACTTTCATTCCATACTGTTTACAAAACCTTGATAGACAATTTAATTGTTTCTGTAACCTAGGTACAGTGTCAGCTACATGAACAAGGTCATCTGCATAGAGCATTACAGAAATATTTGGCAAACTCTCATCTACAAAAATGCCTTCTAAGTTTTGACACATTTTTATATATTCATTTAGAAATATGACAAATGCTGTCGGACTGAGCATACAGCCCTGCCGACAGCCAATAGAACAATCAAAATTTTCAGTCAGATCAAAATTTTCTGTCATAACACATGATTGTAATTGACTGTACATGTGTCTGAGAACTTTCAGACTTTTTCCATGAAACCCATTTTTTATTAAAACATACCATAAAATATCGTGCTGGATACAATCATACGCTTTCGAAAAATCAACAAATAGGCAGTATAAACGTCCTTTCTTCTTTGATACATACTTTTGAATTAATGATTGTAAAACAAAAATATTATCTGCTGTTGCATATTTTTCTTTGTAACCTCCTTGTTGTTCAAACCACTGTCCCCGTTCTTTCATATGAGTGATGTACCTATTGCTAGTTATTTTTGTGAATATCTTTCCCATGGTGTCTAAGAGTGATATACCTCTGTAGTTATTTGGAACATTTATATCTCCCTTTTTAAACAGTGCATAAATAATTGCTAAAGTCCACTGATCAGGAAAAATGCCTGAATTCATGATTGTTTGAAATAGCTTAAGGAAAATTGGAAATAGTATATCAGGTGCTGCTTTAAGAAATTCAATTGTAATACCACTTGGTCCTGGAGACTTACCACTTTTCATATTTTTAATAACATTTGATATTTCACTGAGTTCAATATCATTATTTATGGCTCCATAGTTGTTAAGACATTCCATACATGAATTATCATGTTCAAGTAAAGTATTATGTACATGTTGTTCAAAATCATGATCAATTTGGTTTTTATTGTCATTTAAAAGTACTCTAAAATAATCATACCACTCATTTGAGGAGATATTACCACATTGCGGCTTTGATCCTAAATTAGTTTTTACATAACTCCAAAGACGATTATTGTCTTTAGCTGCATCTTGTAATTCTGAGCTGTTTTTGATTTTTAAATTAAGTTTACATTTTTGACACAGCGCTTTAAATCCTTTTTTACATTGATTATATAAGTGAAAATCATCCACATTATTTGATTGTCTGAATATATTTAACAAATATATATATAGGATTAGGACCTCAAAACCATCGGATGCCGGAGCGGCACCCTTGGGCAACTTTCTACAGAGTATTTCTTATGCCCCCCTGATAAAATATACAGGGGGTACTATAAGACACCCTCATATCTCAGACACTAATAAATATATTTACTTGAAATTTTCGGTAATTAGTTTAAGTATGATGCTTGACATGTGTGACAAAAATCAAGAAAAAATCTTAATCCATTGCTATAGAAACAGAAAAAGAACAGTAGAAATGCATGATTTTGCTGATTTTCATAATTTTCTTCATATTCTTGATTTTTAAAGCATCTGAAGTATATACTTATCTATTATATACATGATTAGAAGTAAAAATGAAATAATTCATCATATGGTTCATATAACTGTTTTCATTTTTCAATGATATTTGTCAGGAAATGATAAGAGGGACTGTACATCTGGATCAATCTAAAATTAATTGTTTTAATTGTAAACATGGGCTTTCAAGTTGTAAACAAAAAACTAGAACCTTCCGATGCCCTCCAAATCTGAAAATCTGAAATCTAGTGCTCAATATGTGAAAAATCAAGCAACAGTATTGTAAATTATAATTTTAACATTGAAACCATTGCAAAATTCCTCAAAACGTAAAGTTGCATGTTTCAGTAGCTAAAGATACCCTTAGAACTACAGAGCAAAGGCTCATGAAACAAACTGGATTTTTAAATCATTAGTTTGCTGTGAACATTGAACATAATGTATAATAATGAATTCCTTTGCCATATGGACTATAAGAGGTTATCTCAAGAAATAAGTTATCTACTTCAATTATACCCTTTCTTAATTGAACTACTAATTGACCTACTTATCCATTACTTTTTTATCTCATTTTTATCTTAATACTATTTATTCATATTTGGTTCAATTATTCAATTCATAAGAATCATAAGAATGTATTACAGGGAACTCTTTAATTGTATCTTTAGCATTACAGAACTAAGAGCTCAAACATAGAACAAAATATAAAATGTGCATATACGGTATCAATCTACTTACTAGTTAATTGACCTATTTAGTACTTACTGATATTTTGGTAAACACATAGAGAATCAAAGCCAGAATAGAAAGGTAAACTCTGATTCGTTGACCTCCAAATCTTTTCCTCAGATATTCGGGCATTGTAAAAACCTAAAAGCAAAAATGAGAACTACAGCAGGTGATGTATCACAATACACATTTATGGGAGATGAGGTAAGTGGCGGGGGTTGCTATGGAGAGAGGCTTCTCCTCCAGGAGATATAAGGATACAGTTGATAAGGCATCTTAACTACCCTGCACGCAGTCTAGTTATAAACTACCCTTAGTATAGACTATATTACAGTTTAGCAGCCCCGCCCCAAAGATTGGTGCCTGTGATAGCCTGGATAATAAATCATTTCAAATCTACCACGCTGACCCTTTCTCAACCAATCAGCGAAGTGGAAGGAACAGATGCTAAATACATGCTTATTAACTATGCACTGATGTCAGAGGAAATGCCCATATAGAAAGTTGTTCGTATTTCGAGGACAAACTCTGATTGGCTCTGTGAGATCAGAGATTTATTGTCAATGCATTGTCGGATGGCCATTCTTTTCAGGTGTCGTTTCCTAAAATTAACACACGTTGCTGCGCATTGCATGCAAATTTTGTAAAGCAACACCTTCAAGAAATGATCATTCCACATTGCACTGAGTCCAGGGCTTAAATCCTCAAATGACATCATTGAATGTTTGCCAATGAAAAAAGAAATTTGATTTTCATATTCAATTGATAGGATAATGTATATGTATATCGGAACTTTAATTATACTGTGTAATTTAGTAGGAGGACTTGTTGTTTGTAAGGGTGTGTTTGGGTTCGATTTGTTTTGATTTGATGTTACTTAGTTATACCTTCATGTCTTATGGTTGATGATTCAACCTGAATCATGACTAAGGTGTTTAAATTGACAGCATATTCAAAAAGTTTTAAAGTCCTAGTGTTTTATTTTGAAAAACAAGTCTGTCTATTATTCAAATACAGTGAAACCTGAATATTGAACACCTCCAAACACCTGTATATTCGAACACCTCTCTGTAATAACACTTGTCTATATGTAGAATGTAGATCCCAATTTGTTATCTCCAAAAGGCTCACGTATTGAAGCAACCTTGAAATGTGAACACTACTACTAATCTGAACCAGGGGTTTCATTAGCAGTTGGCAAGATGCGATTTTCATCAGTTGTTATTTTCACAAAATCGCCTGTTGTTTTTAGGGACTTTTCAATGTGAAATTTATGATTTATGACATTCTATTATAATTATTTAGGGACTTTTAAACTTTTCTATGTTAAATTGATGATTTATGACATTTCATTATAGTTGTGGCTTTTGTTTTCATTTATTTAGCCTGTTGCGAGAAATTCTAGTGAAACCCCTGTGAACACTTCATCAATCCCAGTGGTGTTCAGTTTAGACAGGTTTTACTGCACAGTACATGTAAATATGTTCCAGTTATCAAACAATGTTAAAGTACAAGTTAAGTATTAACATTAATACATGAACATGACATTGTTTGTTTGTGAAGTACATTCTCCCATAACTCCCTTGAAGTGGCCTGCCATGTTGATATAAATGTCATCTTGTACAGCATGATATCACTCATATTTCACCTTGTTCAAGGTGTCACCCTGGTTGTCGACATTGATTATTCAATTAAGTCTCAATAAAAGTTCCAGTGAACTGGCGCTGCAGATCAACCTGTAGTATATCTATGGAATTATGCAGTCAATGTGCTACCCGATACTCCGCAAACAAAGATGACCTAGCGATATATTTCGATTCTTCTTTAGAGTAAGGATTTAGGTTGGGGTTTAGGGTCAGGATTGGGTGACATCTACAGTTGCTAACCAAAAATCGCTAACTATTTATACAATTCTATACACTTTATAATTCAGCGATTCAACTCATACATGTTTATTCTTTTTTTATTCTAAATCTGATCACCATGACACTCATCTTTGAATGGGTATAAATATTGTGTGACATACCCATTGATAACATTGGCAGTGTGATAATCCTACAGAACCAAACCCCCAAATTACCACACAACTATACATTCGACAAACATGACTTTAATATAATAGTTTTATTTACTTATAATACCATCATTTTATTTGAACAACCATAATTTGATTTGTTAATAAAAATGCTGATATTTAATAAAATTATGAAAATTAGAGATGAAATGGATTTATTTCAAAGGTTTTAAGAAGCAGTTTAAGAGTGTGTTCAGAATGATCGCTCCCAAATAATCTTACATGTACAGTAGGCAAGTTATCTAAATCGGACTCTTTGAACTAGGAATTCAAGACACTTGAAGTGCTAAATGATAAGACAATTATGAACTATCATACTTTATATCTAGAATATAACTCAATGTCCTGTAGATGAAATGATGTGGTCACTTTCAGATTCAGTAAATAATCTGTGAAACGAAAAATTGTGAAATATACAGTTAACCATGTACGTTTGTATTTAAGTCAATGGATGCACTGAAATAATGCCTTTAATAAAAAATCAAATTCTGTTAAATCAATGTCTAAATTCTCAAGAGCAATTATTTAACAAAAATTAACAGAGAATTTTTATTTGAGGACTTGTCAATATTTACAAATGCTTAAATATCTCTTATTTATGACAGTTATGTACAAGTTCAGTCTGTCCTGATCAAGTCTAAGGTTTCAATTTATCTATCTTAGTACAGGTAGAACAGACCCATAACTTTTGATTAGAGGGGTTCACTTTTTTAAAAATGACCACTTTGAAAAATCACTTGAAAAAAGCTAGTTAATAACTGCATGTTTTTGAAACAATTTTGGCCAGGGGGTTCGCTCGAAACAAAATAATCGAGAAAGATGATGATGCATGTAGTATATAGATAGTTTATTTAACTGTTGATTGGTTGACATTTGATTTCTTAATTTATTTGCTTGTTTGTTTGATTGTTTAGTTTGCTTGATTATCTAGTTTGTTTGATTGTTTAATTTGTTTGTTTGCTTTGTTAATTAACTTGTCTATAATGTAGTAGTCACATCAATATAATCCCACTTTCTCCTAAAAGAGGAGCCTCATTCAACCTCATTCACCATTCACCTAGGCTACATGTCTCACGCAACTGAATTGGGGAGTCCGAATTTTATATGCATAACACTTCAGAAATACTTAACTCGTTTTGAGATAAAAGAAAAGAGTTCTGCATGAGAATAATATTTTTAGCATCAAATGGCAGTACATGTCTTTTAAAGAAATCAAAAATGAAATCAAAGTTCTCTAATCCCTTGAATCAACAGCTAATCAATCATTTGAATCATTTAAATACTATTATTTATTTTTGCCAGTTAAAGAAACACATTCTACATGTACTTGGTCAACTACAGAGACATGTACACATCCAATCCACACCAACATTGGAACCCATTCATCGAGAATCCAGATGGACTACTCAATCCAAAAAGATCCACATGAGTGAAATCCTTGTGGATCCATGTTGTTTCCACATGGATTCCTCGGGATCAGATTGGGGGTGTAGGCAGTCTAAAAAGCATCTTAAAAATTTTCAAGAGCCCTGCCTCATGAATAGCTATTGTATGGGCCTATTAGGGGCCATTAAAGAGTGACCAATGAGAGCTGAAAGTAACTTACCCCAGCAGCAACATAAACTGGAGCAAACACCCATCCCAGGAGCAGCAGGATGAAAATAGCCTAAAAATGCATTTATACTATGTATTATTTATTATAGTGAAGAAGTATACCCCACTCCATAAATTTGGTTGCTGAATTCTTTCAACATTAGCACATGAATCTGCTTTGAAAAGTGATTCAAAAAGGGACTTCAAGTTGCCAAACTTGGAGGGGAATGTAAGAAAACATAAGTGATTAACATCACACACAAAGAAATTCAAAAATGAGCAGCTATATTACCTAGCATGCCCAAAATCTATTTACAAGTACTAGATCTTTTCACATTTGTAAAAATGTCAAGATAAACAGATGAATGATTTTCTCCAACCTGGAGTCCACACACCCATAAGCACAAGATGGCCAATATACATGTAAATACAATAAAAAAATAAATGTATAAAATAGTTATATTTCAAAAGATGAGTAAATCCCTCCTGATTACACTCCTAAGTTAACGACAAAGTTGTACCTTTGGATCAGGTATGATTGGGGGGGGGGGTTAAAAGGACATCAAAAAATATGTTAATTTATACAAGTCGTGTACTTTAGCTACCTTCTATGGCAACATTTCATCAACTGACAACTTGATATACTGAATGGATTAATTAGGACATGTGAAAAGACAGTGATCTATACAATGGATTACATTTGAATTGTCCACATGTTAATGAAGTTGAATATTTACATATATGAGATGCATCACAAGAAAACCAATGTCATCACATTTGAAAATACTGGAGAAGATAAAGTAAATTGCAAAGAGCTAGCCTTTTGAGAACTGTAAACAGAAAAATCAAACAAGGTACATACAGGGAATGGTATTATACCTAAAAATAAATGGCCAACTTAATATTTACTCAGCATGCCAAAAGAGCAAACAGAATCTAGATATTCATACCAGTGGAAAAGCAACCCTGAAAATTCTAAATCAATTTATCAATCACTTTGTCTGGATATATACGCAGATAAATAAAGTGAGATGACACTGCCCGATACCCCCCCCCCCCCCCCGAAGCCAATCAATGTAATGACAGGTTTTTAGTCACAATAAAAATTTCAAAAATAGATATAAGACTCCCTCTCTTATGACCAGCCTCAAAAATAATGTATGTGTAAGTATTTAATTTCATGTGCATGTATATTCTTTAAAATGTGCCTATAAAGTCAAACACTTACATATTATGTAGCCATAAAATGACATTTCAAGATACTCAACGATTTGCATTTAATGTCACTACATATAAGGTCACACTTTAACCAAAATACCATATTAGGGGGGAACCTGTGCTTTAAATTGTATAAGAAAGGGGGGGGGGCAACTCTCACAAATATTATAATTTATGTTTCTTCATTATCTCATTCTAAGATAATACTTTTGATTGGCATCTTCAAAATTCAAAACAAGTAGTTTCACAAGACGATTTTATTTCGAAACACTTGAATTTAAAAAAAATTTATTCCCCAATAAATCTTAAAATAGTTATTTCATGTGCCAATGATCATGTGCACGTACATTATCATAACAAAATTATTCTATACACACTTAAAGGTACATTCAATTATTAACATGATCAATAAACTTCCATGTTAAAAAGTCTAAAATTTGTGAACAATTTGAACAAGGCATTAACACTCAAAATATAACTGGGACATATAAGGACTCAATATTATACTTACATTCAGTTCAAAAGCTGCTATTCCAATACCCCCTGCTGCGCCTGAACCTGCAAGGCCAATGAAATGACCACTTCCAATGTTACTAGCAAACAAGGACGCACCAACCTAAAACATAGTAAAACCAATGTTATTTCTAAGAAATGTGGTCATTATACAGAAATACTGTCATGGAAATGCTGTCATTAGACAGAAACAGTATAATTACCCCAAAATGCAGCCAAATATCGATACATTTTATTACACAGAAATGCTGGCATTACACAGAAACATTGTCATTACACAGAAACAGTGTCATGACATGAAAACAATGTCTTAACACGGAAACATTGTCATTACACAGAAACAGTGCCATTACACAGAAATGCTGTCATATACTGGATACATTGTCATAACACATTGTTATTACACAGAAACAGTGTTATTACACAGAAATACTGTTATTACACAGATGTTGTAACAAGGAACATTGTCTTTACACAGAAACATTGTGATTACACAGAAATAATAATTGTCATTGAACAGAATTTAAGAAACGTACATTGTCATTACACAGAAACATTGTCTTCACACAGAAACATTGATGTTACACAGAAACAATGTCTTCACACAGAAACATTGATGTTACACAGAAACATTGATGTTACACAGAAACTTTGTCATTTCACAGAAACAGTGTCATCACCTGGAAACAATGTCTTAAAGGTTGAATAGCGACTATAGAAGAAATTTGGGAGTCATTTTACCTTTCCCGAGCTATTAGTGCAACGTTTTGCCTAATGTCTTCTTCGCCATACCTATTTTCTTAAAATATATGCACTTGTCGATGAATACCACCAATCAGACTTGCAAATAGACTTCTAAATAAGCAATTGAAAGGTTGGACGTCCCGCATTTTGTTTTTTGAAACATTTCTAAATCTCTGCCATTTAAAATTCTTGCTGCAGCTGAGATAGGTAAGACCGCACGTTACAGTATAACCGCGGTTGTCTGATATAACCGTATGCATGGTACACGATATGACCGCCGTTGATGGTCTATTACCGGCGACTCTTGCAGTTAATCTGATCCACTGACAAAGAAAAATCAAAAAATTCTAAGACTAAAACACCTCAAATCTGCCCATATTCAAGGTCTTCTTGACACGCGCATGGTATGAAGGAAACAGAATGTTGGATAGAACGTTAGGTGAAAACGGGGCTGGAATCCAATGACAATATAACCGGGAAATCATTAAAAGGTACGTGAGCATTTTTTTTGTCGATGTCGGGAGAAGATTCCCGGGGATTTAGGATGCTAGTGATTGTGAATATCGGCAGAAATTAGGTACGTTCGGGGGTTTTCTTTGTAGCTAATGAAAATAGATGTTAGCCTTGATGAAATATTCAAAATTCGATATATTTTGACACCAGGACCATGATCGTTGGATACGTCTCTGTCTCTTTAACACAGAAACGTCAAACAAACTTATAGAGATTCATCTTCATATGGAGAAAATTTAAAGGTTCATCTATGAATTCTGGGGTATTCTTGTAATCCCATAATCAAATATTCCATTTTCTCCTAAAGGAGATGCCTGTCAGACTGGGGAGTGGATCACTTGAGGAAAACTAAGAAATGTTTTTTTTACATGAGGAGCCAAATAATTTACATAAAAATATGACATGTACTTGAACAATTTTTAAAGTTACTAACTTATAAATTTATAAAGAATACCGATGACCTTTAGCTTTATTATCAAAATGTGAAGTGAACTGAATAGATTCAAAAATATTGTTGAATAGATTGATTTATTTCGAACAGAGTCAATGTGACATTAAACTAGTTTTTTCATAAACTACATCATTATCTCCCTATAGTAGTTTGCCTTGCATTATATATATTTGAATATGATTGAAAACATTTTTTAAACTTGTTATTGAACATAAAAAAAGACATTTTGAAATAAATATAAAGGGAAATATTGCAAAATAAGTATTTTAACAATTTGTACTGCTATTGATCTAGACTCAAAAATGTCTTGAACATGTTGATGTAAACAAATTTTTAATTCAGTGATGTACATTATTTTGGTTAAGCCCCCTCCATGCATACATTTTACCCCCCCCCCCCCCCCCAGATAATCAAATAAAGAGCATTGACAATACAAGTACTTGTGTTCACTGATATAAAGCACGGTGTATAACCCAAACGCTCCTACATGAACGACGGAGCGTTTCATTACTGATTTTTAAACAAAGAAACGCTCCAGAGTAGGAAAACTGGCTGGCGGGAATGATGAGCCGTCTGATGATTTCCCCAATAATGGGAATAAGAGGTATGAGTTACATATTTCGAGTATACCATTCGATGGGTGTGATATTCATGTTGTACTTGGCTGGCTGTTGACGTTTGAAGCAATTAGGAAGAGCTGTAGGAAGCAGTATAGTTATCAAAATTCAAAAACGTATTTGTCATTCTACCGGTCAAAACCCCTTTTGTCGATACATGTGATTAGTTGAGCTAAGATTAGAGCACCAACGTATATTTTAGTCAAATTCCAATGCTTCAACGCACCATACATTATCGTAATAGTGATTTGATGACCGAAAATCTTAAAAATGATGACATTCTCATATTCAAGAAACGCTCCGATCTGGTTAACACAGTGAACTAGAAACGCTCCGGTAGTCTAGATCAGTTTAGGAAATATATAGCTTGCCTTTTCTTTTCAGGAAGAGAAAGAAAAGATCTATTATACCCCTTGGCATCAATAGAAGAAAGATTAATTCACATATAAATTTTCGTTTTTTTCTATAGTTTTATGATTTAGCACAAATGTAGGCATGACATCATCTAATGTAGGCTTAAATCAGCTAGTTGCACGTTTAGCACCACCAGGTTCAGATGTTTCAATTTGCCTAACAAGTACAACACGTTTTTGAGAGATAGATTCGATTCCAAACTCTTCTCTAATAATCTGAAAATTATATCAAAACAAAATGGTGAGAGCGTTTCTAAAATTGTGTTCTAAATCGACGGAGCGTTCCGAGGAAAACAAGCGATTTCTCGAGAACAAGTAATGGATTTGGACTGGGATTTTAGGAAATGAGAATATACGAGTTTGTGATCTACTTCTTTAACAGAAAGATTAACGTTTTCATAGAAATACTAGTTTAATTCGTAATTTGTGGTCAAATCGTCATCTTCAGATTCGTTCCATCTACACTACGGAGCTTTGATCAAGCAAATAACAGTTTACCACCAGAAGTTGAATAAATCAGATCTTTGCTCACGGTATTGTTCATCGAATGGTACATAATATTTCACCATAACATATGATATGTAAGAGAAACGAGAGGAACAATACTTACGGTCATAGTGGAATCTTCATTAGCCGCCATTTTATTTCGCTCCGGAGCATTTCCGCGTAAATGAAACGCTCCGTCGTGCATGTAGGAGCGTTTGGGTTATACACCGTGTAAAGGCCCCCTCACATATGAACGAATCCACCAAACGCAGTCTTCCGAAGTCAATTCTGGCGATTGGGAACGTAAACATGCCAACTGAAGCGCATGCGCATGCTTTTGAAGCTTTCTGAAGGGGTATACTTATATATATGAACACCTAAATGATGTACAACGTACATGTACTAATGGGAACGAATTTTACTCAATTCCTATTCGCAAGACTGCGTTTAGAGGGTTCGTTAATATGTGAGGGTGCCTTTAACTATTAAATGATATCTCCCATATCACCTTTGGCAATGAGAACTTGAGTCTGATTCATTCAAAAAACAATACTAATAAACAATTCTACGTTGTACAGGGTGGTAAAAAACAGAACCACTCAAAATACCAATAACTTTATTAATATCTACAAATATGCAATCAACCTAAATTTTCAGGAATAGACACTATGGAATTATGGAAGTTGATTTCATAAATAATGTGAAAATCATTAAAACTTTGGGTGGTTCTGTTTTTTAGGATCACCCTGTACAAACGTTCAATACAAATATAGAGAAGTGAAAAACAAGGGTCACCAAATCAGTTGTTTGCATATTAGAGTAATACAATACTTATAAAATGTCAGTTTTTGAAGGTACTTCAATCATACTAAGACAATCACGACCTGACTTCATGATATTAAAGCATTTTATGCTGCATTCTAATAATGTTTGGTGTACTCTTCAGATGTTATTTGAATACTCAGTACATACCTTTAACTTGTATGAGTATCAATAAATTAAAATCAAAATTTATATTCAAGTATGCTTAATGCAGATTCAATGATCTTACTTGCAAAATTGAAATTAAACTAGCTCCAATGAAAACCTACTTCCAAACCGTTGATAATGTGAAAAAAATTACAAAAATTGGCATGTTTTGACCATTTTGGCTTAAAATTGTGAAATATCAAAAAATCCCTGGAGACACAATTTAAATATATTTTGAATTTTAAAAATCATCTTACAAAAAGTGAATTTTTACAGTATAGTTTGAGTACAAAAGGGTGTGTCAAACACCCTTCACACACCCTTTTAGACAATACCACACCCCTAGTAACACTAACTATAAGAAAGAACAATGGGAAACATTAGAAAACACAATACATACCAATGCATAACTTATAAGGATGATATCCATAGGCAGAGAATTTTGTATTTATCCAGATTATCCCATTATAATTTTATTTATTTATTTTATTTATTTATTTTATTTCATGATAATATAACAATGGAATGTAATTTTTATGTTGACTTATGCACGATAAATTTGTATAAAACTATAGAATTTTCTATAGGGGAGTTGAGATTCTGATAAAAGTTTGATTAATTTAATTAATTTTCTGTTTTAATTGCACCCTACTTTTCACTACATTTAGGAAAATTATTGGATGATAACAACCCCCTACATTTGAAGATCATATCTTATGTATTCTAAAGGAGAATGTATTTGAAGTGTGCAAAGAGAATGTATTCTAAAGGAGAATATATTTGAAGTGTGCATGGAGAATGTATATTAAAGGAGAATGCATTTGAAGTGTGCAAGGAGAATGTATTCGATCTAAAGGAGAATTCATTTGAAGTGTGCAGGGAGAATGTATTCTAAAGGAGAATGTATTTGAAGTGTGCAATGAGAATGTATTTTAAAGGAGAATGCATTTGAAGAGTGCAAGGAGAATGTATTCTAAAGGAAAATGCATTTGAAGTGTGCAAGGAGAATGTATTCTAAAGGAGAATGTATTTGAAGTGTGCAAGGAGAATGCATTTGAAGTGTACAAGGAGAATGTATTCTAAAGGAGAGTGTATTTGAAGTGCGCAAGGAGAATGTATTCTAAAGGAGAATGTATTTGAGAAGAATGTACAAGGAGAATGTTTTCTAAAAGAGAATGTATCTGAGAAGAATGAATTACCTAAATCGGAATGCATTCTGAAGGAGCAGGTATCCCAAAGGAGAATATTCCTGAAGGAGAATGTATCTGTTTATGTATCTTGAGAGTGTATCCTGCAGATCGCATCAATTACATTCTAAAGAAAAGATCTGGAGAGGAGTGTATCCTGAAGGAGACAAATATTCTCTCATACTTACAGGAACCCAGTGCATACTGCGACCAGCTAAGAAGTAGCCTCCTACACTGCCTCTGTTCTTGCATGATGACTGGAATAAACAATGAATCAATTTGTAATAATTATTGCAAATCAAACAAATAACTTTTTGGTCAATGAAGTATAGTGTGTGTCCCATTGAATAAAGTTTGGGGATAATACAGCGGATTGCCCCTGAAAAATAGAAAAAGTTGTTTCATAGACAAACATTCAAATGTCACATATCAAGGCACCCAATTTACCTAATTTTTCTACGACTTAGGATCTCCACGTAGGATTGTACCCAATCAAGTGCTCAGTACCAGTTTTTCGATGATTCCTACCTTTAAATTTCACTTGGTATGTTCCCTGGGATCATGGCCCCCCATGGGGTATGTTATGTTAATCCCATGGGCTTTGTAAGTCATTCTTTTATGATAAAGCTATAATTTACTGAGCACATACCTAACGCCAGGTGTGTTCAAGAAGCTTAAATGAACACTATACTACACACCAGACCAGCTCCATCCCCCTAAACTCATGACTGGATCTGGATACAATACCATTACCACAGCCATTGATTTTGATTTTTTAAAATAATGAAGAATTTGCTGACTTTTCTTACCCAAATGCCCACTCCCATAACAGCAACAAAGTAGCCAACAATAACAAGAATATCTCCCCAATGGAGATTCCCAATTCTTCCGGGAGTGCTGACCGCAGTACCGTTATCCATCTTGCTTTGATTTGTGTGATCCCTCGTGAATTTCCTTTCTTGCCTTCTCTTCAAAACCTCTGATGACTAAAATTTCAATTTGCTAAACAGAATGATCGATCCCCATACCTGCCCCGCCTACTCCTAATCAACCAATCAAACGTCTTGTTTTGATGACGTGCATTTAGCTCTCCCAACTTGAAGGCAAGAAAGTGCAATTGAAAATATGTCGAAATGGCACAAACTTCAGGTAGTTTGAAGTGGAATTACTACATAAGATACACATTTCTGAGTATTATGAGTTTGTAGATACTTGTATAATATGTTCATTTACTTTTAGGAGATACGACTTTGTGTAGTGGATGCTATTTTCCGATAGTAGATGAGAAATTCCTGCACGCACTAAGCGCAGACTGGCACAGCAAATGTTTCAAGTGAGTTCGCAAAATACTGATTTTTCAAGGGATTTTATAATGATATGGGCTTGAGATCTAGTTAGAGATATTCCTATGCATTCTCTGAAAATATTCCGGAGCATAAAAATTTAACATTTAGCATCTCAGTCAAACATCACTGCTCATGCAATTTGTTGTAAATTATCCATCATTGCATCAATGTCATCCCAGAATCAGATTTAGGTCCGTCATCATCAGTATTGTCCTTCATTTGGCATCAGTTAAAATTTATCTCACACTGGGGTAGGCTGTAGGTAGTTTGTGAGGAATGTAGTTTCAATATCTACCAGTTCAAAACTACTGGGTAGGCAGATAACGTAAACGCTGCTCATCATAGAATAGAGGTTAGATGGTGCGCACTGTGCATTATTTCAGGCTCTAGCGCAGCCAGGATGAGGCATATGAGGCCTTGGCGCTTTTTTAACATCCTTTGAGAAATACATGTATTCCTATATAGCAATGATGAGTTGTAAATTAATTGTATAACTCAGAAATTTTTGATCTTAAATCATCAATTTTTGATTCAACCTCGTTACGTAAGGGTTATCAGCATGTTCCTCTCAAGCGAGGCAACGTTAGATTTTTATAGCCTCTTCACTTTTTTCTTCCTGGTTACGTCACTGCTAGCCAAACCTTATCTTGCAAAGTTATGTAGCCCCTTGTATCTTATCATAGATCTACCACAAACAGATAGGGAGAAGACATACAGATAGGTTAGCCTTAATCCAGTCTAGTATAGGGGATCACCTAGGTCTGATGAATTGGACTAACATAAATTAGCTTGTTTCTGTAAACTCTTCCAAGTGAAGAATTATACATAGCACATGATGAATATGATCATTTCAGAAGACATTCTCAAAGTTGTCACTGGCAGATTTGGGGGGGGGGGGCTTGGGTGGGCCCAGAGAAAAAAATTGGCCTTTTGAATAAGGCCTTAAGGTCCCAATAAACACCTTTTAAGGTCTTTTTTTTTTACTTTAGGCCAAATTTTGAAGAAAATGAGCCTTAAAATTTGGGCCCACTCTTTGGTTTTAGGGCACCAAAATTTTTTCCTCGCAAGAGCCAAAGTTTTTTAGACCTGAAATGTTGGTTCCCAGATCCGCCCCTGGTACCTGTAGGAGTGTAGGTCATGTTAATTGCAGGCAGTTATAATTTTTAATACATATTGTGATCAGTTGGATGGACAGGTGGGTGGGTAGTTGTCCCGATAAATCTTGTTTAATTTGATTTGGAATGATTTTAGAGACTTATACCCAGGGACTTAGACTAAAAAGAATTGCGCTTAAACGAGAAGAGAACGTGAATCCTGATAGATATGTTCCATTTCAAAGACTTAAATGCTGGTTGCTGAATTGAGATTCCTGTGATCATCTGGTTATTGACCTTTTCTCCGCTATCATATTCCGTAATCTATAAACATATTTAAATCCCAACTTTCCACTCATAATCAAAAGTACTTATGATGTTCTGTGGATATGAATATGATTTCATTTATAGATTTAAAGTGGCACTTGAACTCTTGTCATTTACATGTAATTTAATTAATACAGTAGAAATTATGAAATCGAATTATAGAGTCATTCATCATTGAGTGAAATCGAATTATGAAATTAAATCAATTTAATCATATTCTTCATACTGCTTCTAATTAAGAAATGCATAAATTGATTAAAAACGTGTCTTTATTTCTTGGCACAAGGCTAACTTTAATTATGAAAACATGTAGATTGTTGATTTCATAAAAACCATCATCATTTTCATGAAATACAGATTTGAAAAGGATTTAAGGCAGAAGGCATTTCCAAATGTTTGAAATGATCATTATTGTCCCATGTCTCATTGTATTATTATGCCACCACCACAAATAGTGATTATTGTGGATTGTGTTTGACATTTGGCAGTTTGGTATTCTACATTCAGCAGCTAGTGTTTGATGGTCAGCATCAAGCTTCTGTAACAAATGGCAGGTGGTGACATTTTGCATGATAATGGCTTGCTTGTTGGGCTGAGGGCTGAGGTGAAAATCATGTATATCCCATAGTTTGTCAACAACCTTTGAAACAGTGAAATATGATAGCAGAGAATCTGTTGCTACATCATTCTGGAATGAATCTGTGCTCTATTTGTAAACAAGCTTCACATGATATTTTGTGTCCTTTACTGATATCCTTCTGAATCAGTATTATATAAGCTACAGGCCTAACCCATGAGTTCACTGACCCTACCCCCTTATGGGTCTGGCTATATGCTATATAATGGCTTTTACATGTCCCAAAAATCATGGTTTATAGGGCTAGTACGGGGGCTAAGTTAGGCATTAGGCAGACGTCTAATTCATCAAAATGTTACAGAAATATATTAATCATTCAAGTATACTGTAACATATCTGTGAAATCTCCCCATCACTTTTATATTTTATCTCAGGGTAGCATGCAATGTTTAAAAAAATAAGTTCAAGTTTAATAGATCTTTTGGTAAAAAACGCACATCAAAAAGCAATTTGGTTTAAGAGCTGCCCATCACTGTATTCATAAAAATACAGTTGGCTTATTCAAATTGGTCTAAGGTCTCAACCTTTAGTTCTTAAATACTGCTCTATTGATAAAAAATGTTTTATTGAATTATGATGGTGGTGAGAAAATACGTTGAAAATGTAATCAAAGAAATTGTTATTTTTGAATCTGTTCAAGGAGGCTATCTGATTTAATTCCAGGGTGTTTGTATATCAGCAGGTAAATGGCAAGTTTCTCAAGTTGTTTTTAATGTACCAAAATCTTGTGTTCTTTTGAGGTATCTTGCAACTTTTTCTAATTCAAAAATTTTCAATAATTTCGCCTTATGTTTTCATGCGTTCATTATGCCAGTTGTCAAAAATTCTAAGAGAAACAGAGTGTCTTTTTGTATGTGAACATTTCAAGAATAAAACGTGACTAAGAATCTGCAAAAATAATTCTAAATTGACACAGGGGTTCTAAGAAGACACATTGTGTTATACTGAGCCACCCCATGATCAGAATATAGTTTTCAGTTAAATTAGTACTATATAAAGGATTCAATGATAAAACATAAAGTGGTGAACATCTTTGTACCACACGTCATCTTCACGTGTTCAATGCCCACTGTGATCTTAGCATGTATTCATAAATAAAGTCGACATGTGATGTTACTTAAAAACAACAAAACAGTGAATCACTATTCAAACTTCATGTTTAAATAATTAGTATACAGTCATTAAAACCGTTAAATAGATGAGTTATATCCTGACATGTATACTGGCTGAAGTCATATTCTTATGAGAGCACCTGATTTTCAACATCCATCTAAAATTCTACAAGCATACAGTATGTACTTGTCTATCTGTTTGCTTATTTTTATATGATCTTAATCGTGATAAACCATGACATCTCATTTCTTTTCGGCCATGATTCTAGCGAAAAAGAAAGATGCTATGAGCAGGGGTTTCATTAGAAGCAGGCAACAGGCGATTTTCACTGGTTGTTTTCACAAAATCGCATGTTGTTTTCTGACTTTTTAACTTTTTCATGTTAATTTATATTTTCCATTAATATTGCCCATTGTTTTAATTTATTTAACCTGTTGTAAGAAATTCTAGTGAAACTCCTGTATGAGTATCACATTGGAAGTTTTTTATTTTTTATTTACAATAAACTTGTGATGATGTTTAGCTCGTTCAGTGTTATTGACCTCGCTTCACCCTATAGGTACATGCAGTACTGGTTATCTTGGACATACAAGTTGTCCGAGTCACTGCTACTGTTTTATGTTTACAAACTTTAGGGGGTAATTTATAGCCATTTAGGGGGTAATTTATAGCCGTTTACTCTAATTACAGCAGACTTCTGTTGTTTTAATTAAGGAATTTAATCTCTTTCAACATTAGTTTTCTAAATGAAATGATTTAAGTTTCTTTTTTATAAAACAGTGAAATCTGCTAGACTCTGTAAGGAACACCTTTCTGTAATAAGCATCGTTCTTTATCTGTAGTGAACACTTTTGTGCTGTGAGCACCTCTGTCGTAAATGCATTTGTGTGATTGAGGTACACCATTCTATAGTTGAAACCCTCACTAAGGAATACATTTGTGTAATGAACACATTTATGTAGTGAACACCCTAAGCTCATAAATACAATTGTAGAAAACACTTTTCTGTAAGACACACATCTCTAGTCTGCACACATGTATGTAATCACATTTCAGTATTAGACTCCTTTCTGTAATGAACACATTTATATTGTGAACACCCTAAGCCCATAAACAAAATTATAGAAAACAATTTTCTGTAAGACACACATCTCTATCCTGCACACATGTATGTAATCACATTTCAGTATTAGACTCCTTTTTGTAATGAACACATTTACTGAGTGAACACTCTCTATAGGGATCAATATTCTGTAATCAACACCTGTCTCAAGAAAACACTGGATCCCTCAAAAGTAAATGTCTTCTTGAATTGATTACAGAAAACCTTTCATACAGATAGTGTTCTTTAAAAACTTTAAAGTGAGTTATTTGTTGTTGTTGTTATTGAGGAAGTAATCTAGCCACAGGTGTATTTAGGAAATCACCACATTTTTTTCTTATCAGAAATACACATCTACGATATCAAAACAGATCATGGATGCCATATGATCTAGAAGTTGAATTACCCCTCCCCCAAGTTGTTTAGCCTATAGCTTCTAAAAGTGTTGTAATGTTTTATAAAACATTAAACTTGACTATTTAGTTTGGATTAACCTCCCTCTCTTACCCCTAAGTCAAAGAGCTTAGTGGCATTTTTGTTGGAGTTAGTAATATATGGAAATGGACCAAAGACTTGACCCCAAATACAAAAACAATCAAATTTCTGTTACTTTCAACATTCAACAGTCATCTGAAGTTCCCTTTTATTTCCAATATTTTGATTTTGTATCTTTAAAAGAAAGCTTCATCCCCCAAATCCTTTCATGTCGGGAGG